AAAGAGAGCACAGTCTTGAGGAACAACTGCTATATCGTTGCGGAACTCGGTTCCCTCGCGTGCGCAAATGTCAACGCCGTCAATCTCAACAATTCCACCTGTTGGTCGGTACATACGTTGGACCAACGACATGATGGTTGATTTGCCAGCGCCGGAAGGTCCTACAAGACCAACAAATTGACCAGCAGAAATGGTGAAAGACATGCCTGTCAAGATCTGAATATGAGGCCGAGCCGGATAGGAGAATTGGACATTTTTGAAAGCAATGGTTGCTCCCTTGCCTCCGCTGCTCTTTGCAGGAGCTTCGGCACGATCTTCAACATCTCTTTTGGTACTCTCGAGAGCAAGTGTAAGCTTGCCTTTTTTGGCTTCATCCTTGGAAGACCCAAGGCTGATCAAACTCAGAATGCGCGAGGCGGCAGCCCTGGCGCGAGACACTTCAGGCGCAAGACTGAACATCTGGCCCCAAAGCTGTGCACTAACAAGCATGCAGATGAGAATTATAAAGAACTCTCGCTGGCTGGCCTCGCCTGCAGTGATCCGTGTTGATCCCCACCAATAGGCAAATGCATATATCAGGTTTCCAGTGCTGTTAGCCAGGGAAAGCCACAAGTTGGCGTACATAGAAGCCAGAGTTATCTCTTTTCGAGGTGCTCTGAGAGCACGGCGATATGAGCTCATGACTTCTTCTTCAATAGACAATGAAGAAATGGTCTTGAACGAGTTGACAGCCTCGTTAGTGATGCCAACTGCGCCAGTGAAAGCGCCAGCGTGACGACGCTCAAACTTCGAAAGCGATCGAAGCTGCATAATGCCACAGCCAAGAAGGATAGGCACAATGACCAAGCATACAATGGCAATTTTCCAAGCAAGAATATGTGACAGGATGATGGCAACCAAGAAGTTGACCATGATAGAGAAGATTGTGCCAATAATGGAGCCGCTGAACCCGCCAACAGCTGCAGCATCCGAAGTGATGACGGACAGGAGTGCAGTTGGTGTACGGCCTTCTGACTGATGCCAGTCAAGGTCTTGTTCATAGAGAGACCGGAAGCAGAGAACTCGGATCTTGTACAGCAACTTCTCCGCGACCATGCCGAAGCCGGTCCAGCTTGTGGTATTGGCCAATAGTTCGACGCAAGCAATTAGAAACCACATGCCTCCAAAGAACTTGCCTGCCCAACGGATATCTTCAGCGGGGTTGCAGGGACTCAGGTTGTCGATGGTATAACCAAAGATTAGACCGGATGAGGAGAAAGTGAGCCCAACAATAGTGGCTGCAAAGAGACAGACAATAATGAGGAGGAGATAAGGTCGTACCATGCCGCCAATGGTCTTGGTAACTACCCATCCAGATTTGTTCGAGTCGAGAGCGGCGTCTGCTTCAGGAGCTGTGTCTTTCTCTTTAGCTTCCTCTTCTTTGGGCTCGTCTGCCTCTTCCTTTTCCATATCCCTGACTTTGAGGTCTATAATAGAGTCTTTCTCAGAAACGATGCCATCAGTGCGGACTGTGCTTGTGGTAGATCCAGCATCCTCTGAATCTACTGTCTGCAAGCGTACCATACTGGCATATGAACCGTTCAAAGTCATCAGCTCAAGGTGATTTCCTTGTTCTATAATCTCACCATTGTTCATAACGATGATGTTGTCAGCGTTCTTGATGGTTGATAAACGATGGGCGATTGCGATGACAGTACGATTCTTGGCAATAGATTCGATAGCCATCTGGATGCGGTGCTCGCTTGCTGAGTCGAGAGAAGCGGTAGCCTCATCAAGGATGATGATTTTAGGATCACGAATCAAGGCTCGAGCTAGCGCAAGACGTTGTCGTTGACCACCACTTACTAGTTTTCCACCAGTACCAACCAGTGTTCCGTAACCATACTCAAGTCTTTCAACGAAGCCAGATGCATCGGCAAGTCTAGCAGCCTCCTGAACACGGTCAACCAGATCAACCATATCCTGGCCGAAGCCTTGCGCTGCTGTCACCAAACTCTCACCTTGACGGAGCTTAGCGGCAAGATCGGCAAGGCCAGTGCCTAGGATTGTGGCTTTGAATCTCTCGTGTTCAAGTTGGGCGGAGTTCAAGATACCAAGGACAATATTCTCTATGATTGACCGGTCCAGGAGGGAGGGCTCTTGTTGTACAAGACTCATGTGACTTCTCAAACCCTTGACATTGAGGCCCTTGACATCATGTCCATCGAGAAGAACTATACCTTCGGTGGGATCATAAATTCGAGATGTGAGGCCAGCGACGGTAGACTTACCACTGCCAGAAAGACCAACAAGGGCTGTGTACTTGCCAGCAGGGCATTCGAAGGAGACATTGTTCAGCACGTTGTGGTGAGGTCTCGAAACATAAGCAAAAGAGACGTTTTTGAAAGACACGGTTCCTTCCACCGATGCGAGCTTCTCCCCCTTGTCGGACCCTGTGTCGATGATAGCTGGGTTGTCCATATCCTCGCGAAGTTTTTCGAAAGATCCGACAGCAGCGCCAACGAGTGGTAGTAAAGGAGCAATACCACCGAGAACAACGCAGGCTAAAATTGGTCAGTCATCAGGTTTCGTTCGGAGACTAAAACGTGCTTACCATCAACTAGCAAGAGAATAACAGTATAAATGTCACCAACAGACGCATCACCGTTGCCCTCGACCATGTCAGCAATTTGACTGCTACCCTGCCAGAAAGCAAGAGCGTTGGCCGAGTAGGCTATAAAGTAAAGCAATCCAGCTTGGACAGCAGCAACAAAGGCCTTATTGATTCCTTGCTTTCGTGCTCCCTTCATCCTCTCCGCAAAGATGGCCTCAAGTCGAGGACCTGCGCCAAAAGCCTGGACAACGGGAATGTTTGCCAGGACTTCTGAGGCGATTGAAGAAGCAGATGCGATCTTTTCGGACATGGCAGTCGCAAACTTTGCAGTAAACATGCTTCCTATGATGGCTAGCAACATGAAAGCAGGTACAAGCGATACAAGAATGCCTGCGAGTGTGGTATTCTTGACAAACGCAACGACGTACGATGAGACGAAGAACGATGTGCATCCCATGATAATACCGACTTTCTCCGAAGTGCCAGACTGAATTACCTGGATATCGGTATTAAGGCGGGAAGTGATTTCTCCAGCCTGCCTCTTGTCAAAGAAGGTAGCATCTTGCAACAGAATGCTCATGAAGTAGCGATCACGAATGCGATTCTCGAGACGGCGACTAAAGATTGACCAAGACACAATGTAAGTGTAGATAAGCGCAAAGCTGATCACGCCAATCCATGTGATCATGACAACTTTCTTGTTGATACTGTCTTGGAGTTCTTTTGGAGAGTATTGAGACACGACTTCGCCATTATCGCAGGATGCAGTGTTGAGATCGTTGACGAGTTGGCCAAATATGATGCCCATCAGAGGGAACGGAGCACCGGTAGCGCAAGCCGTGAGTGTTCCTACGGCGAGAAGAAGAATATCGATCCATGTTGGGTTGGCATAGAAGAGGAGTTGGAAGTAGCTGAAGAACGAGCGCAGCTGTGAAGGGTATTAGCAGTTGTGTAAGTAAAAAACCATTACAAGTGGACTTGTATTTTTGGTACAAGACTTGCCTTGTTTCTCTTCTTCGTCTCAGGCGAAGGGACTGCCATCCTGACTGTGAGTTGCAAGGCAACAATGATACGTTTACAGCTTGCGATACAATAGACACAGATAGAAAAGAAGAGGAAGAAAAGGAAGGGAAAGAGAACTCATGATGAGGGTTTTGCCGTGCCGCTAAACATCGGCCATCAACATCAGTCACTGAAGGGTATGGTCATCTTGGCGAACCCAATGACCCTCTCCTCCAGAATACAAAAAGCTAGGATGGCCGACCGCAGGAGACGGAATTAGTAATCCAGCTTGTGCTGCAGTGGTCCACACTCTTTGATCATTTATTTTTTGCAGCCGAGCTCTGCTTCTGTCTCGACCTCTCCTTCGGTAAGCAATAGAATCAGCCCTGGATGATCACTAGTGAGGAACAAGTTAGAAAAGCCGGAACGGAGACGGAGACGGAGCAGAGCCTCTACCTCTAGTTTGCTCTTAAACAAGCATAATTTTATAGTAGGTCTTACCCTGGTCTTGTCTTGGCATCTCTAATGAGGATAAGGTCACCGTACTAGAGAAGCGAAGGATTGAACATCCCCACTGAAGAAGAGAATAAAGTCTAGGATCCTACATCTCAAAGATGTAGATAGATGCCGTAGAACAAGCAGATGATGTTGGGATTTACCGTAACTTGCCCTAAGGTAGCTTGAGTGCTGCACGGTGCTGGTCCAGCAGTGCTGTGAAGAATATTATATCAGTTTTCTTGTGGAAATCAAATTGTTAATTCCGTTTTCAAGCCAAGCACTGATTCCCTGTACGAGTAACAAACAGCCACTTCAGATTGTTAAGGATTCTTCCGATCAGATAATTTTTTGACTAGGCTGCCAAGACTAAAATGTGTGTGTGACAGCCATCACTGTTGGGTTGGGTTATCAGATCGGCGTACAACTCAACTCGCATTAGTACTCTATACAAAGAACGGAGGCACTTTGAGTAAGCAATAAGGCCACAGCATTGCACAATAAAGAAACCGTTTGGTCTACGAAGTCAATGTTGGTGTTGTAACCGTTACTTGGAGTTGAAAATGACTCAAGTTAATTGTTTACACAAGCATATCCTTGCTGATCTTCAAAAGGCACAAGGAGATCGGCCCAACTCGTCTCTCCGTCCTACGCTACGAACCGTTAGTCCGGGATGGTTGCACACAATGTGGAAACATTGTAGCAATTTGATCAGATAACAGTCTTCTCACTGTGTCTGGCACTATGACTAAGCGGCGAGGATGGCTTTCCGTCGGATCTGATAATTCTTGTTCTCATCCCAACCAGTGGAGACAGTTCTCTCAATGGCTGGCTGCCGCTGCCTTGGACGGATCTGATAACTTTAACTCCACATCTTTAGCATCTTCAAAAAGTCCCCAACATCATCACAATGGAGCACGCCCCGCTACAATTCAGGCGAATCTCTTCTGTTACTGGCCATTTATGATTCACTCATGATGGGAAACTGGGGACTTGTCATGACAGAAACCAGGGAGATGAACCCTTGTCCCCAGAGGAGGCCGGTCTTGGCCCGATGTTGAGGGCTTTCAGCCGAGTACGATACCGAGCATCATGTGTCAATTGTTTTGCTGGCGGTTGCTTCGTTCATTCCCGGATCTGCATTTCTTTGACCTCCTTTTCCTTCTTTAATAGCTCGGACTATTTCTTTCTCTTCTCTTCTCTTCCTCATTTCTCAGCTCATGATCATCTCTCGAGTATCTACCAAGTTCTCGGGACGACTTTCCAAAGCCACCCACACTTGTACTCAGACAAGGCGTTCTGACACATCTCGTGCTTCTTTACCAACTTTTATTGCGCCGAATCTTTGTCTCTCTGCAGCATCTGTCTCGAGAGCGTCACTTCAGCAGCTCCCATTTCGAAAACATTCCATAGTCCATACAGTCAAAGGATTCGCTACAATGGGCTCGCTTCCAGAAACCTCAAGCGCCGTACGTGTGCTTATCCTCGGTGGTTGCTATGGTGGTCTAGCTGCTGCCGTCAACCTGTTGGATCTGAGCCAGGGTTACTCTCCTCGTATGAACTCTGAGCCATATACTCACCACCCCAACTTGCCTACTTTCAACATCGAGATCACCATCGTTGATGAAAGAGATGGTTACTGTAAGTGCTTTTTATCTCAAAACCGAGCTATATGATACTAACACATTACAGACCACTTGATCGGCTCTCCCATGGCCCTTGCCGACTCTGCCTTTTCCAAGAAGAACTGGGTCAAATACTCTGACATCCCCGGCCTCAAAGATCCCAGACTCAGCATTATCCAAGGCTCAGTCACCAGCGTCGACCCCGCTTCAAAGAAAGCCACCATCTCAGCCCACCTCACCGAAGAGAAGAGCACTCTCGAATATGACTACCTCGTTGCCGCCACAGGTCTACGCCGCGTCTGGCCGGTGGTTCCACAGTCCCTGACTCGAAAGCAATACCTTTTCGAAGCCGAAAACCATATCAACGCTGTCCAGAATGCAAAGCACGGTGTCGTTGTGGTCGGTGGAGGTGCCGTCGGCATTGAGATGGCAGCTGAGCTTAAGATGGTCAAGCCTCATCTCAACGTAACACTTGCTCATTCGCGTGACAAGCTTCTCTCATCTGAGGGTCTTCCTGACGAGACCAAGGACGTGGCACTCGAGCTACTCCGTGAGGCTGGTGTTGAAGTCCTCATGAACCACCGCCTGGCCTCCAAGAACAAGGTCTCGACTACCGACGGCAGTGAGAAGCATGATATTGAGTTCACAAACGGTCACAAGATGTCTGCTAGCGTAGTGATCATGGCCATCTCCAGAAGTGTTCCCACTACCACATATCTGCCCCTCTCGGCACTCGATGAGGATGGCCTGGTCAAGATCAAGCCCAAGTAAGTCAAACGAGTTCCTCATACGTCTCATCACTGACTAATTTCTCTGCAGCCTACAATTCGAACAAGGCACACCAAACGCTGAATCTCACTACGCTGCTGGCGACATTACCAAGTGGCCTGGTATCAAGCGATGTGGCGGCGCCATGCACCAAGGCCACTACGTCGCACTGAACATCCATCAGAACATCCTTAGCCAGCGAGCCGGACACGTTCCGTCATATAAAGAGATCGCAGTCTACCCACCTGTTATTGGTCTTGCGGTTGGCAAGAAGGCTGTTGCTTTTAGTCCAGACACTGGCACCACTACTGGCGAGGATGTTCTCCAGTCTTGCTTCAGAGATGATTTGGGTTGGACAAGTAAGTTGTATCTGATTTGCAGTTATGAAACAGCCACTAACTCACGATGACAGTTTGCTGGAATTACATGCAACTTGGTGGCCGCAAGACTGACGAGGCTAAGGCTTAAGTATAGATAATCATGGGTTTGGCGTTTGGGATATTATATAGATGACACCAGAATGTGCCATATGTTAGCCACTGTTGTTAGGATATTGTTTTGATGTTTACTGGGTTAAATAAAAAGTTTTTACCGTGCAACAAGGCCTACCATCGGACTGTTCAGTACCAATTTTGAAGCCATCTCCGGCATTGCTCGCTGTCTTTCGACCGAGTATCGCTAGTAGGGCCGGTTGAACTCATGTTGCAAAGCGCGAATAGTGAGAATCAAGGCTGTCGAGATGTCTCAATAATAATAAGCAAAGACGATTGGGAGTGAGGCTAGGAAATGGTAGGAAAGCTTTCTGGAAATATCTGTAGTTGGATACGTTAGAGTTTGTGTGAAAGCTTGTGAGTCTGGGTGTGGCCATTCGAGAACGAAAGAAGCCTCTCACATGGGCTGCAGTTTTTTTATTCACGTGCTAATGAACTTTTTCACTATATTAATTAAGAATATGTTGCAAATAGGCAAATAAGAACCAAGTGACGACTAGGAAAGAAATACTATGAAAGATTGACGTTCCTAAATGGCGGACTCGGCATCTTCGTTTACTGCCTCAACAACTAAGGTTTCCTCCAAGTGTCACTTAACATCTGATAACCGGCAGTAATGGCCTAGTGTCTCAGATGAAAACTGATTGATAAGATATTACCACATCGGTGGAACTGAGAGATCAGCTGTACCTGAGTGTCGGGATCGATCGGCATGCACACTGGTGATCAACAGCTGCAGAAGCACTAGATTTATCGGAATATCCACGACTGATATATAGCAGTTGACTGCTTAAGTTTACTTCAATACATCAGTAGTCCAATCATACGAACATTCTGTCCTCTACAAGATCGAGCTTGAAGCATCCTTCAGGTAATCGAGACGCTCGGCCGAGAGTATAAGGAACGGCGATTTTAAGCCAGCTAACACGACTTTTTAGATCAATCCATTGTTGATACTTCTTTATAAATTTTAAACAAAAAGAATCGCCGATGCCTTCTCAAGCATTTTCTAAAGCCGGCCGCTTCTAGTATTCATGCTCAGTAACGAGGCCTGAAACCTCATGTTGATATTGTATTACAATAGCCATATCTACTTCATTTAAACGAAGACAACAAGACGGCATACTCCGTGCCACGCTACAAGGCTGCGAAACATGTTCATTACTCTATTTCAAGCTGGATGCTTCTGTATGGACACATGGAGTGCTGGGACCCGGGTCAAGCAGCAAGCTGACTGCTTGTTTCATCGGAACCTTTGTCCCATACCCTCGGCGGTTATGATTCTATCAGGTCATAATTCCTCCATTAGGTACAACTTCTGCATCCGGCAAGGTTCATGATGAATTTTTTGCCAACGCCAACAGGGATCGGTGGGGTTGTGTGGAAATATCTAGTTAGTGTCGTTCGTTGAGCGGTTTATCAGATCGTGCTAACGAGCGGTCAAAACAGGCAATACTACGTAAATTTTGTCTAAGACCCTTGAAGTCCGACAATCGGATGACGAAGGGGGCGTGTGAGGAAGAAAAAAGAAAAATTAGTGAATAAGGGCTCATGTTATCAGATCCGCTCGGGTCCACTTGATAATCTTGACCCTGATCAGTCCGGGATCGTCAGCGTCTGCTAGCCATAAAATCTTACTAAATGGTTCCGTTATTGCGTCGTCGATGGAGTTTAGGATACGAAGTACCTAGTTAGTCAATAAACTTCAATCCACAAGAGCCGAACTTACCTCAAAGATGCGGAATTAACGAACACGATACACCGAACATGTTCCACTTATGCAGCTAGCTCCCTGTCCTGTTGCGAATAGCTTCTCAGTGTGGTTCAACACTTCTTTCTCTCCCTTTCCAAGTCTCTTCTGACTCCAAGTTTCCCCATACCCAGCTGCGATAACAATGTCGACCCCATCAGGAACATTCTCTAATCTCAAAGCTGGCGACACCATCGTCAAGCTTCCTCACCCATACCAAACTGAGTACACAATCGAAGCAGCTTCAACACCATTAGGTGTGAACTCTCCCGTCTACAAGCTTGTTCAAAAAGGCCCTGCTTCGGCCAAGGCTCTTCCTTTCAACCTCCAACATCCCGGCCTCATCTTCTCAGACCCAATTGATCTTAAATCGAGCCAACTTCCACCTCAATCCAACAATAGCCCTTGGGCCCGGGCTCGTCGCTCACCATGCGTCACTGTTTATTGGGATGAAGCCGAAGCGCCAACTTTGGCGCAGGTCTGGCTATTGACATATGCTCTCTTCACCGTGAGAACGAATGTAGAGTCGTATCGATTGGAGCTTCGAGGTGCCAATGCCGGTGTTCTGGGTCAGCAGCTGACAGCAGTCTTGCTCGCAATTGGCCACCCACTCAAGGGCCGGGAGAAGCGCCAGGCCTCGGACAAGACTGACGAGAGTCTTGTTCTCCTATTGCGAAGCACTTTCTGGCAAGGTGCTGGTTCACCCTTTGGTCCACGACCAGTTTGGTGCCCTGCCGAATCACCTGCGTCTCTGCCAGCATCAAACCCTCTTGGTTCATACCCTTTGACTCCTCTGCACAACACAACAACCATCACGGTTGCTGGCGATCCTGATGATCCTGAGCGCGTTCAACAGTCGTGGCATCCAGTCAGACCAGTTAAGCCTGCACCTGGCGCAACGGTTTACAGTCGATGGATTCCCCATCTCAACGAAACATTTTCCATGGTTTCTGTTGATTATACCGATGCTGAGCATATGCGCCTCTTTCACGAATGGCAAAACGATCCTCGTGTCTCTCAAGGCTGGAACCTTACCGGTACTCTGGAACAACACCAGGAGTATCTTCACAAGGTTCACGATGACCCTCATGTTATTGCTCTGCTTGCAAAGTGGGATGACACCTCTTTCGCATATTTTGAGGTCTACTGGGCCAAGGTATGTTCATTCTCGTATTGTCCTTTTCTTGACGACGTTCTGACACTTCTTAATAGGAGGACCGCCTTGGTGGTTATTTCAACGCTGGTGACTTCGACCGCGGTCGTCACTCGCTTGTAGGTGATGTACGCTTCCGCGGACCCCATCGTGTGTCTGCGTGGTGGAGCAGTTTGATGCACTACCTCTACCTTGATGATCCTCGCACTATGTTTGTGGTGGGTGAAACCCAGGAGACAAATACCACCATTGTCATGTATGACTTTGTTCATGGCTCTGGGCTGGACAAGCTGGTAGACTTGCCGCACCAACGAAGTGCTTTTGTCCGATCTTCTCGCGAGCGCTTCTTCCAGCTATGCCCACTTGCAGATAACGAGAAGGTTGTTGCCGGTACGAAATTGGGTCTTGTACCCAAGCTGTAGGAGGAAGGTTTATTTATAATTTTAGATTATTCTTGTATAACCAAAAGCCACCAAAAGAATTATAATTGAGAATTTAATACAATCATATTGTAGGTACTAATATAATGTATAATGTAGACGGTCCTGTATGCCTAACTACTACTATGACGACCGTACCTACCTAATCTCACCTGTGACTTGAATTTTACAGGGTTTCCCGCATCCTTGCCAGGACAAACCAACAGGAGCTCAATCACTTTCTTTCATCTCTCATATACAGCTTCTATATTAAAATTCAATTCTATCTTGAGCTTTTGTATCCAGATTTTAAATATCAAACTCCATTACGCTTTCAAGGCATTCTATCCGAGACTCAAACAAGACTGACTTGTTTACAGTTTCGATACATTTTCCTGCTTTCGCAAAAGTTCGTCACCCAACTTCGCCATCTCGAACTTGCGCACTTTACCACTTCCTGTAAGGGGAACTGTCGCTGGCACATCGTCATGGCCCAGCCAGAATACGTGTGCTGGTGACTTGTGGCCGCCAAGTCTCTTACGACACCAGTCTTTGAGTTCCTCGAATGTGGGCTTCTGATGACCATCTGCCAGCTCAACAAAGGCACCGACGACCTCACCATAGTGCTTGTTCTTGAGACCGACCACGATGGCACGGGTGATAGCCGGATGGTCCATCAGTCGCTCCTCAATCTCGAGTGGGTAGATGTTCTCTCCACCTGTTGAAGCGGGGTTAGCTAATCATTTCTTGCTGGCAGGATTCTTCACTTACCTCTGATGATGATATCCTTGAAGCGGCCAGTAATCGAGCAATAGCCATTCTCGTCGAATACAGCTTCATCGCCAGTGTGGAGCCAAAGAACGCCCGAGGCATCCCTTGCCATAGTTTCATTGGTCTTCTCCGAGTTGTTCCAGTATCCAGCCTGGAGCTGATAGCCACCGATGCAAAGCTCGCCACGCTCGCCAATGGGGACAATATTTCCATCACGATCAACGATCTTAGCCTTCGCATGGGGCATCAGCGTACCGACAGTTGTAAGACGAGTGTCGATGGAATCGTCGGTGAATGCGTTGAAGCAAGTCGGTGACGCCTCAGTAAGACCATAACTGCTAGTGAATTCGGTCATCCCGAAGCGGTTGACAAGAAGCTCCATCAAATATCGCGGCACTGGTGCACCAGCAATGATTCCGGTGCGCAGGTTGTCACAGTTGAAGTTTTCAGGCCACTTGGCCTGGAAGAGCGAATCGAACATAGCGGGGACACCATGGACAGCAGTGCATTGCTCATCAGAGATCGCTTGAAGTGTCGCTTGAATATCAAATACTTCAGCTGGGTACACGATCTTGCCGCCATGAGTGACAACAGCAAGAAGACCAAGCACCAGACCGAAGCAGTGGAACAGTGGTGGAGGACAGCACAGTACGTCAGCAGGTCCAAGTCGCATACGATCACCAATAAATCGGGAGTTGTTGACCAGGTTGCTACTCGTCATTAGTTCCTGTTTTCAGACCTGTCGTTCCCAACCTGACTTGAGGATGGTCTACTTACTGGTGTGTGAGCATGGCAGCCTTGGGAAGTCCAGTTGTTCCGCTGGTGAATTGAAGGTTGACCACTTGATGCGGCAACACCTTTGTCATGGCTTGATACAAACGCTGGTGGTTTCGTCGACGACCAGCTGTAACCAAACCGTCATAGGTCTCATATTTGCCAGTTTCATCCCCCCGAAGCATCACAACCTTGGGAGCTGTCTTCTTGTTCTCGAGCTGCTGTAGCAGTTGTGTCTGGTCGAGTCGGCCGATTCTTGGTGTCGTGAAGAAGATTTTGCTGTCAGAAAACTTCAAACCGTACATGGCTTCTGTCGGGGTATAGGTGTTGTTGAGAATGACGAGGATGGCGCCGATCTTGGCCACGGCAAAGAACACGGCTGCGTATTGCTCACAGTTTCCGGCCATGATTGCGACGCGGTCACCAACTCCGATTCCCATATCCAGCAAAGACTGAGCCAAAGAAGAGCTCTGCTGGCTCAGCTCATTGTACGTCCAGCGGGCACCGGTCCATGGGATGACCAGACACTCTTGGTTGCCATGTTGGTAATTTTGAAGCTCAAGTAGCTCACCCAATGTGAAGTCAACTAACGGGGGGTCAACAGGGCCTTCAAGCACTGAGAGCTTTTGTTTCTGCGCCGGAGCAGAGGGGACGTTCGTGATTTCGGTCGCCATGATGAGAACTAGATGAGATCTGCACTACCACTTCTTTCCAGAGTTCTTCGAAGGAAAGAGCTTCAAGAGGTCTCGAGAGAAATCGAAGCTCATAGAGAATCATGGCGGGCAACGATCAAGGGTACTCCCTTGTAATAATATGTGAGCGCAAGCTCGAACCGACGCTATCAACGCTTGCGCATCCGTGTTGACCCGTCATGATGATTTGCCCCACCATCAATGCCGTACTCCGTTCAGGCCCCATGTTTTTGGGATAAATCGAAGCCAATTATGGAATGATTGCATACAGCAAAAACCAAACGATGTGGGAACTTGCCAGGGTCAAGTTAATGCGGCAATTACGGTGGTGTCGAGTGAAGGAGGCGGCGCTAGATGTCGCCATCAGCATCATCCTGCCTTTGTCTCTGCCAAAGGAGGATGTCATGGCTGAGCAACTGAGCGATTCAAGATGCTTTCTCTACCTAGCTCATATCAATCGCAACCTCGTCTAGCAAAGACTCCAAAAGCCTGTATCTGTACAATACCGAACCCTGCAGTAGGAATCTGTTCCATTACGAAAAGCTCCTATTTCGACATGGTCCGTTGTGCCCAGATCAGTTCAAGCCAGGTTTTTCTAGCGGCTTTTTTTGTTCAGTGTATCTAATCTGATCATCAGATAAGATGAGCGATTCCCAAATCCAGAGCCAAGGCCGAGTTATTGCTACGTTCACACCCCAAAGCGAGATCGGCCCATGCAGGAAAATTTTTATCTGATCAATTGCAGTTCCGCATATCCGTTCTGTTGCAGTCAAATATCTTGGGTGTGTTCCAAAGTGGGACACCATTACATTCATGATCGGAATGCGAGAGGCCACTTGCCGTTACGACACGATCATCTTGATGGTTTTTAGCAGTATCGTCTAACCTCAAAGATGATGGAGATGAACTGCCATCGTCACAAGTGTTGCTCTCCAAGTCCGCTCTTGCAGACCCTCTCCCTCTGGTGGCGATTGAGTTAGTTAGGGTGCTAAATGGATGATCTCGGCATGCAGTGTTGCTTCAACGTCACTTCCATGGAGGCCCTGGCATGTGCAACGAACTTATCCTACAGCGAGCACTTCGAAGTTGAGTTGCAGCCGTTCCAGGTCAACCTGACGATTGACAGTAAGTCCAGAGAAATCTGCTCATTCATGCCAGCACCCTGGCTCTCGGCAATGCGGGCTAGAGGCTAACATGCCATAAGCCATTTAGAGTTATCTTCATTCAATTGGTAGACAAGCAAACACTGTTCACTTCTGCTATCGCAATATCATTTCTACCACCCACAGAACAGCAGAAGCTAAGTTAAGAATGTCAACATCCTATATGCTAAATAGTTCCTTCATACTCCTGCCGAAGGCAATTCTTTTTCGCCTTTGAACATGACGACCTTGTAGCTGGATGGTGTGGAAGCTACCGGGTAATTTTGACTATGTTCTGCCATAAGGAGTCGATCGTTTCGGAAGCCAACCATTGACTCCTTCCTGGCCATGCAATGAGGGTCTTGATCTATGTTCTACCTAAGTTGTCAAAGCCAAATGAGGGTCAACACAAGAGTTCAAATATGGACTATACAAGCTGACGCTTTGCATCCGAAACTTGTCTCCTGATCAGTTCTGTGGAGTTGCCTATTCTCCTTAGCCTATTCCTGACAAGCTTCACATCACCACTGTCGCTGGCACCTTTTATGACCCATCAGATAACGTGTGTTCGAGAGTTTGACTCATTTATAAGTAGTGATCACTCCAGTAGATAAACACCGGTCTTCTAGCAGCTCTACTTAAGACGTCAATTAATGGGTGGGACTCACATGAAGAGTCTCTTGGAGAGTTCCTAGCCCTACCAAGAGGTTCTAGCCAACACACCCTCTGAACCAGTTACTAATCATGCCACCTATCAATATTGCATGCAACTGGGGGTGGTTTGATGTATTTCCGTGAATTTATCTGCAATTATCATTCATTGGACGGGTTGTACAAGCGTGGTGTTCCGAGTGCGTGTCCTGTTAGATATGGAGGCTACTGGGTAGCAGAAAAAATGGCCTCCTAAGTCTTAGGGTATAAAAATAAGTAGTCTAAGAATTATAGCTTAAGGGGCATAAAGTGACCTACTAATTTTGTATCTTATGCTTCCAGCGGTTAATTTTTCTGATGCCCTGAGGGAAGGCTATTCTTGGTAACTTAACAGTCTCAACACCACAACGTAAAGCCATACTAGTCGGGTTGAGTGACCATCAAACTGCCAAACGCGTGGTTTAGGGGTCAGAATAACCTGGCTTGGATAGCCACTCCCAAGTACCAAGGTGAAACTCCTACGAGGATCGATGGTAGTGGGTCGACTGTCACTATACTTATCATCAAATGTTAGCAGGCTGGTAACATATAAATAGTCAACAGACAATATTCTCTCACCTTTCCAACAAGTTCTTTTAGACTTGAAAAGGGTCAAGACGTGAAGTTCATACTGGAAACAAACCTCATTGCCATCCCTTGGGACGGCAAAAGACCTAGACCAATCTTTTACAGTTGAACCAACACACGAAACTAGGATATACGGAGGTTTTAACCGTAGATATTTCGATCTCTCACTTGGTATTCTCATCATGAAGTTTATCGTAGTAATTCCCGTTATATAACGGTATGGAATTGTCTATGCTACCGCTGTGCTCAGCCGAGCTGCACTCACTATTATCTCCCTGGTCGGTGCCAACAAAGATCCTTGATTAATTAGGAAGTTATCTCGAGTCCTTCGAAAGTATATAAATATTTCAAACTAAAGGTCCTGGTGGGCTGGGTAGTTTGCTCGACATGTACAGTAAGTTACATCCTTGACTTGACGCGAGCACCGCGAGCAGTTCTACATTCGTGGAGTTCAAAAATCTATACGAAATACTTGTTCCTAAGCAGGGAGAATAGTATATAAGTTCCAAGACCTTGTGTTTTCCTCGTGTTCTGCATCGCTTTAACAGCTGTAAATGGTGATCTCTCCTGGATCAGTTCGTTGATATGTTGGCTGCACTAGCCAATAATCCCCCTGAACTCACGATAGACTGACTTGTGATGATATCTCACGCGTACATAGCCTCAAATGAACAAGCTTTGCCTGCTATTATCTATGTAGTTTGACAACCAAACAATAAAACTGAATACCCATTTCTTAGTAAACGAAACTAGGATAAGACTTCTTACTAACAAGACATGTCTAAATGCCCTGCCGACCCCTATATGAACTGGGAATTCGACTTTGATGCCCTCGATATCTATGCCATCTATGTTTGGTGGGTGTAGCCTCTGCATGAGAAAGACTACCTTCATAACATCTGCTCTCGCACCACCGTATTGCTACGTCTGGTCTGACATACCGTCAAGATAACTATGTTTAGGTTATAGGTCTATAGAATACAACTGAGGTCTCAACTACACTATCCAAGGCAACATCAACAGATCGTGTCTACCGGAAATGAGCATCGTATAAATGTCTATCTTTTCTACATGCCTTACTGAAATCAAAGTCTAAGACCTAGCAAACAGCAGAAACATTCGCCTCTGAACTAGGATATGGAGAACTAAACAATATACGCTATCTTCCTCATTTCATCTCTTGTGTTACGTACACTGCCACTCTACCTAGTGCTTCCCCTAACAACAACAACGTAGTCGTCGCCAACCTGACTCTAGTCTATGCTTTGCTGTCCCTGAGACTACATTAGAGTCATTGCTAGGCCTAACACCTATTCCACTGTTCTTGCCCCTGCAATTAAGTTTCCTACAAGCCATTATCGGACTCCGAAGTTGGTGATGCTTCCATGGGGCCAGCTTTCCAATGTTCGGTAGATGTGTACATGCTGTCTGCACATTACTGGCCTCATTTACTCTTAACGGCCGAGAGCTTTCAACAACAAGAACCAGCGTAATTGGTTTAGTGGTAAAATTCTCCGTTGCCATTCGAGCGACATCGGGGAGCCCTGGGTTCGATTCCCAGATTACGCATATCTTTTGCCGTTCAATGCCATTCTTTTTGCGCTATCTCGCTCTGTAGACATGTCATGCGTGTTCGTAGAGGTGATGATGGTGGTGTTGGCCCAAGAGGCCGTTATTGCGATTACCGAAATGGACCTTACAGATACCTTCGAGAGGTATGAGCCTCCCATAACAGACTGAGCATCCGAAAAGAAATGATGCAAAACGGTTATTTTCTGTCAACACCAGTCCATCTTGCTGTGAGACACTGAGAACTCGTATCCAGTAGGTTGGAGGTAAGGTTGTTGAGTGTAGGTATTCCCTTACACACATCAAGACGACTGGGCCATGTGTTAATATTTATATACCTGGACCATGAGGTGAGTTTCCAGTCTTTAATGATTCAATAATCGTATGCGTTTGACTCTGTATTGCAGGGTCAGCCTTGTATCTCCCCAACATCAGGTACACTCAACGCTTCACCCCCCAGTAACTCGAGGATTGAAATACTAGGATACCTCAAATCATGATAGAATACTGAATAACTATCAATATCAGGCTCACAGGTTTGAATTTGACAGTTGTGATGAGTTGGGGCCCCAGTAAAGTGTTGTTTCTTCCGAGTTGCTAAGGATCTTGGTTACTGGCTTGAGTATAAGGAGACCCCTATCGTCCTTGTCCACCCACAACTTGAAGTAAAGACTGCATGATGTCTACTTAGCTTTCGTATATTCGCATTGAACTATAGCGTCTTGGATAGACTGGCGATTTGTATGCATAGTTCTCATCCTCTTAGCTGCTGATATAAATTTCAAGAACGCTGTATTCCAAATCTCACGTCCAGAGTGTAAAACGTCCAAGAGCAAGCATAATTCAAAACAAATAAATAGTACATATTACAAACTCCCTTGACTATAAAGTTGTGAACCTAAGTGATTAGATTTTAATGGATTTGGCTTCTAAAATATGACAACTATTTTTTAACGAGTGATTAGGTTTGATATCTCATTTTTTACTTATTTGTTTATTTTTAGCTTCCAGTGGTCAATTTTTCTGATACCCTAACTCATGCCGCTCTGGAGATAAGTCGATTGTCATAGTTAAACAGATAATGTTCATTCGATGATTTCCCACGATTTTGAAATTTTATATTGACTTTTCTCCTCGCTATGGGTTGTGATAATAGACTTGAAGCGCGTTAATCTGCTACTGAGTAGCAGAAAAAATGGCCTCCTATAGAACTATAGCCTAAAGGGCATAAATTGACCTACTAATTTCATCTCTTATGCTTAAGGTTTTCTTTAAAACATTTCTCGCTGTTCAGGAAATCATTAAATTCCCTGAGATGGTCGCCAAACTCTGCTATGTTCGAGGGAGCAGCTGCCCGATCAACAGAAGCACAATCTGCCAGATCCTCACAGGATTTAACATAAATCTCGTTGAGATATCATCTATATGACTCAACTCAACAATCATCTAAGTATAATTGTCCCGGTAACCATCTATGTGTTCCTTGGGCAATGTTGCCATGTTGTATGGCCTAGAAAACAACCAACCACGGTAAATAGGATACGGACTTATAACACCAGGTACTGAACCAATTGAACTGCCCAAGCGGATAAATGATCGGCACGGTACCTCGCATACCGCGTACGGAACGACCCGTCGAGTTGGGTCTTACATCTCAACCACGATGACGTTGGAACTTTGTTGTGTTGGTCATGTACTCGCGGCTCAAACCTAATTCATCGCCTGTATGGCGTCAACCGAAGTCTATTACAGCACGAAAACACCGAGATCTTTCGCTGTCACATGCTGGTATGCATCGATCTTGATAATTCTGAATTGCAAAACACGTAGTTGCAAGTAATTAGCTCTGTTGAGAACAGGCAGGTATCAATGTGCTTGCTCACAGCTCATCACAAGAAACTCCAATAAGGGAAGCCCACTCCAAAACTCCATGCCCCTTCATGGTTATATCATAAAGGCACAAGTAGGGGAAGCAGATAGACCAAAAGAAACAAAACAAAAAACATACATCCTTCCATACATGGTATACCGAGCGAGAAGCGAGAGCCCATATACAAGCGCCTTGCATCAATCGCAATGATGTTCCTCCAAATTTTGTTCATAATCATGAGTTCGTGATGGAATAGCTTTATTTCGGTCCGTCGCCTGTCTCTCCAATGCCGAGGGCCCGTACGAGACTGCGTCGGATGCCCTTTCCACCTGTTGTATCGTCCTTGTCACGACCTAGTAGTCCAAAACTCATGCGTCGAACAGTACTACCTGCGTTCTCTGACTGGGTTGGGGCCTTCTTGGGCTTCTTCTTCTTGGCAGCGGGAGCAGGCGGAGGCATGGTCGGTCGGGGTGGCCATTCGCCATCTCGCTTCCAGCCTGTGACGCAGGCTCGGAGCATATCTGAGAGGTTGATAGGGCATGAGGGCTGAAGGCTATGGATGATGACCTTATCATATAGGCTGAGATACACAGAAGGTGTGATGGATGCGCGTAGGGGGTTGTTAGGAGGCAAGAGAGGCGGCGCAAGAGGAAGAAGAACCTCGACAGGATAGTTCCGGCTGTCGGGGGGTGTTGATGGTGTTGTGTCCTTGGATCGAGCGTTGCGAAGCTCGTCGCTTTTCGCAAGTGATGAACCATCAGAAGCATCGCTAACCTGCGGCGGTAGAGCGGACGCAGTTGTGGAGCTGGGAGGAGATGTCGACATGGAGCGACGGAAAAAGAAACGACGGGGAGATAGAGGTGACACAGCAGGGGGTGTCACAGGCTTGGCTCGGATACGAACAGTTCGTGCGCCGGTCCATGCATTTCGCCGGGCCTCGAAACAGGCCAGACCCTCATTCCACTCCATTTCCTTGCGAACATCTCTCCTTCGCTTGGCGCGCTTCGCCTGAACTGTCGCCTGAACAGTTGAGCCCACGTTGTTGGGGTTGTCGAAGCGAAAAGGTGAGCGCGAAGGACCTGGCTCGTCGTCATCGTCAGAAAGATCGGATGTCCACTCTAGACGTGTGCGAAAGCGAACGGGGTCTTCAGAGACAGTGCTGTAAGTGGATTCGGCATCGCTATTGTCGTCGTCCGAAGACTCGGGGTCATCGACTTGATAGCCATCGTCTTCACGTGTCTCATCATGAATTGGCTTTGCTGGCTCAGTGACATCAAGACTGGTTACAGTCTCGATAGCGTCAGGTGACTCGGAAGCCATGTCGACAATGGCGACGTCACCTTCAGCTAGTGGAGGGTCGACGACGCGAGATGGCCATGAGAAATCCCAATCATTCTTGATCTTGGCGTCAAGGTATCGTCTCACAGCTTCCTTCTGTTTCGCCTTGTCCTTACTGAGAAGGTCGGCGTGTTCATCGTCGTACCAATCTGGGGTATTGTCAGGCAATGAGGTCGGCAACTGAACCGAGTTATGACGGAGCTTGGCGATAGGTGATCGCGGGCTCTTATAAATGTCGGAGAATATCATGGCTGAAGATGATCCCGCCTGGGGTTCAGAGGCCCTTGAGGCAACTTGAGTATTGTTTGTTGGTGATTGCGTGGAAGAAACCAATGGCAATGAGACGGACTCGGAAGTCGGACTTGTAGCAGTTGTAGCGGCAGCGGTAGCCGTCGAGCGACAATGCGGGGGAACAGATGCGACCTGGAGTAGAGGGTGGACTGTTGTTGGGGAAGATGATATGATATTTCGGGTTGGTGACTGGGATGTATTTTGGTCTTGATTACTTGTCTTTGGGACTAGATAAAAAGATATTAATAGACATTCCTTATGATCGACAGTGAAGAATTTGAAAAGACAAAGTTTATAATCGTGAGAGAGGAACAAGACAAGGGCCAACGAAAAAAGAGGTAAATGTGCGTGTGGTACGAGGGGCGCCAGAGGCAAAGAAAGGGTAAGGTACGAATGGTTTATATGGAGGCGGTGGTGGTATCGTTGGAGCGGAGGTGGCGTTGCGTTGCGTTTCGGAGATCAGGTTAAGGTAAAGCGCTATTGACAAGGGCTCGTTCGCATGCATGGCATGGGTCATGTCCTGTGCGCTTGCTTTTCTGGGGGAACTACTCTGCAGACAAACGCTTCGACCTCTTGGTGTCTTGTCTTGCCCTGTCACTTTTTGCGGCTCCTTGTCCGCCAATTGTTTGATACGATGACGATGGGCTTGGTACTGCAGGCATGCAACGCGGGGAACAGGGAAATGAATAACCAGGGCATGCTCTCATTTTGTCATCGCAGCCAAGGCTCAGAGAGGTTTGACAAGCAGCTGTAACAGGAGAAAAGGCAAGGGCTCAGCTCACCTAGGAATGATCGGCGGCGGATCCCCAGAAACTAACTAGAGCCGCAGTGGGTTCGTTGGTGATGCGAAGGAATTGGGGATGAAATTGGTTTGAGACAGAGGAGAGGAGAGGAGAGAAGCAGAACAACAGTGAGAGGAAGAAGAAGGGGAACAACACAAGAATAAGACTTGGTGTCTTGCTTGCTTGACACACTTCCAAGCCGTACACACGTACGACACAAAAGAATATCCTGGTTTTTCTATGTAGGGACTAGGTTGCTTGAAGTAGCAAAGCTTGGATACTTGAGAGGTCCAAGACCCTGCATTTTCCAGACTTTGGGTATTTACGTCTGGCGGTGATCGATTCTGTACAGCCATGACCCTGCATGGCAAAGCAGACAGGACGAATATGATGAGAGTTGGTTTAGGTATGTATGGGGTTTGGGCAAGTATGGCATGTGTATGCATAGGCGTTGGCCGGTAGACAAGGTAGGAAGGAGTACGGATACAAGGAGAACAAGAAACTTACCACCACCATCATTGACAGGCGTCTGAGGACGGTCGGAGCCGACGACAGGTAAAGGATCACCAGGGCCAGCACCAACGCCAGCGCCAGGCTGTTTTGGCGGCATAGGAGGCGACATGAGATGGGTTCTCGGGGCAGGGGTCCAAGTCCAGAACTGCAACGATTGACAGAGTTTTTCCTTTATGGCTTGGGGGCTTCAAGGTTAGGTTTGAGAGTCTGGTTCTGGACCTGTCTTGACGAGTCTAGTGTATCCGTCCGTGTATGTATACCGGGCGAGTCAAAGAAATACCGCAGTCAAAAGAAAGAGATAATCTGATATTTCCGAGAACTCAACCACACACAGTTCCGCTCTGCTCTGGTTCGGTTTGAGTCAGCCTCGGAATGTGGGAAAAGTGGTGGTGCAGGTGGTTGGTGTTGTTGAGTTGTGCGACAAATTTCGAGGTTACAGTTCCTGATGGAGGAGGGACCCGCATTTAATCATCTTGGACCCCCCAAATGCTCGCCTACAACTGCTGTACAGGCCCTAGGCTAAGCTGCCAAAAAGCCTGTACAACAGAACCTAGTACCTGAGCATACCAAAAATGTTGGCCAGCAGAAGCATGAGACGAAATTAGTAGGGCACTTTATGCTACTTAGACCATACTCCTTAGGCTATTTATTTTTATATCCTAAAGCTCAAAGGTAAATTTTTCTGCTACCCACTAGCTGAACTGATGAGAGCGGGCCGTCTACCTCCAACTCTGGTCCTTGTATTGGGTCGCAAGCACCCTCTTTGGGTCATTGCGCTGAACTTGGGATCCTTGTTTTAGACGTAGAGACGGGCACTTGCAGTAGTTGGGAGAATAGAGGAGTGGGTGTCATCCATGAAATGAAATCGTGTCAATTTTCGTATTATTCTCTTGTCTCGAATCACATCAAATCAAATCAAATCAAGCCATGTGAATGAGTGTATTTGATGTGGGTAAAATGTCGTATGTCGTGTGACTATCATCCGCTCTCAATGGAAAGCTCCAGGTACAAGCGGGGGAAGAGCGGAGTGCTGCACAAGTCTCAAGTCTCCCAGCCACAGCGACAATCAGGCCTGTGGATGGAAAAGCTGGAGCGGTCAATTGATGTCTCTGGTTGGATCATCAAGGGTCAGCAGCCCAACTTAACCTTGAAAGCCTTGCGTTGTTGATGCACGTGGACGGACTATGACTGTCACCTGCACTGCACCATGAATGGGGGTATCAAACATCAATCACTGGCAAGGATTGTCGTTACTCAAGTGTTATTCCCTGTTATTACCTTAGAAGGGGAAACAACTAATCTCGACAATGTCATCTTGGTTTACTATGACCCTCCACTTTATACCCAGCATATTTCGTTTAAGATACGTGATATTATTAAAAACATTCATATCAAAATATTATCCGTGCCGTCTCCTCAGTTATCAGAAAAGTTAGCCGTTTAAAACATAAGGGACGAAATTAGTAGGTCACTTTATGCCATTTAGGCTATGAGTTTAGGTCATTTGTTTTTATACACTAACTGGACCTGGCATGTTTCGTTTGAAAGACGTGATATTAAACCTAATAGTGCATATTCAAATTAGAACATTGTCCTATCGTTACCCCAGCAAGTGACGTAGGTGGTTTGGTTTTAACACCAGCAAAGTCAACGACAAAACACGAGCCACTGTCGGCTATCGCGGCTGCTGACTAAAATACACCTTTGTCAACCACTACACTCCCTAGACTCCGTACCATATCTGTCCTGGGTCCGACTTCATATTCCTATGATTCAGTGCGAGTCTTCTTGTTTGCCGCAATAATTTCATCATCGCTCGCCTTGCGCTTTTGGGCGCCGGTAGTACTTTCGGTGAATGCAGTAGTTGTAGCAATAGTGGTAATGGTTGTGCCAGTAGAGTTGGCCTGGGACATGTCTGCAAATGGTTCATCCCAATTGGGCACGTATCCTCCTGAGCTAGGCTCATGGTCAAAGAAGGACACATTCCCATTGTTGTTCAGGTAGTTATCAAATTCCCCGAGATGATCACCAAACAAAGCAGGATCAGTCAGAGAATTTTCGAACGAGGCGGTAGCAATTTGGTTAGGCTCTGGGGTAAGCCGGGCGATGTCAAAGAGAGAAGCCGTGTTGGAGGAGTCGCAGGAGTCGGAGGGCTTGTCGGGGGGGCCGCTGCATTCGTCCATGTCAAGGAATTTTCTCAGCGCCTCATAGGTCGACCTAAACTCCTCATTTGGATCCTCTTCGCCAGTGGCAGCAAAGGGCTGCTCCATGAAATCTTGACCGGTAGTGAAAGCGTCAGTAGCACCAGTCTTAAAAGCATCGGCTGTTGTGGGTTTGCGTTGCTTTCTGACATTGACCTGGCCTGTTGGCGTCGTGTTCTTGGCCTGCTTGGCCTGCTTACCAGCCGCCTTCTCATCTCGAAGCTCCTCCACGAAACGGTCAATCAAAGCTTTGTCAACTTCCTCGTTCTTGTGTGCATCAGAAGTTGGAACATAGTAAACTGGCTTGTTAGAATCAGCCAATGAAGAAGTAAGGGAAGACTCACTGGAGTACGCGTCAGAAGGAGGAGTTATAGGTTCTCCCATTCCATCGTACTCTAGTTGAGGATCATTCCGCTCAATACGAACGACGCGGCGCTTACTGGGATGGGGGGTGACGCCATTTCGCTTAGCTTGGCGAAGATACTTCTCGTTCTTAGTCAAAGGAGGCTGATGGGTAGGTTGAACTGTGGGGGAGCTCTGGGGAGGAGTTGGAAGATGGATCAGCTGCTCTGTAGTAGGGTCTTCTGAAGTTGCGAGACCTCCCGTAGTAGAGGTACGTGGGACAATTGGGTATTGTTCATGGGCATTGAGGAAGTCGGTAGCTGGGTATTTTGGCTGAGGTCGGGGGGTCATGTCCACCTCCTTCGCGACGTCTAATGGAAGTGTCACGCCATGGGCAACAACTTCTAGACGATTCGCCAGTTTGGCTGCGGCGCTGTTGTTGACAGGTTTGTTACGGCGTTTGGAAGCAGCGTTGCCAGGCTTGGCAGGTCGACCGCGCTTGGGCTTTGGGGCAGCAGGCTCGGGCAGGGAGCTCTGTTGCAAGCCCATATCGGCCATAAGAGAGGTCGGCATCATGCCCCTCTGAGCCATCTGAGTCATCCAAAGCATCATCTGAGGGTTTTGCATCATGCCCATCGGAGACGGGAAGGGCATATTGCCATGTGGAGTGACATTAGCCTGAACAGGAGCGAAGGGGGTAGCAGCAGAGTTGAGACGGGCAGAACCCTGACCGCCCATGCTGGAACCTGGCATGCTGAACTGAGTTTGAGGTTGGCGGTCATAGGCCGTGGTTGAGTGTGGCGCGCCACGCGGAATCGAGCCGTTGACGATCTGGGCCTGATAGTTTCTCGTAGGGCTGGACTGATCATTGGTCCCGATGGGAATCTTGTAATAGCCAAAGGGGTCTCGGACGGGCATGTTTTCCATTCCCACATGGCTCTGACCATTGTCATAAGGCTGCATGGACTGGACTTGGTTGTTTGTGAGAGCCTGAGCATTGCCGTTGATTATCGAGGCCTGGTTCAAAGAAGGATTCGGAGCACCAGCATTGACCATCGCGGGAGTGCCAGAAGAGAATGGCCAGGCATTCTGGGGAGGATAGGGGGTGTTGGGAGTGTTACCAGACATAATGCTGAGTTGACCACTGGTTTATAGATATACTTTTGAAGTATTGCAGCGAGTAGAGAAGAGTGAAGAGTGATAATAGCTAGAAGCTGTTAAAGATGGGGGAGAAGTTTGTGCTGCAAAGCAAGATGATAAATCGGAAGGATGAAAATTGCAAAGGTCGTGGGCAGTGGGTTATTATATAGTTACCTCTTAATTTTAAGTTTCTGACGCGATTTGATAAGAAGTCAGTCCTTGAATTCAAGGACCGGCAGGTGTCAGGCAGCTGGCAAAGCAAAACTGCGAAGTCGGCTGCGCCTCCGGAAGAACTTCAAAAAGGGCCCCTTCGGACCCATCGAGATGTATACTCGCGATATACAAGTTATCTCGACATATTAGGAAGGTTTGAGATGGAATATTGCGAGCTCAGCACGTATGGTGTTGTTAAAATTTAGAGGGAAGGGGTTTTATACTATAGGACATGGCTGCACACCAAAACAGAACAATCATATCATTACATTTGGTGTCTCTATTACATTCTATCCATCATGCCTCTGTCCAAGAACAATCACTTTTCGAAGTATTGTCTCTCTGTGGCGTTGAAGTGCTGGTTGTCCAGCCCTCCCCTACCCCGTTATCTGAATAAACTCTTGATGAGTCAAACAGATTGTTGCCGGGTTACCTAGCACTCTGGATATTATAATAGCATTTCAAGTTACGCGTCATAAGAGGGTATTGTTGGTAGATGCCTCAAGGGCAGCACAAATAGCTAGAAGCAGCCGCGAACTCCAGTCTTGGCGGTTCGCGGCTGCCAGCGTAGTTAAAGAGCTTGCATATCAATCAAGTGCTCGAGCCATCCACAACAAATGGCTTGCATATTGGGGGTGCAATGTCCACGGCCTGCATGGGGGGGCTGCCCCATTGTGAACCAAGCTGTGACACATCGGTCACATGATTGTATTTCTCAGCCCCTTACGGAGTTATTCTTGTGAGCACTTTGTGAGCAGATTTGTCGTGTTAGCCTGGAGTCTACGTAGAGCATAAAGTCCTAAATTATCCTTGCCTAATCTTCCAGCCCCTATTTCAGAGTCTACCAGACTTGAAGGGGGCGTTGCAATAGTTGCGAGACCCCGTCTACTAGATACTCCTACGTCTTAGGGTATAAAAATGAGTAGTCTAAGAACTATACTAAGGAGCATAAAGTGACCTACTACTTTCATCTCTTATGTTTCCATTGGTCAATTCTAATACCCTAAGGCCCGTATATGCAAACAGAAAAAACGAGATCCTGCTTCCAACGTAGAGGTAGGTAACAATATATCATCGTGTGGGATTACAGACTTTTCTAAATCGCGGTAGTAGTATTATCTGTTTTGAGTATAGTAAAGAGTAAGACAAACAAAAACACCTTGGAACCAGTTTGATTTCTTTTCCACATTCAAGGCATGTCCAACCCCAGGAATCGATCAATATGCAGGGCCGTCCAATCTTCAATGATTTATATGTTTAGCAATGAAAATCATCCTCACTAGCTCCTCTCGTCGAGTGTGATCTTAGGCAACCTCTTGTACCATTTTGCCGGGTTGCAGTTTTGGAGAACCAAAAACCTGACCGGCCGGGCTATCAAGCATCTCTTCAGTCACTGCAACCCGCACGCCGCTCTTGTTGCTGACCCATCGGATGAAAACTGGGTCTGGCTTGTTGGCTTCCTCGCCCGAAGCGGCGGCTTTGCGGTTGACCTTCGGGGCCTGTTTCTTGAGCAGCTTGTTGATAGTTTCCATCTGCAGTAATGTCAGCTTTCGCACTCGTTTCTCTTCCAGTCTACGTTTTGTACCTTTACTTCCTCGTTTCGCTTTTCACTCAGGTTGCGTCGACGCCGGGCCATTTCTTGGCGGCGCATAGACAGCTCTTCGGCCGTGAAAACCTTCTTGGCTTGAACCTCTGCAAATGGTGATTAGTTTCAGCCACGTGCAAACCATCGAATCACTCACCATCGGACAGCTTCATATACTGATGCTCCTTCTCGTCTTCGAAACGAGCTCGTTGACGCTTTGTCATCTTCGTGAGGTCAATGGACTCGTCTGGGTTGCCATCGTCGTCTTCGTCTTCGTCATCTTCGCCCCCTTCACCCTCGTCATCTTCTTCGTCATCTTCCTCATCCTCGTCGTCGTCAACTTCTGGGCCGGCAACCTCGATTTCTTCCCCTTCAGCGTCCTCGTCGCCATCGTCGGCCATAGTCTCATCTCCAAAGCCCATGGTCTCATCACCCATGTCGCTATCAGCCGGATCACTGAGCTCATCGTCATCGTCATCATCGTCATCCTGGATGATTTTGGCGGCTGATGCCCTGGGTGCCGGCTTTGATCGGGCTGGTTTGGAGACGGTGATGGTCGGAGGAGCTAAGTCCATTTCAACGTCACCTTCAGCATCAACATCCATGTCATCGTCATCATCTTCCTCCACCTCGATTTCTGCTTCCTCTTCTTCCTCCTCGTCCTCGTCAGGACTTGAGTCAACAACGTAGCTCTTCTTGGCCCCGCGATTTCGTTTTCCCGACACAATCTCACCGCCCTCGAAGCCACGGTCTCCTCGTGTGGCTTGTCGAAGTTTGTTGGATGGAAGCTTTACGGTCAAACTTAAATGGCGATCGCCTCCTGGTGAGGAATGGTCGTCTCTCGAGACAGACACGCCTGAGGCGCGACCAGATCGTCGTGACGACATGCTTCTTTCGCTTCTTTCTGGAGAGTCAGCCAATCTGGCATGAACGGAAATCGTTTCGTTCGCCTTGGCGGCTGCCGAGCGACGTGGACGAGAGCTCATGATGTCAGATAGTCGCGCTCGCGACTGAGAACGAGGACGGAGTTGAAGGCTGAAGAACAGGCAAAACAGCGAAGAATAGGAATGAGGTTTGTGTTGTTCGTGTGTCAAAAGAAAATATCGAGGATCCCAGACTTCCGGAACAAAAAATGCAAATGGACGGAGTGAAGCGTAAATAGCGAGCTGTATCATACAGCCAGGTGAAGTGATTGAAGGGGCAAGTTTAGGGAAGGTCGTTTGGTGGCAAGGCTGAATGAAATAAGCTCAAATCGTTGGGGTTGAGACGCAAACCAACAAATTGATTGGTAGGTCAAGACACGGTCGCGACAAGACAAAGATATGAGCAAGGGCAAATGCGGCGCTGATGTTGGTGGCAACTACCGTGTCTAAGGATAGATGTATGTAATAATACAGTGTTCGTGGCAGGCAAGGTAGGCGAAGACTTTACGACCCTTCATTGGTGACATACAACATAAAGTTGCAGGATGCAAGGCTGAAGTGAAGGTTTGCAGACGACCAATTAATATGACTTATGATATGTCATGCCAAGCGAAAGTCAAGCCGTATCGCCTACAAATAGTTAAGGCGGGCAGACAGATCCTATACGTGAGACCTCTCGCTTGTGAATCAGGGATTCGTACGACCGAACATACTAGATGCACGTGGCTATCTAGCGATCATCGGTCCAGAAACAAGCATAATAGCCACAGCCACAGCCACCAAGCTATATAAAAAGGGGAGTGGACGGGAGGAGTTTATACACAAATGAAGGTGATAAACAAAGTCGGGACTGGGCTGGACTGGGCTGGAGCTGATGATGGTGGTGTTGTATAGTGTAGTGCTATACTGAATGTTGCGACCAAGAAAATAAGGGGAGACGAAGCCAAAGGAAATCCTACAACTCACATCTTACAAAGAGGTCGATTGCCTCTGTCACACGGGTGTTAATTTTTTTTTAAAAAAAAAAGCCAAAGTTTGCAAATCGGCTTCCGGCTGTTCCAATCGCTTTTCTTCTGACAAGAGAGAGCGCAATCCTTATCGCAAAGGCAAAAGACACCCCCAGTTCGTCAGCTGGCCGACACTAAACTCCCGTTTACTGTGATGATTAGGATAAGGCTCGTGAAACGAGCGCCGTTACACGCTGTTGATATGACCACTGACAGTTCTGGTGATCGGATTGTCCGGCGCGCGTTGAGATTGGCTGATAGGATAGGAGACGATGGCGCAGAGTTTCTGGCGCAGAAGCTTGATCGCGCGTCTCCAGCGTTTTGAATGGAACTCCAGGGACGATCTTTGATGTTCGCCTTGTTTGATGAGTTTTCAAGACGTTCAACCGGGGTTCTGGGAGTTATAGGTGGTTGTCTTCTGAGATATTGTCTGGAATTGATGTTCTCAAGTGAATGCGCGTTCGAGCCAGGCTACCGTTAACTACTAAGTAGATCCGATAGACCGTCCAATTTCCGTTTTGGGATACGGTAATAGACGGTGCACTACCGCATCCTATTAAAGACCAAGGTGTTGTCTCCCCACAACGAACCCCGGACCTAGACAGTGGTCCACCGTTATCGGTAGGAGTACCGAGGCATGTGCCTGCACCTCGGAGACGGCATCGATAAACCGTCTTCCCTCTCATCTTAATCCCAACTTCCTCCAACTCGTTTACCTTTCAGCCGTTCCTACTCACTTGCGCGGCCTTATTCAAGATGAGCGACTCCGATTCCAATCCCACTATCCCAAACTGGCAGAAGGCGCAGTCAGACGAAACCGATAGTCAAACCACCGAGCCGGTGTCGACGCCGTCCACAAGCACAGCAACATCAGAGGTCGATGCGCCGGCAGCCGTAACTACAGCGGAAGAGACAGCACAACCAGAAATCCCGACGGATGATAAGCCCGACGATCAAGACAAACTCGAAGTTGCGCGACGCTTCCTTGAGAACGATGCTGTGCGCGACGCGCCTTATGAGAAAAAGGTTGAGTTCCTTAAGTCAAAAGGAATCGACGAAGCGGGAATACAGGCGCTTCTGGGCGAGGACGACTCTACAACACAAGACGAGGTTTGTACTTGTTCACATTGATGCAAAGTCATTTACTAATAGACGTAGCCGTCCACCAGTTCAGAAACAACCAGCCCCAATGCACCAACACCTACCGAAACTCTTCCCCCATCACCAGCTCCCCAACCAACAACCGACCGCCCTCCAATTGTAACATACCCCGAATTCCTCGCCAAAGCTCCCCGTCCTCCTCCTCTTGTCACGAAGGAGCGACTTTTCAACGCCCTCTATGCTGTGACCGGTCTCTCTACTCTTGTCTACGGTACAAGTCGCTACGTCATCCGGCCCATGGTTGACTGCCAGGCCGAAGCCCGTACAGAGTTCCACGACCTGACCTCCAAGAAGCTCGACGCACTGGTTGCAAAGCTCGAAAAGACTGTCTCCGAAGTCCCACCAAAGAAGTCTGCTGCCATAGTTGAGGATGAGAGTGATGTGGAAGACCCTACAGAGATGTTTCATCGAGACATGGGCACCCAGACCACATTCCCCATAAGCTCCGTGACAGCTCTTAAAGGCTCTTCCGGTCACGACTCGGCTGCCAAGCATAACACAAACCAGCTCGCTAGTCTCAACAAGACTCTTTCTGGGCTCAAAGATGAATATCGTTCTCAAAGTGAGGGAATGGATAAGATCAAGAGTGCTGTTGATGTGTTGCGGGATGATCTTGACACCTTGACCTACACTGCCTACCCTGAGCAGAGCAATGGTTATGACCTGTACGGCCGCTCGCGCAAGCCTGAGCCTGACGATGAGATTCGCAAGGTGAGGGATAGCATTCGACGTGTCAAGGGTGTCTTGCTCAGCACGAGAAACTTCCCGACTTCAGCACGATGAGTTATGACTGTTGAATTTATCAATCCATGTAGCAAAGTTTCCTAATCTGTAATGTATCTCTCCTTAGGTAGATCCTAACGGAGACGCCTCAAATATATCTTCGTGCATGACCCAGCCAATATACCCATACGCATTCATCCTGGTATCAAGCACTCGTTTTGTGACTCTAGCCATCACGTCTCACATCACCCCGGACCTTTTCACCTTGAACCGTATCATCTTGAACCTTCTTAGGGTCCTCGATCTTGTACTTCGCAAAAACATCCTGCCACGACATGAAATTGATGTGCTCAAATCCACTTCCTTCCCGAGCCTGGCGCTTGTACCATTCCATCGTTGGTTCAAACCGGTACTCCATGGAGCCTTTTGGGGCCCTACGGTTCTCTTCATGTCTGCAATGCTGGAGGAACCTGTTATAGATCATTTTCCCGTTCGGATGTTTCGCTCGAGGAGGTTGAAACCCCATTTTTGGCTCTTTATCTGCCGTGTCACTAGCTTCTGATGTAGAATCAAGATCCATTGGTTCCGGAGAAAAAGAACTAAAGCGACGCCGTGGCCGTGGCCGCGACTGGGGCGGCGCATGTCCTCTAACCACACATTGCCATCCCTTATTCTCCATGGCTAGTACGGGTATGGGAACATTATTCTTCCAATCCAAAAATAACCTCTCCAAATGTTGGAGTGTCATATCAAGGGGTCCAACCGAGGGTGGCCCGTCAGTATCCCACCCTCCGATCCAGATGTTCTTGAGCGGCAACATGTCGCGCTCTCCACGAAGTCGTTGTATCATTATCCGCTGTGCTTCAATCAAATCTCCCTCGTAGAAAATTGGGTCGTCCCGGGGGGGTTTCTTCGCGAGAGGGTCCCAGATGATGAGCTCTGCTTCCTTCCAATGTGACATGTGAAGTTGGAAAGGCCTGTATATAGCAATCCACGGTCGTCGCCTTTTTCTGGCATCTTCCAGTGCTCCATAATGACTCGATTTCCCCTCCGCCGTATAACATAAGGCAATAGCTGTCTTCTGAGAACGGCGTGCTATTTGATCTTTGAACGATCGAAACCAATCGCTGTACGTTTTAAAGTCGTCAGAATGCACGCCGAGTTCAGGTGCCGGTTCGTCCCAGTAAGTAAGAGGGTACTTGTAAAGTGTCCACAAGAATTTCGGTTGTCTATCAGATATGCTGCTCAAAAGTTCTTCCAAGCACACACTGGTGTCGTCAGGAACCATCTTGAATCTCCATTGCGCTTCTCGTTCAGCAACCTGTTTTGACTGCAGGGGCATTGGAAGTGCGTCAGCTCGCTCGAGTTCTTGGTGCTCAGTGACGGTTGACGCAATGAAATTGGGTCTGGTAGTGCGGTGCATAAGTCTCCCAAGATCCGTTGTGCTGGACCCAATAACGGTGAACCTCCGATATCGATCCAAATTCACTACAGACCACCAACCGAACCAATTGACCAGACTCTGCTCGTCATTGTTGTCGATCATTTCTGGACACATAATGATTCCGGGCTGCTCTTCACTTGCCATGTCTTGAAGTCTTCGAACGCATTCTTTTGTCTTCTGCAACGCTTTAAGTTCTTGAGTAACCCTAGCTTTTTGGTCATCCCGAGCGGTTTTGGTGGGCAAACGCGACCAGAGATTCTCTTTTTCAATGGCTACCTCGCAAAGCCAGCTAACAAAGCCAGCGCTGACGACAAGCGTAAAGTGACTGCGAGCGTTGGACCAAGCCTTCCAATACCACTTAAAGAAATTCCAAATCTGTTGTGGCTGTGACACGACAAAACTAGGCGTTACCAGTAGTGCAGCCCTTCTCTGTCCGCCGAGAAGCTGCAATGTCACATCTCCAACTCTACATGGCTGCGCGAGTGAGGGATACATGGGTGAAGGCTGTAGGGATTTCGAAAAGAGTACGAAATTGAACTTGCTTGATGGGTAGAGCAACTTGTTGACGTAGGGAAATAATCGAATAGACCATATCGCTTCCTCGTGAACGAGAACCGCTCCATGCTCTAGCCTCAGAAAGGTCTGCCAATGTCCAGGGAAGAAGCTAGAAAGGATTCTGCACTTAGGGTTGTAGTTCCGAAGCCATAGGCACAGAAACTTGGCGTCTTCTAAAGTATCCCCTGGAAACGCAAGAAAGAATGTGTGCTTGTTAGAGGGTTTCGCAAAGGCCTCCTCTGTCAATAGCTGCTCATACTTAAACCCCAACATGCGATCAAAGACCGCCAATGCTGTTTTCGGCAGTAGCTTTCCAGTATCGAGACCTTCTGGGAGTGCGATTGGAGCAAGCGAGCGGGTGGTAAAGTGAGGAGCTGGTCGAAATAGATAATACTGCAATGAAGGAGACTCAACATCTGTTGCCGCCTGGGCTTGCGCTTGCGACTGCACACACATAAGTATGCATAAATCATGTCGATAAAGGAGAGCACCCAGTGATCTAATCCGAAGCCAGTTCGCAACAGCACCCAGGCCATTTCCGCCACCATTACTTACCATCAGGCCATTGCCTAACTTGTCGGCGATCAGAACGTGCTCCTGAGACAGAAAGTCCTGAACCATGCAAGTGTGTGTAAATATCAACGTGGGCATATTCTCAAATATCGCAGGCCAAGGTAGTTCGTTCTGAGGCTCACGTCTCTGAAAGCTCACTGGTATTATCTCGCGGGTGCCTGGACCGAACTGGACATCCATGGCGATTGTTCTATTCAAAGGACTCGCATCTCGTAGATCAATCGATACATAATCGTTCCCACGGAACCGATCGTTTGGTATATTTGGTTGAACGCTGGAGACCTTTGGCTGGATGGAAGGGTTTGAAGGAGAGCTTTCAGCAGGCAGTGCATCAATAGGCCATTCTTCCTTCACGACCCACGGAACCTCCTGAGGGGCAGTATCCTCACGCACAAAGAGACTATGCTCCCTGACAGACTCGTTCGGTTCTTGGAAAGTTGTCTTTTTGACCGTGCCCCAGCTGATCGACTTCTTGGGCTTGGTCGTCTGTGACTTCTGGCCTTCGGCTTTAGATAAATTGTCATTGTGGCGAGCACGTTTGACACTATCGCCTGCTAGACTGCCATTTGTAACAGCTCCAGGATTTGGGATGTTCAGTGCCTGTCCATTCCGCTCTGCTGGATTTAAAGAGATGAGGTTGGAGGGCATTTTTGATGGAACAGCGCCGTCTCGATTGCGGCCTTGCTTTTCGAGAGTTCCTGTAAGCCGTAGGCCGCCGAACAGTTTGGGTTTTTTCGTAGGGTCCTTTACGACTTCGACGAGAGTCGCGCGCGGTTTACTTTCTTTCCCTCCCGCAAATACATTGCCAGTAAAGGCTTGCGAGGCTTGAGTCTTACGAGCTGTCCGTTGCACCCGGCCTGTTCTAGCGTCGGTACGTTTCGTCAATACAGAACAGCTGGGTTTCGGAAGGATATTTCTCTTGGGCGCTGGTTTTTTATTTGTGATTTTGTTTGCTGTAGAGCCATTGTTTAAACGTTCCCGTGTCACTTGCGTGTGACTGTGACTGGTCGAAGAAGCGGCGGAATCCGTCCGTACAAGCGATAACTTGGAAGCAGATGATGTATTGTTACGACGGCTGTTACTAAGTGAATAATCGTCGCTTGGGCTAGCGCCTGAAAGTTTCCATTTTTCAAGCAAAGGTCGAAGAGGTTGTCCCACTACAGCATCCAAATCGCCGTCTGCAACGGACGAGCTCGATACCGCAGATACACTAAAGTCATCTCCATCTGGAAATCCATTGACCCATTCCAAAGACCCTTTCATGTACTGGAACGAATGGGTCTTCTCTCCTCGAAGCGTTCGCTGTCGGTTTCTCTCATTGTGGCGCTTGAGCTTTTGGTTGTAAGCAGCCTTCCAGGCTTTCTTCCAATCTCGGATTCCTTGGTAAAGATCAAAACCTGGTCGTCCCTTTGTTTCTTCCCACTCTCCAATGATAACCTCATTCAAATTCTCTCGGGGTTCCCAGGTGGCTTCGGACAAATCGTAGCCCTCCCACTTGATTAGGTACCGTGGGCTTCCTTCAACTTCCCATGCCGCCAGGACCCCAGAGACGTTGAATTCATCTTCAGAATCATGTTCAGTCCTGATAGTCGACGCTATTGACTCGTCGTCAGAGTCCTTCATGACGACATCATCGTCAAATGGCTGTCTCATGGCTGATGATTATCATACGCCAAGCGCGGACGGCATGGAAGATAATACTTGGGCGTGCATCCGCCTGATGAGCCACAGTCGGGCCAACTCTGTTGTCACTCGCCTGCAGTGGTGTTAGCAACAATAGAATGTGGATATCTGAAGATGCTCACTAGGGGAGGCGGTAGGTTGTAATGTGACAGTGAGCCCAGTGAATCACGGCAGCGGATTTTTTAATTTATTTTCTTTCTCTCTTGAGTGCCCAACTCGACGATTGTTATTCCCGCCGGAAATTAATAAGAAAATATTATGAAACAGTATCAGGTTGCATGAATTTCTGAGAAAAAGCCGTGATCTTTGTTTCCAGTGGGGTTTCTGGAGCGTCTGTTTGGCGCGTGTTTTTGGTGGAAACGAAAGTGGCCATTCGCGAAAGCACGTGCCTGGCACTGATGTTAAGGCCGGTCTTGCCTACCCTGCACGGCTCAGTATCACCGAACGCCTTGTTGGAGATGTTTGCTATAATAAATGGCAAGCAACATGAAATCTTCTTGCATATCCGCTTCCTGTGACGCCCAGTCCATGGGGGTTATGAGATCCTTCAAGTCATGCTATTCTGTGAATTTAATCAGTTCACTTTTGATATCTAAGAATCGAGTTTGGGCGGACTTTTGAACCAACCGTCATTCATTCTAATACACACCCCGAAGCTATCAACAGCCAAGTGTTTTTAATTTTTAGAGGCTAGACTAATATATCTGCTGGAAAGCCATCAACGCCGTCGTCCTTGCACCTCGAAGCTTTGGAATCTTCTTGATGGCTTCTGATCCATTATGGAACGAATGTTTACCGACACATTCGCCTATTAAAAATAGACATCACCAAACAAACGGGTTGCCCTGACACGATCTCGCTCCAGTAAATTTAGCGATCCGTTACCGTACATGAGGAACAAAAAAAATATCGCCTAATCACAAGTTTACAGGATGCAAAATCTCAACAAGGCATCTACCTTGTCAATACCATGATATCCTTGGTTGATTGAGATGATGTAGTTGGCTATTAAGCGATTGTGACTCTAGTAGAGGGTTGTGTTGGTCAGAAAGAGATACAGGACGTGCGTATGTGGCCCTGAGCATGTGCATTAAGAGCAAAACATTATGATATGCAACCAAACAAAAGCAGATGGATGGATGTCTGGGTGGGTAGCTGCAAGCGGTCAGTGATCAGCTATCAGAAACATGTCCAGCCAGTCTAGACAAAGCACAATCAATGGATGCAGCTTTTAAATACATCATGCCATCACTAGTAGTAGTCGATACCTCTTGTTTAGCAGATGTCCGGATTTGGTCGCTGACCATTGTCCCCATCACACGGAACTTTTCTTTGTTGCCTATTTTCCAAGCCACTCTAGCTTCAAACCAGCAACCGAGTAAGAGCACAGGCAGCCGTTTTTATGGACAGGTTGCATTCCCTTAGATTCAATAATATTGGAACCTCGTAGTGCTGTTCACAGCATTAGATTAGCTATCTGGCCTTAGTGGGTGCTACCCACTGCTGGGTACCTACCTCCTAGCTTCCACTCCACTAACAAAGAGCCGGCGCTTGACCCCCCTAACCCCCCTTAGCAGACAGAGGCATAACAGCACTGGGCTGGCTGGTCAGTCCAGGCCTTTACCCCTCGGCACGGGGATTGGAAAAGGTACAAACAACCGCCTATCGCCAGAGCCGCGCATTCTCTCCCTCTCCACATCCCACACCTCAACGACGTCGACTTGTCTTTCTCGTAGCGCACTCACTTTCACCTTCATCACCTCCATCCTCGAACTCGACCCTAATAGAAACCCATCCCAAGCTACAATATCGCAGCCATGGCCAACGACGAGTATGATGTACGTCTCGCCTCCCTCCCTGCCTGACCTTAGGTAGCCTTTCCATGTCCCGCCAGTTGCTGACCAGTGGGCCCCTTTGCAGTTCCTCTTCAAAGGTGCCGTCATTCCTACCTTTCCAGGCCATGCCTGGCCCGAAGCTTGCGATTGCTTGTTACTGACAGTGTGAACCTACAGTCGTCTTGATCGGAGACTCTGGAGTCGGAAAGTCCAACCTTCTCAGTCGATTCACCCGCAACGAGTTCAACCTCGACTCTAAGTCGACCATCGGTGTCGAGTTCGCCACTAGATCAATTCAGGTCGACTCCAAGACGATCAAGGCCCAGATTTGGGATACCGCTGGACAAGAGCGATACCGCGCCATTACTTCCGCTTACTATCGAGGTGCCGTTGGCGCTCTCCTCGTCTACGATATTAGCAAGCACCAGACCTACGAGAACGTCACACGATGGCTCAAGGAGCTGCGAGATCATGCTGATGCCAACATTGTCATCATGCTGGTCGGAAACAAGAGCGATTTGCGACACCTGAGAGCCGTTCCCACCGAGGAGGCCAAGTCCTTTGCCAGTACGCATTACCCGGGACAAATTTGACAAAATAAAGGAGAGGCCGTTTAATTGACACATCTGTAGGCGAGAACCACCTGTCCTTTATCGAGACGTCCGCCCTCGATGCTAGCAACGTCGAACTTGCATTCCAGAACATTTTGACTGGTTCGTCATTTCTCTCCTATAGAATTTCGATTTCAAAACTAACAATTGACTCAGAAATTTATCGCATTGTTTCTAGCAAGGCCCTCGACAGCGGCGATAGCGCCCAGGCCACCATAGGTGCGGGCACCAACATTTCGCTCAGCAAGCCCGCCGATGACGATGCTTCCAAGGGTGGAAAGTGCTGTTAAATTCTTTGCGGAACCGTTTGCAGACTGATATAGGGCTCTGGGGGTTTGGGATACCTGGCGTCTCGTTTGTCCCCGAAAATGCTCCTCGCCAAACGAGAGTGGAGGAGGCGAGGAATCGTGATACGTCTTTTTTTGATATCAGGAGGCGCGGTTACTTCGGCTTTCCTTTGTTCTTATTTTCTTGTCATGATGGTTGTCTTGGGGTTGATGCGTCCAACGATCGCTGCGATATGGTTATCTTAACGTAGCTGAATGAATTCTTTATAATGTTCGCCCTGGCTGCACGACACAGCATTACTTTTGGCCCTGTCCGAGTCAGACGCCACAATCTCTGTACGCCTCCACGTCATGCTGATCAGGACGGATGCGAGCTTGCGGTTCAACATCAAATGGATTGACTTGTTAGTGCTTGGCTCGTTCTCAGGGTCCATTTTGTGTCAACAGCGGGGCATTCTCGTCACATGCTGTCTGTAGTGTAGGCCTTGTTAAAGTGTAATTTACAATCTACAAATTGACTCAATATTGGTTTGCGACATACGGATTGATCTACGCAGCATCCTTGATCTGCTACCCCGAGCTTTGTGAGTATCTCGCCAAGTGCGCATGTGCTATTGCATGTCCTTCAAATTCCCCCCTGCCTAGGTTTTGTTTCGACTTCTGTCAAGGATCCAGGACTGTCTGAGCTGAATTTGGGCGGTGTCGCGGCCCCACTCATGTACCCCCACTTTCTCTTATCGCCAACTCTGAGTTCTTATCGAATCTTGGCCGACCAATTTTTTTTTTGGAAAATTGCCCGCCGCGTCGCAAAGCCTTGTCCAGTAAAACATCACCAGGTCTACGACAGCTTTTTCCGACAACCGACAGCAATCGCAAAGTCGAAAAGCACTCAAAATGGCTGCCGTATACAAGTCTATCTCCAAGACCAGCACTCCCAAGGCTGAAGCGCCCAGCAATGGCATGAAGAAGAACAAGCAGCGGGTTCTGATCCTTTCCTCCAGAGGTGTCACCTACCGGTAAGGATCTTGCAGATTGCGAATCCGACGCGCATCCTACTGACATTGCGACTGTTGTATAGACACCGCCATCTTCTCAATGACATTGCATCGATGCTCCCTCATAGCCGCAAGGATGCAAAGTTCGACTCAAAGACCAAGCTTTACGAACTGAACGAGCTTGCCGAGCTTTACAACTGCAACAACGTCCTGTTTTTCGAGGCAAGGAAGGGGAAGGATCTCTACGTCTGGCTTAGCAAGGTCCCCAATGGTCCTACCATCAAGTTCCACCTTCAGAACTGTAAGAGAAAAATGCAAGACAACACTTCTGTCAGTCGCTAACAAAAAACAGTGCACACAATGGAGGAACTCCACTTCACCGGCAACTGCCTCAAGGGCTCGCGACCCGTACTCTCTTTTGACGGTGCTTTTGACAAGCACCCTCATCTGCGATTGATCAAGGAGCTCTTCCTTCACACCTTTGGAGTCCCCGAAGGTACCCGAAAATCTAAGCCCTTTATCGACCACGTTATGGGATTCAGCTTTGTCGATGGCAAGATTTGGGTCCGTAACTACCAGATCAACGAGGTCGAGGCGGCAGCGAAGGAGGGAGAGGAAGAGGATGAGGAGTTCAAGTCCAAGTCTCGGTCCGGAAAGCCAGACACCGATATTAACCTGGTCGAGATCGGTCCCCGATTTGTCATGACACCCATTGTGATTCAAGAGGGCTCTTTCGGCGGTCCCATCATTTACGAGAACAAGGAGTTCGTGTCACCAAACCAGGTCCGCGCCGACCTCCGAAGGACGAAGGCCTCACGACACAACGCTCGCGCCGAGCAGATAGTCGAGAGACGGGTCAGGAAGGGTGATCTGGGATTGCGATCTGCTGGTGGCCAGCGTCCCGCCAAGAGCGAGCTGGATACCAAGATGCTGTTTGCCTAGACTATTTGATACCTGTCGATAATATTTACTGGCTTGTTCCATTGGGTCTGTAAACACCGGGACGGGGTGTTGGAGTTTAAGGTCATACTGCGCTGCTATTTGCCAAAAGAATTTACAATCTAGTTCACTTGCATCAATCAGACGGTCGATTCTATCTTGTCGTCCCTTTCCTTTCGTGGCCTTGATGCTATGTACCTGGTCGCATTATCAATTAACCCGCTCGGAATAAGTCCGGCTGTTGGTTATCAGTCACACACGCGACCTGCCTCCAGTATTGTATATATGTGCTAATGACCCCCTTGCCATCTCATCATTCTGTTCTCAATGTTTTGGTGAATACCTATGCAGATGATCATTGTATTTCATCTCAGCCATGAGAGATTCATCTATTCAGAAATTGATGCCTGAGTGCATCCGTATTGTTGTTACAAGCCCCAGCGCCGGGGTGGCTGGACAATAAGCCCCGTATCATTGACGCTTTGAGTGACTCAACTGTGAAGTCCTATGAAGCGACATAGAGTCAAACCGCTCTTAATTCAGTATTCATCAAATTCAACCACAAGCCAAAGAACAACCAGAAAGTTTCTACCAAACCGGCTTCTTTAAGAATCACCAAATATTTATTCCGTGTGTCCATACACCCACCCCTAAATAGCATAATGCGAAGCCTATCAGGTCAGTTATTCGCTGTATCGTTGTCGCGTCACCTACATTCTGACCAGTTTTAGCAGACATCATATTGTTTCATTTGCTTCTCCATTAAGTTGTTGTATAAAGACGGTCATAGGCGAGCATCATCCCTGTTTATACTATTGGGATAGTTGTCTCTCCATCTCTTCATCTCCTCCCGACCTTCGAAATATTATACTTAACCACACATCAACAACTTTTATCTCAAGACATAACATCGGCCACATACTGCGTTTAGATATCCTCAGCGTATTAGGAATCTTGGCTGCTCAAGTCAAAGGGTCGATATTAGTGAGTCAGTTTATGCCACTTGGGGGCAGACTCCTGGATCGTCCATTTTTGTGCTCTGAAGCCTGGAGGCTTAATTTTACGTTACCCTCTAGATATGGCATTCAAGATGTCCACAGTCAACTTGCTCACTGAGCTTCCTAACGAAATCCTCCTGGATATATATCACCAGCTGGACCTGGGCGGCGTTTTCAACCTCTGCGCCACTCATAGCACATTTCATGAACTATTCAGCAAGAAAAAGGCCTCGATACTACTCCCTGTTCTTATTCGGGAGTTCAGTCCTTTTGACGAACTTCTTCAGATTTATACAGCCTCAGTCGAAGACCTGGACTGCCGTAGTGGTCTATATGCGCCGCGTAAAGTCATATTCAAGCGGTTCCTTGGAGACACTGGAACAATCCTAGCCCCACGTAAACCCGTCGTGGTAGACGATGCCGTGAACGGGTTCATCACTCTCAACAAGCCTGGAAAACCCACTATACCCCACGTTCAGCCTCTCAAAACGGTTGTTCTGTCGGAGAGTGACTTGAAACCGCTTCTCGGCTACTGCTCACTTGTGTTGAAGTGGCAAGCTAGGTTTCCACAGATGAGATGGTATCATGAACCTGAGAACTGTCGACACCTTCGAGGGCACGAAGCAGAGAGATTTCGCAGGGCCATGTATCGGTGGTGGCTCTATGGCTTTTACTTTCACGGAGAGTTTCCACGACCCCGTGTTGGTCTTCCCGAACCAGGTGTGGATGATGTGCGACTCAGTCAACTTCGAATGTATTCCACAAGTGAGCTCGTTGAGCTCATGGACTTGGTCGAGACTATGAAGGATGTTGTCTTGCACTATCTCTGCCCTCGGCTTGACCCTGGCCAAGATGAAGACGTGAGTTTACAGCAACAGGTTTCTACAACACGTACTGACGTTATCCACAGGAGGGATGCGACTCTTATCTGTATGACGTTGCCGACAGACCTGGCTCACTCGTGAGAGGCTGGCGAGACCAGAGTCGATGGGGCCGGATTGTAAAGACGTACTGCAAACTCGGCCCCAAAGACCTCATGCATTTGTTCGAGAATATCTACAGCTACCCCCGGAAACGCCTGATTACAGAGGCTCATTTTTTGCAGCCGAACCTCACTTTTGATCAAGAATCCATCTCCGTATCCACACAATGTGTTTTGGATGAGCGACAGTGGTCATCCAATATGCCTACTCTGCCCCTAGACGGATTAGGAGGCGTCTTAGACTGGGATGATGAACGTGATGCAGAGCGTGCCAAGTTCGGGAGCGATGCTAGCCCCGATGGAGCGTTGCCAGGAGGAGCCCGGGTATTGCGATCATGGTCTCACTATTCGCCTCGAGGAGACGATGGATCTCACCTGGATGACATTCTGCGACAACCTTGGGTTGAAGGTAGATATATGGTATCATTTGCTTAAGCTTCGCCAACTGGGTGTGCTGTGGATAAAATTTCAGCTACCGCCTAGATGTAGATAGTCAAGTTCAGGAGGTTGTATCATGTTTTCATCCCGTCTCAAGACTACTTTGTGAGACCTATCGCTTTAAAAACGCAGTAGACAGCAAAAATAGGATGTATATTCTAGAGAAGCATGATCACTATAATGCTTCATACCTTGGTTAGTAGTGGGTGATTCACGACAAAAACTTGAATGAACCAAAACAAAGTGGTTAATTGATCGAGGACGTGAATAGAAAGAACAGACAATAAAATGTGAAATTAATCTTAATTTGTTTCGAGATGAAAGTCTTTGTTCAAAGGATCCCCAAAGCCATTGAACTAGGCAGCCCACTGGAGAGTTCAGTGACCGATAGCGCCTGAAACCAATGGAGCCCAGGGCAGCGCGTGCCAAAATCGGCTTTCACCTCCACTGCTGAGCCTCACCTCTCCTTTGATTCTCATCCACCTAATCTCAAAGGTTAAAATCAACCACCACAACAGCAGCCGCGCGCGCATCTTCCCACCACCGCTCAGCGCTGGCTTTGACATGTATCTCAACATCTGAAATCACCTCTCATTTATACTGCCTCTTTATATGAGCTTGTCGCGCCGGTTGCGATCGCGCCATCTTTAGCAGGGGTAAGTATTATGTTTTGTTTGCTTTGTTTGACCAACACCATATTCTGTATGCGTTTACTTTATTTTTGTTTTGTGTGGACTATTCATTCTACGGAGGAGGCCTGCATCTCCTCACTTTCATGATTCTCATCCATATAATGCCTTGAGCATATAAAAGAAGACAATGAATAGTTAGAAATGGCCTTGGTTCGTATAGCTTGTTTCGCTAACATGAGCCCTTTGTCTTCTTATTTCTTTCCCTTCCTCCTATTCTCCCTGATACCGTTTATTTGATTATTTCCGCTCCCTTATTATCTTGGCCAAATAAACTAACAGAAATACAGGCACTTCTGCTAGTAGCAACGCCGATTGAGTGTCAGCTTGAGTCGCCCTACTAGATTTACAACTCCTGGGGTCATCAGACCTTCAGTGAGAACACCATAATTGCCTAGCATGGAACCAAATGCTACAGATCCCGTCGATCACCCTATGAAGGATCTGGATGCGCCAAATGGATCCTACCAAACTCGCAACACTAGTATTGATGATGACGATACAACTTCAGAGGACCCTTATGAGGCGGATGTTGATCCTGAACCGCAAGACATTACTTTTGATCAGATGAGACGAAGAGGCCTATTGCCGACAGGATGCTGCTACGATGATAGAATGAAGCTTCATATGAATGCTGATTTCTCACCTAACACGCACCATCCAGAAGATCCTCGTCGCATTCATGAGATTTTCAAGGCTTTCAAAAAAGTCGGCCTCGTCTACACTGGCCCTGAAGCAGAGCTGCCACGGATCATGAGAGAATGCCCAACACGCTACATGTGGCGCATACCTGCTCGCGCGGCTACTCGAGAGGAAATTTGTCTGGCCCATTCCGCTGAGCACTTTGACTGGGTGGAGGGTCTGGACAAGATGAGCACGGCAGAATTGCGAGAGCTAACGAAACGGTACGACCAGGGACGAGAGTCCCTTTACGTTGGCAGTATGTCGTATCCAGCCGCACTTCTTTCAGCCGGAGGAGCAATCGAAACCTGCAAGAATGTTGTGATCGGGCAAGTCAAGAATGCGTTCGCCGTGATTCGACCACCCGGCCATCACGCCGAGTGGGACGGTCCTATGGGTTTCTGCTTTTTCAACAATGTCCCTGTAGCAGTTAGGGTCTGTCAACAAGACTATCCAGATATCTGTCGCAAAGTCCTCATCCTGGATTGGGACGTTCACCACGGCAACGGCGTGCAAAACATTTTTTACAACGATCCCAATGTTCTATACATCTCCCTCCACGTCTATCAAAACGGCATCTTCTACCCAGGTAAACCTCCCAACCCCATGACCCCAGATGGAGGCATCGAGCACTGCGGTAGTGAAGCTGGTCTTGGCAAGAACATCAACATCGGATGGCATGATCAAGGTATGGGCGATGGCGAATACATGGCGGCATTCCAAAAGATCATCATGCCTGTTGCCAAAGAGTTCGACCCAGACCTTGTGGTTATTTCTGCAGGTTTTGATGCTGCTGATGGTGACGAGCTTGGAGGCTGCTTCGTCTCTCCTGCTTGCTACGCTCATATGACACACATGCTGATGTCCTTGGCGGATGGCAAGGTTGCTGTTTGTCTGGAGGGTGGCTACAACCTCAAGGCCATTTCGGTGTCTGCTGTGGCTGTCGCAAAGACGCTAATGGGTGAGCCTCCGCCTCGATTGGAGCTCCCCAAGATCAACAAAGACGCGGCACGAATCCTTGCCAAGGTCCAGTCGCTTCAAGCCCCCTTCTGGGAATGTATGCGGCCAGGCGTTGTCCATATTCCCGAGGTCCAATCGCTCAACTCTTCTCGTCTACACGATGTGATCAGAAATGCCCAGAGACAAGTGTTACAGACAAAGCACAACATGGTACCCCTATACATCCAACGCGAGAACTTGTACAAGTCCTACGAGAACCAGGTGCTGGTAACACCAGGTCTCTGCGACGCGAAGAAAATTCTCATCATCATTCACGATCCGTAAGTTGTTAACTTGCCCAGTGCAACGTTGTTCATAGGGACTAAAGTTTGCTAGGCCTCAGCTGTTGGCACAGCCAGACGTGATAGATTCGACTCTTGACCCGCATAATGCGTGGGTTGTAAGTATACGTGTAGTCTACCCGCCTGCCCAAAGACTAATTTCTGCAGGTTGATGGTGTGACGGACTACATAGACTGGGCTGTTGATCAGAAGTTTGGTGTCATGGACATCAATGTTCCAGCTTATGTCACTCATGACGAGGTATTTGCCCAGTTCTGAAGACTGTCTTGGTATCGTTTCTCACACCGTATAGGACTCGGACGCGCACATTCCCAGCTATCAAGAGGCGGCTCTTACAGAACAAATCCAAACGCTTGTTTGTTATTTGTGGGACAATTACCTGCAGCTTTACGACGCTGATGATATCTTTATCATGGGTGTCGGAAACGCCTATATGGGTGTCAAAGTTCTCTTGATCAACCGAGGTGAGATCATTGTTATTGTGGAGGACGACGAGTTAACGGAAAATAGACTGCAAATCGAGAATCTCAGGTGTTGTCAACTTTGTCAACGGGACTCTTCGGCCAATCAAGTCCGACATCGACACGGACCTATCCTCGTGGTACAAGGAAAACTCTCGGGTTTTCATCGCAGGAGATCATGCTTGCTGGAATGATGCTAACCTGACAAAAAAAGTCCACAAACGACGGTTCGGGTCTGTCGTGCGCAGTTCCATGTTTGGTCTCAATAAGATGATGGCGTATCATGCAAATGAGGCGCGAGAGTGGATTTTAGAGAGACTAGAAGGAGGATCTGATGCAGACATGACAACCGAGGAGAAGTAATACTACGTGGAACATAGGTAGCATGCTGGGTTGTAGGAAGGATCATATAGGACTTGGTATAGGGGTATTTCTCTGTTGCTGCAGGCCATGGCCAGCAGTGGGTGAATGGAGATGGAGGCAGAGTTTATCTTTTCTACACTATATACCGCTAGGTAACGATCTGTACCAACAACTTCGTCGACTTCTTTTCATATGAGTGGTTTCACGAATGAAGCCCAAAACATTATTGGTCATACAAGTGCTAACGTTGTATTGCTACTTGGGTTACTGCTTAATTCTGGGATAATATAAAGAGTATTTTGATGAAAGTGAAAGAGACCCTCTTGCAAGGCCTACCTAGTGTTTGGGTACAAATGTGGATTTCCTTTGATAGAATAAATATTTATCACCAAATATGTCATGCTGTTGTTGCTGTCAATAAGGCAAGTGCTTTTAATTTGAACAACTTGGGAGAGCGATGCACAGTGCGTCGCATTCATAGTACGGTGCTTATCTGTTTATCAGTAACTCGGACGTCGGGGTGCGAAATCTCCGACCTCCCTGCTCAATCGCAGCACAGTTAATCGTTGGGAATCTCCCGACTTGCGACTTGCAACAACGCGTGCCTGCGCTTTTCTTAAGGCATAGCACGACATACCAAAACACAGTTTTACAGATATCTTTGCCGTTAGGCCAAGAGAATAATGGATCGCGATCGAGGTCGGAGGTGAGCTTTGAAACATGCTTTTTCCCCCTTGTTATTATCACCATTATCACAACCCGTACTTTTTTTTTGCGACATGCCGGTTATTTCGACATTCGACTCGATCCTGAGGCGATCACTACTATCTACGCGACTTCTATTATGCGGCTCGAGCGAATCGATCTTCGCACTATAACTCTTAAACACGACTCAACGTTTCGAGGAAGGAATATGAGTGACGAAAGACCTGGCTTCAAAATGGATATCGTGGCGAATTGGACAAGGACCGATCCGATTACCAAGCCATCAATTGTTTTTCCGCCGTATACAAATACAGAAACAGTACGAGGGCTCTCGGCGCATTTCTAGGACGCATTAGGACTGGAACGACCACCTTACCAATTCAACAGCCGTCAGAAGGGCGCACTTCTCTCATTGGCGCCATGCTTGGTAGTTGAAGTCGCCAGGTCCTGCAATGCACAGCTTCGAACCAGCGGCGAATACTGGCTATCTTTGCGGTCTTGTGGAAGAAGGCGATGTTAGATTTTTTTTTGGCTATGGGACGACCTTGAATCCACTGAAGGCTCCGATACTACCAAACAAATCGCGACAGACGGACAAGCTGAATCGGGCATACCCATAGATGTGGCTTCTTTCAAAGGACATATTTTCTATCTCTATGGGCCCACGAAAGCTTTGTAGACCGGGTGTAGAGGTTTTGATCAGCAGCCAAAAAAAAAAAAAAAAAACGCTCGGCGAATGGATTGGCCTGCGAATCGTCTCTTGATCCGACAGTGACGGGTCTCTTGTCTACCATCGCCTTCTGCCTACGCCCAAAATGCACAAGCACCGAAAATCAGCGCTTGACACAACTCACCATCGTCTTGTTTTTTGCCATTCAAGCATTCTATTCTTTCGCATTATCACTCATTTGAGAATTTGTTCTATAGCGGCTAACATCTATAGGTTCGATGACGGCGAAGTCGTTAGATACGGTGCCGGCGAGTCGTGGCGGCCTACCCCTCGAGACCGATCCCCTAGGCGGATCAGAAGCCCTGCTAGAGAGAGGGTTAGAAGCCCAGTCAGAGATCGACCAAGGAGCCCGCGACCTAGAAGCCCGCGCCCCAGGAGCCCAATTCCTGCTGGATCCGACAGTTATGTACCCGGAAGATACCTACCACGTCGTAGGTCGAGAAGTGGTGGAGGCGATCGCTACCGGCGGGAACGATCAAGAGCAGAGCGAGAGAGTCCACGTCGAAGAGATCGTAGTAGGTCTATGAGGCGGCCATCCCCTCGACGTAGTCTGTCACGGAGACCATCTCCTCCACTACCGCGCGGCGGCGGGGACCGGTACGAGCGTCCTCGATCGCCAGCCCCCGTTAGAGAATGGGAACGGGATCGTGAGAGAGTAGTCAGGGACCGGGAGTGGGACCGCGATCGAGTACGTGATAGGGGACGTGACTTCGAGCGGCGCGACGACAGGTAAGAGCCCTATGCCTACATGCACAGCTTGGGACTAACTGACAAAAGACGACGATCTAGGTCTCCATTTGGTGTGATACGCCGGGACAGGAGCCCCCCCGTAAGATCACCTGTGACTGGGCCTCGAGGTGGTTCATACAGACCGCGTTCACGGTCCATGAGTAGGCGCGGAAACGAGCGATACCAGTCATATCGGCGGATTAGTCCTCCCAGAGAATCTGGAATCTCGTCAGCGATTACTTCACAGTCGGTATCTGGAAGATCATCACCTCGGCCAAGCTCGGTGAGAGCTCGCTCACCACTTCAGTCCCGAGAACAGTCTCCTCATCATACTATGCTTGGAGCAGCACCACCCAGAGAAGCTCCGAGACCTGCCCCATACGACACGAATGCCCATGCCTCAGTGCGGTCGCCACCGCGAGGTCCTGCAGCTCTGAGAGCGCCTCCTACTGGTCCTGCAGCAAATAGGAATACTGCAGTCCCAGTGGCTTCACCAGCTCCTCCTCCTCCAGCCCGGATTCAAACTCCTACTGCTCCTCCTCAGCGCTCAGATACCACAAGTCCAACCATTCCACCAGCTGGTCCGAGAGGTTATGTGCCCCCGGCCAGAGGTGGTTTTGCTCCCCGTGGAGGACGCGGCGGTTGGAATCAACCACCAACGAGACAATTCTCCGGGCCTTCACCTACGCCATCAACGCCCAACGGACCCTCGACCATTCCCACTGGTCCACGAGTCGCTCCGTCAAATGTTCCCTTGTCCTCAACACCAACACAGTCTCGGCCATTTAACCCTCCGACTGGACCCTCGGCTCAACATGCCGGCGGTGCACGGCAAACTTTGGCACAATCTATGCTTGCTACACTGCCTCCAATTATCCCTGGTGGCAAGTTGGATCCTTCGATGACACCTATCTCCCTGGGCGTGACCCGGGAGCTTGAGCCGCATTACCGGAAACTGAAAGATGAGGAGGAGAAAGTGAGAGATGAGCTTTACGCAAAACAGGAGCGGCTGCGAAAGAGTCTCTACACCTGGAACAGGCTTGAGCGTGACTCTCGAGCTTGGGAGATGCGAAGTGACTTGAGTGAGAAGAGCATGAAAAATCTCGCAGGTGAGGGTATGGGAGGTGCTGCATTCTAGTGAACAAGCGAGTATGCAGGTACTCTGTGACGGAATTGCATATTTGTTGGTTTGGCGCAGGTGGTGCAGATTAATGACTGGTGCTTGGTTTAGATTAGTAATGGATACCAGAGAGTGTATAGCTGTGGACTGCGAAGGCAGATGTCCTTTGCAATAATCATGAGAACTTCTAGACTCCTAGCTGGGATAGCCCAAGAATGAATACATGTCTCCTACAGTAATTGCATGTAATCATTGCCAGTCACATCTCATGCCTAGTACAGTGTCGTAGTCAACGCCCAACAATACCTACTACCAGTAAGCAAGAAGTTGGGGGAGAGTAGCAGAAAGGTTCGGACCTAAATTAAGGTTAGAAATAAAGGTGCTGGTTATTTAGTAGAGGATCATGACTGAAATATTCTGCACCCTATTCACTCTTGTTCTTTCCGCTACGAGAGGCATGGGTAAGTAACTAACTGACTTTAGACACGTTCGATCAAGTTACAGTATGATGCTGTCATCTTTACTGCTGAGACAAACATGTTCTATATGCATTTTCTAAGCTATAATATAAACCTTGGCACTTAATTTATACGAGTAATCCTAAACAGATACCTATTATTGCTTTGTGCTGTGGTGAGGACGTGATGTTTCCATGCATGCTTACCGGTTTCATGATGACAGCCACCATTAGAGCCTATGATCTCCATAGAGTATAGCGACCGCAATAAGTCACCAACTCAAGAAAATGAGTACGTAAAAAGAAGGCACATTTAAAATTCTCGTTTATTTGACTAGTAGTAGCTATGATGCAGGTTTATTGTCTCACAGAATGATCATGCATGAGGTGTTGGCGTACAGTAAGCTGATGACTACCCCACACAGTCTCAACTGCAGGACAGCTATCATCAAGTTCGTGGGCGCGAAACCACGAGTTTGAATTTTAATGGCTGCCCACAACGCAATAGCAATGTGAGAATTGTACTGGAGACTGTTTCTGGCTTTGGCGAGTACATGGGGACATTATTGTAGAGAAGGGAGGAAGAGTTGGATGTGTAGCAGGCCCCCAAGTTATTCGTCTTTTTCCAGCAGCAAGAGTGTTGGGGCGGGTACCTAACCATGCGTTATACGTATGTGCGCAAAGAGCGTTAGATGTAGATGTCACATGGTAGCATTACAAAGAACAAGGTTGATAAAGGCGTAATTAAGTCTAGAGGCAGTTGTTCTTGCGATACTGGCAGCTAATCTAACGCCATACAAAGACTGCATCATCCTCTTCATGATCACCGTCCCATTCCTCATCTGATTCAGCATGGTGATCGTCCATGAAGTCTTCCATACCGTATTGTAGCTCAGTAGGCTTTTGGTTATCAAAGACGATGGAGACAGTCGTGCAGCGTCCTTGAACCACCGGTTTCTTGGCTTGTGCCTCTGAGCCTGAGCCTTCAGCCTCTTCTTCAGGCCCACTTGAAGTAGGACTGCCCACACTCCCTTCCTCCGGATCGGTATCAAATTCGTCATCGTCGGTTTCCGGCTCTGCATATTTCGGGCGGCCATGAGAGCTGCGAAGTCCCCTCGAATTAGTGCTGTGCCTCGAATCGGAATCAGAAACATGTGCCGCAAGACGACTGCTTCGTCGAGATGGTCCATCTGATAGACGTTTGGGCTTATTCTTGTTTTCCGACACTTGGGGCACCTCCTCTTCTTGTGACGGACGTAGAGAGTAATTCTTTTGTGGTGGTTCAAAAGGGCGAAGGAAGACTCTGTCCAGTTTCCGTATCCATTCATGGCGCATGTTAGCGCGGGCCTTCCAGGGTATGTCGATCATCGTTTTTACTGCAAGATGGCGCAGATTTGGCAAAGAGCCGGCGCTGTCCAGAAAAGACTCAAGGAACATTTCTGCTGTTTCGACGGTCCAATGTCGAATATGCTCGAAATCGATGACCCGGAGACTTGACGGCCACTCTGGTTTTTGATGTGGTTGTAAAACTTGGTCGTACAAAGGGTCGGCATCATTATTAGTCACAGAAACGGAGTCATGATGGTGGAAATAGGAAAGGTTCATGTACAACTCTTCCAGTTTAGGGCAAGCATCAGCCAAAGTGGTCAAGAAGACCAGGTCTAATGACTGGTTGTGCAGCAGATTCAGGCTGCGTAGCTGTCTGCCATGGCTGTGTAGGAACGGCGTAAGCTCATCAGACTTGATCTCCCAACAGTTTATCAAAGACAGATGTGTAAGGCCTTTCGGTAAGAGGGGAAGCAACCGATCATTCATGATAGTCGACGACTCAAAAACCAGGTGCTGAAGCGATTTCAATTGGGAAATTGCTTCAGCGATGGCCTTGATGACAGCCCCATCTTCAGCTTGAAGTTCCTGCTCTCGCTCCTCAGTGACACCCTTCACCCCTAACTTATAGAGGGATGGGACCTGGAGGTTCGTAAAACTGAGTTTGGTGAGATGAGCGAATGAAGGGTCCCGATGTATGCGGACAACATCATTCATAGTCGCCACTGGTCCTCCCAGCAGGCTTCCACTCCACTCCCAACTTTTCAGGGTGGTATAGAACTGCTTGTCTTCAGCACTGATGGGAGTGGGCTGTTCGGAGGTTGGTTTCAAGGCATCAAATATTTCTTGTGTGTATTGCCATCTTACTGTGCGATCCAACTGCCTGTACGGTGGTTGGTCAGACGGTGTGAAGAGGACGACTTCCTTTAAACGCGGAAGCACACATAGTATCCTGGGCAGCAAAATTTGGGGCACAACATGAACATCTACATAAAGAGTCTCAATTTTGGTGCGATAGTTGAACAGGGTTTCAGAAGGTGGTCGTTCAAGCAGGGCTGCAAATCGTTTAGTCTTCCCCGTCGTTGTTAGAAGTGGCGAACGATATATGGCTGTCAAAGCAGGTTCCGAGAAAGCCTTGCAAACTGTGGCAGTTGTTATCAGCCAGTTGACGTCAAGGCTATCATGGCCAGCGATGGCTGCGTAATAGAAGACATCGGTCCAGGCACTGTAGGGCATCTGAGGGTTAGTCCAGGGTGGAATGACACCTTGTGGTATTGGCTCAGCTTCGGAAGAAATCCGGCGCTTTTTGAGAGACCTTCTTTTGTTTTTTGATGGTTGTGATCGTTTCCTTGTTTGTTGATTCCTCGGACTTGGCTCGCCCCTTCTTGAACCAAGCAAAGTACTAGGCGCAGGATTGTTCGGGGACGTCCGGGAGGGAGCAGTGTTTCGCGTGCTACGGCGAATACTAGTACGGCGCGGTACAGCTTCTGTTGACCTCGTATTCCGAGTTCGTCGTGATCGTGAATTGGACTGTGTCCCTTCGTCTTGTTCAATCTCACTCTCGACCTCTACCTCGTCGGACGAGTGTGGGCTGCTCAAGGAAGATTCGGAATCCTCTTGCCCAGAGGATTCATTGTAGCGAGGCACTGAGTTTCGCGACCGTCTTGGACGCGTTACGGTTGGTTGATGACAAGACCGGGAGGGCAGAGGACGGTTGCGACGAGCGGAGGCATCGGGGTTGCTGGCGAGTTTGATACGGGCCATTTCGGGGCGCCCTTTTAGAAGAATTATGTCAGCTAAAACCTAATACGAAACCAGATTTAGTGTGTAGGAAACGAGAGAGAAAAGGGCTGTGTGTGGCATTCTGCGGACCAACGCGGGATGAGTGTTGGTTGTACCTTCAAAGGCTTGGCCCAGCTGTATCGTGCGTTTTCTCGGTAGTTGATTGGCAATCGTCACGCCAGAGCTTTGAGTTCGGAGTTGATAAGGCAATAGATACAACCAAGTGATCAAGCGTGTTAGTTTGTCTTTGTTGCGTCTTGTCAATAGTGAAGCAGTGCAGAACAAAAAAGAGTTGGGTACGGTGATGATGTAGTCGTAAGAGAGTTGGAGGGGCATGAACCATCTGGTTCCTCCAAGGACAATTCAGCCTTGCGTTAGTGCACTTTGGGGGTGGGGCTTTATGGGTGATCGATAGCCAATCATTCAAACTAGTGGCAGAACGCGGCAAGGCTGCGAATGCAGAAAGAACAATATATTCTACTGGAGGGAATAATAAGGGCAAGAAAATATCAAGCTGGAATGGCAAAAAATGTATTTTGAACAATTTCGAGTAGTTTTTGAGGTCTTTTTAGACTTGTCCAGAACTTCAAGTCATGATACCTTTGCGCATGTTGGATATTCCGAGTTGAACCTTTTGCCCAATATTGATTGGTCTCTGACTCTATACCTAGAGAAGAGTGGGATAGGAAGGACAACAACCACACATTTGATTTTCTTGGAACAAATACAAATCCAAATGATGCGCACTGAGCTCAAATGATTGTATAGTGGATTAGGTATACTAAACATGAGAGATAGGGCGCTGACAACAAGGCATGATGGGCCTCAGTTCTCATGATAGAGAACGGACTCGAATCGCGAAACATGGATCCATTCGCAATGGATAATGGGGAGGCTAAAGGGGGTCAGCGCACCCGCCTAGCTGCATAGGTGATAATTTCCAGCGGCCAGTTCTGTTGGTCGCAGAGCCTGTAATTCGCTGCCACTGAGAACGAATGGTCTCGCCCCGCTACAAGATGCTCCGCTACTTGCCAGGCATGTCTCGGGGCGTTTAGAAAACTTGGCTTCTGAGAAGAAGGGGAACGAAAATACTAAATCAATTTTTGGCTTAAGGACTAGCTTGTTAGGTTATTTATTTTTTACATCCCAATCATTGGAGGTTGGCTTTTCTGTTACCCATAGACATGACGCCCTGGGCTAGGCTCTTACCTCTAGTCGCGATAGAATCTCCAAGACCCATGTCCCATGTCCCAGTTACTCTTTCACCTGTCATTGTCGTTGCTACCCGTCTAGGAATCTCAGCACGCGTCTTTTTGATTCCTTTCCTTGTCGCGCTCACTCGACAAAGTATCAATACTGCAAGGTCTATATAATTCCGTCCCTTCTTCAATGCGATAGAACACGCCGATGACGGGAGTGACTTTCAATTCAGCTCATAAACGCGGCGCATTTGGGACCTGTTTTCCACTGAGCAAACGCGACCAGGCAGGCAGGTTCCATCCCGCATCTCCTCCTTAAACTTATATTTACCCTCTCTATCCGTCTTCTCTTTTAACTTCCTCCTCTACCCGACAAACTCATCACTGATCTGCATGGCAACAACAGTCAGCGAAAATAATGAACGTCAAATCAATCAACTATTAATCTAATTCATTGCCCTTTTATTTATTCTCAGCAAACACAACAGCGACGGATCAGAACAGGAAAAGAAAGGACACAAGGGCCACACGCAGACTATCTATTGCCATCTCATGCAGTGCTCTCACAATCACAGTCACACCCATCATTGTCGCCTATTGCAATCAGCTGCACCATTGAGGTCCGCGGTCGCGAGCAAACTCGCCATTTAACCTTTTCCTCTCTTTTTATGGCCTTTTTCTTTCGCCATGACACAGACACAGAGAAAGACATACACGAGGATAGCTCCATTCACTCAACAGAGTTGGCTAGTTACGCACAACGCTAAAAAGATGGGTGGAAGCTTTTCTTCCCCCAAGAGCCATGATGATGCTGCTCCTCCTCCACAGAAGCGTCCGCGCTTGGAAACTTCTGCCAAACCGCTTGCCAACGCTTCACCATCAGTGTCAGAAAATCGCTCGCACCTTCGTGTTGAGATTCACAAGATTTTTCACAAAGACTCAAAGAAAGTTCGGCCTCTCCAAGAAACGCCTCCATCTGACGACATCATCAAAACCAAGGGCAAATGTCAGATCACGGTTTCCGATGTGAGCGGTGGCTTTACCAATATCCTCTATCGCGTCAGCCAGAGTTGTGACATACTCTCCTACGAGAACCCCGCCGGCCCTCATCGGATTATTTTCATTAAGCCGCCAAAGCCATTTCTTGTTCCCGAAGAAACCATTCTAGTAAATAGGCAGGATGAGGCATCTCACGACTACTCACTCTCTTACAAACTTGACGTTGAGCTGAGTTCACTCAATGATGGCAATTGGCCACCGCTCAACACCCAGGAACTTGGACTTTCTGCAACTCAACCCTCGCCACTGATTGATGCCGGAAAGCAGACCTGGGTGCTGCATAGCCAGTTTAACCAGGTTTTCGCAAGACAAAAGAATCCCATTAAGCTCACAACCGGATTTCACCCACAGCGACCGGAGTGCCTTACGGATTATGTCATGGATGTAGATCTGCGCTGGGCCACTGGTTTCCGGTCTATCGACAAAACTGCCAAAAACTGCATCACTGCTGTGGACCCAGACGCGGAGGAAATTTACACTGATGGACATCTCGAACCCATTGTTGATGCCCAACTAAACGGCACCAGCCCTGTCGATGCCGAGGACGTCGCTAACGTCACCAGTGAGACGAGGCAAGTGAACGGAACCAACGGCATTAACGGCATAAAAAATGCAGGCAATGCTCATGATCATGATATGAACGGTGTGGATGGTGTGAACGGCATCAAAAATGTTCTACCAGAGCCTCAGGGTCTTAATGGTACTCATGACACAAATGGCGTGAACGGGCATGAGCAGGTTAATGAGGAAGACATATCGCATGATCTATCACACGAATTGGACGAGGAATTAGAAGGTGATCAGACGCCGAACCGCCACCTCAGAAAAAGGGCCAACAACAAGCAGTACAATCTCAAGGTGTTAACTGATCAGGCACATGGCAAAGAATCCAAGCCTCGAGCGAAATCTGGACATCTTGCGCAAGTTGGGGGCCGCGTTACGTATTTGCCACCAGTCAACACAGCAGTACATTTGGACTCTTGGCGATGTCTAAACTGTGGTTGTTCGAACGAGTCTTTGGATGTATTGCGCGCTCACTTGAAGGATTACCACCCCAACTACGACTATGCGCTAGAAAATACGAGTGAAGGGCCGCTGTTCCGCGTTACTCGCATTTCTGGTCCCGCTGATTCACCCGCGAATACGTTGCAGCTTGGTAGGCCGACGAAATCATTCAATCTTGAAGACTATAATCGAGGTGACGAATCGTGGATAACTTCTCGTTTTGGCCCAGATCACAGCGCGCCAGATGTGTTATCACCATCAAAACCGCCGGCTGCAAAACAAGCGCCTGGCAAGACTGCTGTAAAACCCTTGCAGCCTTTTCCAACAGTACGACAAGCGGCCCCACGGCCAAAAAGGAAAATTGTCGTCCCAGACGTATCCCAGCCTCTGTTTGACCCTATCAGCAAAGCCCGCCTCAAACCTGGGGAAGAGCTACCGAAACCTGCTATAGATAGTTCCTGGTTAATTCAGAAGCATCGCGAAGATATAGGCGAATTCTCCGATGTCTCGGCAGAGGAGAAGGAATACATCTGCAGGTGGGATGCTTTTATCCTGGAGCAAAACGTCACTTCTGGAGCATACTTTAGACGAGCTTGGCTCCAGTTCATTAAAGAGAACGCAGTGTGGCTGGCTAGTACAGAACATCGAATGAGGGAGTTTGGCAAACACATGTGTGTTTTAATGGCTCGTGACATTCTGGAAGATGAGAACATCGATAATGCTGAGAAACTGATTGAGGAGGCGAGAGCTCAGTTGAAGTCTGGTGGTGGCGGCGATGAGCAGACGAACGATACTAAGACGGCTGACAACGCATTGAGGCAGTCACCTCGAGCTTCACAGATCACGAAAGGCGCGAATGGGTGTACGATATGTAAACTCCCTGTTCTTGGCCCCTCTCTCCTGATCTGCTCAAACAAGGTAACACTCACGCTATTGTAAGGCGGAAGCTTTGTTAACTTCTTTTACAGAAATGCCCAAACCGACTTTACCATGCTAGCTGCATTAAACAGTTAGCTACTACTCCAGTGACCCGTCCCAAGTGGCTTTGCAACGAATGCAGCAAGCCTGAAGGATTCTCTTAGAGCGGGGTGTCCTCGCCCTTGCCCGGTCAGAGTTCTCGAGGAGTCGTTCCCGATTACTTGAAGAAGCGTGCCTTACGAAGCAATGCTGGCTTACAGAGTACAGAGTCCTCGCATCTAATGACTACGCAACGGAGGATGAAGAGGCAAGCTGTAGAAACAAATATTACGGAGCCTCTTGAGAAGCGTGGCGCGAGTGAATCAACAGTCAAAAGTCGAGAAACAAAGCTCGATCGGCGAAGACCGTGACTGCAGCCTGATGATGAAATAAAAAGAAAGGAGGCCCTCAGGTCAGATTTCGAGAGGAGTGTATTGGAGATGTTATGAGAAGAAGAAAGCATTGGGTTGTTTTACTTCATAGGCACTCATACACACATGTTCTAGGACTGGGAATTAAGAAGGCATGCTAGGAGTCAGTTGTTTAGTGGTTTGGGCCGAGGGGTTTTCTGACGATGAATTTTTCTGGGAGGTTGCAGAATCCATATACCTGAATCAGCATAAAGTCTGGGGTTCTGCGTTTTACAAAATACATTACTCTAATTCCGTTGATGGAAGTACATGATCGTTGGCCAAGTTTGTGATACAGTCCTGAAGTAGGTGATATGGAGGTTCGTGAACATGTCTGCTTTCACAGTGTTGGAAGACATGGACAGTATTGCTAAGCGTCCATAAAGGAGTGGGAACGGTCCGCTGTTTCTGGGCGAGTTGGTTGGTGACATTCATACAGACGCCAATTTTGGTGGCTTTGAAGGTCATGCCAGCAAATATCATGATTCTGCTACACGTCACAACAAACAAATAGACTGGATGAAACTACTCTCAGAATACGGAGCTCGAGCCGTATACTCTTCCGGCGATCAGAGATTCTGGATAAGTGTGTTGACTGTTGCTCAAATTTTCAAAATATCAAATCGAGTGGTATCTCAATGAGGGCGGTGATGTTAAGGATGCTTAGTCGTGGTCAATACTAGTCACAGGACTGCCCATTCAGTGCCAGATCATTAAGTTTCCAGTATCAACAGGGTCACTTCCAGTCTTTGAATACCGAATGCTGCTCTGAGTCGATATATACCTGTACGGTCGGAGTTGCGGGCATGTGTTTGTGTGAGAGAGGGGGTGATCACGATATTTTATACGCACTCGCGACTTGGACTTTTCTGTTTGATACGGGGCGTATCCCATCTTCCTGGCTAAAGAGCACTTGAAGAAACACAAATTGTTTTCAGATAGTAGCTTTGTGGACAGCATATGACTCATTTGTACATAGCATTATTCACGATCGAGTAGGATGGGTCTAGGCTTCATGCGGTCCTAACCTAAACTCTGGACAGCGTCTCCGGAGATTCGGCATCTGACATTGACGTTCAGAAATTGTCCAGAGGCGCTCTGGAGAAGAAGAGATGGAATTGACTGTTTTCCTACCAGCGTATCATTCCTATCTTCAGGAGCTACCACGAGACGAACCCTGCAGGGGTGGACATCGTTGGGCGCGCTTGACTTCAGCCTTATGATCTTTAGCGATTTGTCATGAGTGGCTGAGCGAATGGCTTGGATGCAAAATATGCACATATGCATACTCGGTAGTCTTTTCTGAATCGTGATTATAATTCGTTTGCAAAAGACCTGTCACAGTTCTAGTGCGACATGAATGTGTCTAGTGCTGAGCTACCTATGCAGGGATCCATGCGTTTGTTCATGCTTAGCCACGTTGGGCTGCCATGATACCTATATCCACGACAAGATTGTACCAAACTTGACAAGTCCTTGTTCTATATTTCAGAATCCTGATCTTTTGTGTTGATGCCTGTATCTCATTGGCCGCGTTTCCGTCTCTCAACTCCATAGTAATAAAAGCCTCATGGAACGTAAATAGAGAGGTAGCCATGATGAAATTAACCACGCATCTTCTAATGGTCAAAAAGGGTTAAACATGAAAAGAATCTAGTTTAAAAAATGTTCAAACAATCTCTTTGCCGATTTGTTTCGGCCAGGTCAGATAAGTAATATTACCCGGTTAGCCATGATGGAGGCATCATCCATACACCAGCCATATCACCATCAGACACCTCTCGGGTTCTTAACAAAAGCAACACTTGAAACATCCTTCTTTTTGTTGAATTGGTCTTTTGAGTGACTCGGTTCTTCGATGAGGGACCATCCTGAGTTGTTCCATTAGGCCTAGCTTTTTGACTCCCAGACACCCATGAGTAATTGATCATTCCGTCATACAGAAACAGCACAGTCTACTGTACTCGATATGTTTGATCTAATTGTTCCTGAGTTAGTGTTAGCGTAGTTTATCAAGACTGATGCGAGCCATGAGAAGAATGGCTACCTCTGAGACACTGACAACTATGCGCTAGGGCCGACCAGTCATCAATTGTTGTGCGACCATCCTGCATGTCATACAGCGCATTTTCCATGTTTAAAATGTAATTGGCAGCATCTCCATCAAAGTAGCAGCACCATGTTTTAAATAATTACATCCTTCGTATCTGTGGTTAGCATTCATTCCCCATCTGCAGCGAATTTAGAGTGTGTACTCTCTGGAGTGCCGCCTACGTAGCACCTTGCAAACCGACATACTTTATTTCTGCAAGCGCACATGATATTACAGATCACAGAAGTTATTTCCCAAAAGTCTTAAACTAGACTTTCATGACCTCGATAGGGGAAATTGCACAAGTGGCTCGAGAACATGACCATGCAATATTTCAGGTGCCGCCTATGGGTAGCAGAAAAAATGGCCTCCTAAGTCTTAGGGTATAAAAATAAGTAGTCTGAAAACTATAGCCTAAGGGGCATAAAGTGACCTACTAAATTCGTTTCTTATGCTTCCAGCGGTCAATTTTTCTAATACTCTGAGGCCATCCAATGTTCTAAATCGGGAAGCCTAATTGGTACGCTGATCCATAATAGAGATGCTGAACCAGGAGCCGTTCAAGATTGGGAAATGGAACATATTGAATTGACACTGGCCGGATATCTTGGGGCTATCAAGACCAAAGGAGACGGCGGCTGAAGAAAGCGACCAGATCATTCTCTACGGATATTGAGCAGTCAGAGATTCCCACAACGGTGGATCCAACGTGACTACGTGAGAGTGAACAATTGGGCATAATAAAAAGATGATTGAATAGAGATGTCAAGAGTAAACGAGGTGGTGACAAGAAAAAAGAAGGTACAGACCTTGACTGTGACACAAAATAGTATCTGCAAGTCAAATGCCAAGATCTTGAGGCCAGATAGAAATCCACTTATGATAAACAGTTAGGCTACACCATTACTTGTCTTTTCACAACAGCACATGGGAAATAGTAACATCGTCCGGACTTTTCCTTCAAAACGTTGAGGATATATACCCAAATGACTGTAAATCTAGTGCATACGATCAAAGGTAATGGAGAATACGAGACCTCGTCAAGGTTCTTTCATTCTACGACAGTGCCTCAGCTTTCTAGGTTCAGAGTTTCTTGATTTAGTGATACAGGTCCTCATTTTTTGGAGGCCTACTTGAATAGCAATCAAGCATTCAATCAGAAGTGGCGTTTATCTGTTTTGTCAAGAATACCGCGGATGATGGCGAAGTAATGTCTGAAGCTTTTGAAACATGCCAGGATGAAGTTTGAAATAGTAGTTCCTAACAAGTTGAAAGGAATCAAGGCTTCACCTAAGTTTCATATCAGAAGCTTGTAATTATCACTGGGGTGCACTGAGTGTTAGGAGTAGCAGCAGACGTACTATTCTCTGTCCCAGAATTTCGCTACTTGAAAAATATCCTTATTACATGGAGAGTGAAGTCATGGTCCAACGAGTCGAGGAGATGTTTTTAAAACGCAGGAAAACTCAGATCTATTGAGAAGGCAACTTGGTTACTAATGTACAAGAATAAGATTTATACGAGAAGGGGGAAATGGTGAAAGCATGACATGCCACAAGGCTAATTCGATCCAAGATGCACACGACCCTCTTAGCAATAACTCTTGGTAGTGGCCTTGGTAATGACTCCAGCTCGAATCAGATCGATGTAACTCCAGTAATCTCTCTGAGTTCCTTGACCATCAACGGGAGTATTGGAGTAAGAGACAGCTGTCCAGAAGGCACCTCCAGCGACGTACTTTTGCCAAGCATACCGTTGAGTATCAAAGATAGTCTTGCGGCTGGGTACAGACAAAGTGTTGTTGTACATGGTTTGTAAAGACCATTCTCCGACAAACACAGGAAACTTTGTTTCCTCGGCAAGGTACTTCGCCTGTCCGCACACAGCAGGCGCGACAAACTGAGAATAAGTTCCTGACGCTGCGAAATAGTAGACGTGTGAGTCAATCACAAGGTTGCGCTTCTTATCGAAAAGAGGAGACCAGAAGGAAGCACCCTTAAAGTTGTCCTGCAGCATGACTGGAATACGCTTATCGACAGCCTCGACACGCTTGAACACGCCGTTCATATAGGTGATTACCCAGTTAGTAGCCTTGTCAGATAGGCCAGCCGCTGATCCAAATCCTGCCAGGTTGTCACTGACTTCGTTCAGGGGCGCGATGGTAAAGGCGTTCTTGTGTCCACTTGACTTGACAAAGTTGAGGACTTGGTCAACAGCCTTGAGACTATAAGCAAGGTTCGTAGCGTTATAGAACCAGCCATTATGGCCAAAGGCTTCGCCGATATCGAGACTGTTGGTACCACCGGGCAAAGAATGAAGGCCGATGATGATATGCATGTTGTACTTGGTGATGGCATATTCAGTAATCTTGCGCAGATGTAGCTGCTGGTTGCCATGGTAGAAAGCAGATCCGGGCACCTTGACCCAGGCAGCATATGTGGTGGTGATGCGGAGAGTGTTGATTCCGACCTTGGCAAGATTATCGATAGTGGATTGGTTCAAGAAAGAGGCATAACGGGCCTCCAAGACAGGACCGCATTGCTTGCCGAGGGCCTGGCAAAAGCTCCATTCATCAGGCGTATTGGCAGCTTTAGTACCAAAAGAACTCCACCAAATAGGGTCATGGGTCCTTTCCTTTGCCAGCCAAGCACCCAAGTTTACACCATTGGACTTGAAGGTCTTCCAGTTGATGAACTTGTCGTCCTCACATCCTTTCGGGAAAGAGATGTCATGGTTATGCCGTGTGTCATGGGGCTTGACATGGGGTACGCTGAAGGGACATTGCTTTTGGTACTTGGCAGTCTTTCCGTGTTGAGGAGCAGTGGTTGCAACCGTGAGTCCAAGCGAGCTTAGGACGCTGCTGGCTTGTACCTTGACACTTCGTGCTTCAAGGCTTTCACCTGGGGCAGCAGAAGCAGGGAGCAGTAGTGCTGCACAGAGGCCAAGAGAAAGACGCATAGTGAGAGATTGACGAAATGATAATCTAGCTTGTGAATTGTTTAATGTCGGCTACTGATGTCGAGAGATCTACAAGGCGACACAGCGACCATTTAATACTGTACACGTATTGATTGCTCTGTCCAATTTTGAGCATCTGGATTTTTTGTGATCACGATAGTTTGGCTACTATCTTGTACTTCAATCAATAGTTTGGGAGCTTTGACAATCCAGACCCGATCGAAGCGGCCAATTCCATACGAGGTCTGCGTATCGTGATACTGCCCATGATGGAGGTCCATTCATTTGGGCTTCAAAGATCTTGAGCAAAATTAATTGAAACGCCGTTGTAAACGGGCGTGCTATCCAAATGAAGATTAGGGTGCACATCGAAGATATCGGTAGCGCCTAAGATTAGCTTCTCAGGGGTATTTGTCGCTGACATATCGTGATTTACGCCATTGGTCTTGGGACTATTGAATGCACGGATAGTTCTTGGGGATCGAGAACCTTGCTTTAATCGTTTCAATGAACCATCTAAATATTGGGCATCCGCTAGAGAATCCGGCAAGTGGGACATGAGTCTTTTCGATGTCTGGAAATGCCGTGCTCGGAATTCCCGAGTTACAACTCCAAATACTGTTCTCCGATCCTCTTGCAGGCTCTGTCCGTGTTCCTGCATTAGACCGGCCCGATGCTGCTCGGTCCCCATTACTATAACTAATTACAAAGTCCGCAGCAAGATCCTGGCTAGGCTATGCCAGGTACTCGGGAATCTAGACAACTCTCCAATGTGGTGTGTGATGGATGCTCCGCTCGTTGCGATGTATGGGGTTGCTGAGCAAGAGAGCCCCTGCGCGGATACATCGGACATTGTCAGAACAGAACCAATCTTTCGACACTATGTCTTGAGGGGGTCACAGTAGACGAGTTTTTTCGTGATGTGTAATGTTGTTTCGAACCGTCTGAAGCATGCCGGACGTCTGGGGCCATGCCGCGTGGGTGTGATATTGTTCTGTTCACTAACTTGTCATGATGGGAAGTTGCAAGCCTTGTCGAGATGGGCCGACCGGTAAAGACCCGATATTACATGGATAAACATTGGAGAGCGACTAAGTAGGTGCCTTTGTGAGCTATCCAACTCCTTGTTCTTTTACCCAATAAGTCTGTTGAATAAATATTTGTACTCAGAGTAATAGTCACACTGTAACTAGCGAAGAAATGGTAATGACGGACGCAACGTCGGAGATCTACACAGGCATGGAGCACTCGGCCTCCCAGCAGCCCTTTTAATTGTAATTAAGTATTGGTGTCAACTAATAGCGCCGTTTATTTGAAGTGTAACGAGATAACTGAATTTTATGCATCAGCGCTTCATTCGTCCTTCCGTCATCGACAACGATGCCCCGAGCTTGGAACGACTTGGGCCTAGCTACTACCCCATGGTCTGGAGTGGCAAAAACCACCATTTAGTTCTATCAAAATAATGCAAACATGTTCCGAAATCTAATTACCAGATGAAATTGCGGCTCTATAAAAAAAAAGCACTTACAAGTAAGTACATGCACATGATACAGCTGCCTTACTGATTAAGACCTATCTGGCATCGTCCACAGCACAGCATAACCGACGTGGCAATGATGCCAAGCCTGCATTCAAGTGTTGAATCATGTTGAAAAGTTCATATCCGTTAGATGTTGTCGGTTATAGCATGTCCCAATATAAACAACTTTGGGTTTTCATGAATAATATGTAAACCTCCTTATGAAGCCCAACGTTTGATATTCATTCTACAACCATACTGTAGGCGCACTTTTCAAAGCTCAAGGAGCATGGTATTCGTACTGATCGAACCATCGAGTGGCTCTCAGGTAATCAAGATAATATAAAAAACGCCTAGTTACCAACCCGGTTTCCATCAATGGTACATATCTGACAACCTATTCTGGACTGCCAGCTAATTAAAATCTGCTCTTGCCTTCTCTTTTCTTCGCATTAAGTTCCGCCTCTGTCTTTTGCCTCTTTCGGCTCTCCTGGGCAATCATATCGCTCAGGTCATCATCGTATGACCACTTGGCACCGACGCCCTCTTCCTTTCTGCCCTCATCAAACTTGCGCCGCAAGTCATCCTTGCTGATACCGTCGTTGCTCTGTAGGGAGTCAAGATCGAGGGCAACGTCAATGTCGCCGGGCTTCTTGCGCTTGCGTGTATCGTCTTCAGCACCAAGCACTGGCACACCAGCTTGCTGAGCTGCTTGGGCCTGCTTAAGATCATATACCCTGTCACTGCCAAAGAAACCTTCGGCACGCACTTGACGCTCTGGCAAGATGGTGTAGGCGGATCGAGGCGCGCTTGACTCTTCCGTCTCGTAGCCGCGACGCTCCTTTCGTAGATCCATCTCACCATCAATAGCTGTCTCGACACCTTGTCCGTAGTCGGCCTGCACTATACTGGCGTAACCACCAGGGGTTTCAAGGCCGGTAGACGTTTCAGTTCCACCGGGAACATCTTCCTCTTCCTCCTCTTCCTCATCGTCTGACTCCTCCTCCTCCTCTTCTTCTGACTCCTCTTCACGAGGCTGCAACTCACCCCACAGGTTCTTCTCGACAGGTTCACCAGCTCCCGTCAAGATTTGCGCTGCCCCTTGACCTGGCGCGCCTGACGCTGAGAGACCAAAGACATCACCACCAAACAAAGGTCTGTTGAACTCGTCAACAGGAGGCTTGCCCCAGCCACCGGGGTGGAAACCCCATGAGCCTCCAGCGGGTGGTGGCGCATTTAGACCGGGGATCTTAAGAGTAGGGTAGGATGGGGGAGGTCCGAATCGTTGTTGGTTGATGAGCCATGGTGGCGGTGCGCCAGGGGGCATTCCAAGAGCTTCCTTAGTGGCCTCGGTGAGATCGCCTGGTCGAAAATGTTGATAGTCAACCTCAGACTCCTTTCCTTCGTAATAAACCTCGCCAAATCGGGTAAGCTCGGGCTTGGTTTGGAAACGGAAGAACGCATCGTAGAGTTTTTGGTAGTCGATATCCAGCTTGCCCATCTTGGGGGCAACACGCTCGCGCTGCTTCTGCTTCAACGACTGTTCTGCTTGCTTGTCGAGAACTGCGTCGCGCATCTCCGTGATACCGGTTTCCGCGATAAACTGTGGAAGGCGGAAGGGCGGCTTCTCGATACCTCTCTTCGAAGATAGGTACTCTCGCTTCAGGGACCAATGTGTCGGAACTGGCACAACGTTGCGCTGAGCCTTGATCTGCACAAGCAATCGAGGATCTGATGATGAGACGTCTTGCCACTCCACCACTTCAGGAATCTTGACGAGAGCCTTGAGCTCTGCGATAGAAAGCTTGGTGAGCTGCTTTTTCTTCTTTTTCGATAGCTTAGGTTGGTTCTCTTCGTCCTCGTCAGGGATTTCGTCGTCATCGGCGTAGAACACTGTTCCTGTATTTCCAGCGTTGGCTTCTTTGGCAATCTCGTCCTCTTCCATCGACGCGCCGAATTTGTTGAAGATGTCCTTGTACATTGCATATGCAGGATCCTCTTCCAGATCATCTGCATCGAGCGCGGAGTCAGCAGGAGCGGCATCCTCGGCGTTGGACTCCTTCTTCACTTCGAGGTCCGTCGTCGTAGATTCGGGCGCGGCATCGGTTTCTTCGGATTTGATGGCCTCAGTAGGTTCTTCGGTCTTGATAGTTGAAGTCTGCGGCGCGTCAGTACGTGGAGTCGCCATTAAAAAGGGATAGCTTGGACATACCTCTGCTTGGGATTTCTTTTGCTCCTTCTTCTTAGCCCTTCGCATCTGGTTCTTGGTCATCTTTGGGGCCGCCATGGCGAATCCGAAGCTGGCGACGGTGGCGTCGCGACGAGGTAATGTCTTTTATTTGCTGCAGGATTCGAGATTTGTGTTGTGAGCTGGAAGACAGCGTAAAGGCCGGCGAGCGCAAGTATGTACTGTTTGGGGTCCCTGCTCATGCCCAGAAGACAGATTGAGCTTAAAACAACGTGTAGAAAAGAGTCTTGTTATGTGAGCTGAAGCAAATGCACGTTTGGATGCGCTAACTAAGAGATTGGTTTGGCCGTCACGAGTGGAGTCTTGCTCCGTCCAAAAGTCTCCAAAAGCTAATCGTAACTTGTCCAAGCAAAAATTGGACGCGGCTCCGCGGCTTGTGGCGTCTAGTAAGCGTTATCAGCTTATCGCACGCGGCTGTCGGACTAACCACGGATGATGATAAAGCGGCCGATTAATCGCTGTAAGCCACGTAATGTCAGTTACGGACTTATTACAGAAGGTTCCAAGGGAAGACCCCCTGTAAACCCCCGTGTGCAATCTAATGTATCTGGCATCCAATCGTCTCGTCGTCCTATTGGCGCCCCTTGATTTAATAATAGGCGGTACCTTGCTCATCCCACTTGCACCATTCCCTCTTTGACGTGAACGCCATCCACCAGCAGCTACAGTAACTTTATTGTAACTTGGCACCATCTTTTTTTCTAGTCAGCTTCATCTTTCGTTCTGATCAATCTGGACTTGCTCTTCTGCAGAGTCGCATCATAGTTTGATCACCTGTTACTGTCTCCTCCGCTTTCGGTTCCAACATCTATTCGTTTTCATCGCTTCCCCGGACCCGGCGTCGTCATCCTTGAGCTCCTTCGATCTGGCGTCTTGGCCTACAGAAGGACACTAACTACACTTGAGAGATAGCATTACGACTCAACCCTTCATCAGCTATGCTATGACCAAAAGCTCTCGTCAACGCGATTGAACAATATTATCCTCGACAATTGTCTCGTCTTTTCTCACTCGTTATTCGAACCGATCATACAACCTTGTCTGGCCGTTGCGCCGTTAAACGTCGCTACTTGCTTCTCCCCCTGCTTATCGCTACCTTGTGATGGAAAAGTTCCCCGACTTCGTCGACACGCCCTTGGGCGAGTCACCCTCGGACAGCCCTTCAAACACTCCTGGCTGGGCAAACGGCGCTCCCCCTCGTCCCTCCGATCGATGGCTACCAGTTTCGAAGCAAGATAACTGGTCAGCGGCATCTCGAGGCCACAATCGGCAGAAGAGTCTCACTGATGCCATTCGCACAATAAGAGGTCGCAATGGCAGTGTCAGCCAGAATGCTCACGAGATTGCCGACGCTCTGCGTGCTCCCGTCTCCCCAAAGCTCATTGTACGCTCAATCTACCCAGTCCCAAGTAAAGAGTACTGAGTACAAGTGCTGACCTGATGCTGCGCTACACAGATTCTGTGCCTTATGTGGTACGCCTCATCTGCGCTCACAAATACCTCGTCCAAGTCCATTTTAATAGCTTTTGACAAGCCTGCCACCTTGACACTTGTTCAATTCGCCTTTGTGTCCTCGTTATGTATGTTCATGGCATGGCTGGCGACCATTTTCCCTGTCTTGCGCACAAAGGTTACAGCTCTCAAGTACCCGATTCGAAAGCCGACCCGCGATGTTCTCAGAACCACTCTTCCTCTTGCAGCGTTTCAGATCGGAGGTCACCTCCTCAGTTCAACAGCCACCTCCAAGATTCCCGTATCACTTGTCCACACCATCAAGGGTCTCTCACCCCTCTTTACCGTCCTCGCTTATAGATTCGTGTACGACATCCGATACCCAAAGACCACTTACCTGTCTCTGATTCCTCTGACATTCGGTGTCATGTTGGCTTGCTCGGGTAAGACGACATACGGCGGAGAGCTTATTGGTGTTATCCAAGCTCTTCTAGCAACTATCATCTTCGTTACCCAGAACATCTTCTCCAAAAAGCTATTCAATGAGGCTGCCAAAGCTGAAGCTGAGTCACCGTACTCAGTGTCGAAAAAGCTAGATAAGCTCAACCTGCTCTGTTACTCTTCCGGCATGGCCTTTCTTCTCACATTGCCTATCTGGCTATGGTCTGAGGGGTTCGCTCTCCTCCTGAACGTCTATCATGAGGGCTCAATCGATCTGAATGAGCAACCGAATTCAATGGATCATGGACGACTCACACTTGAGTTCATCTTCAACGGTGTCTTTCATTTCGGTCAGAACATCCTCGCCTTTATCCTGCTCTCTATGGTTTCGCCTGTTACGTACTCGGTTGCCAGTCTTATCAAGCGTGTGTTCGTCATTGTCCTGGCTCTGGTGTGGTTCAGAAGTCCTACAACACCGCTTCAGGGAGTAGGCATAGCCCTCACCTTCTTGGGACTGTACTTGTACGATCGAACCAAATCGAGCAACAAGGCCGATCAAAAAGCCCAATCAATGCAGGTAAAGAGATCATCATTGCTCCCTACCACCAACGGCGGATTGCGGCCTACGCCCATCACGGAGTCTCCTCAAAGCACTGAACACAAGCCTTACCCTTACCACGAGGGCTACTTTGGTCGCCCAACGGCAGCGGAGGATTCCAAAAAGAGTGACGATAGCAGTGCCCGAAGCCGGACTCCAGGCACTGGCAACGGCTGGCTTCCTCCTGGTACCAAGCAGGAAGATACATGGCAGCCTGGTGATCGAGTCGCTGGTGTCGCAAGATAATTTCCGCTAGTGCGTATTGATTTGTTTCTTCAACAGGGTTGGTGTTTCGAAATTTCGCAAAGGAAAAAGAATGACATAGAGTTTCTCAAGCAACGGTGTTGTTTATATTCAAACTGGATGAAATGTTTGGATTCCTGTATGACCTACTATGGGCTGGCGTTTTAGTGATACGAAAGATACAACGGCAGTTGTAGGCATCTCTGGAGGTGCTGGACACGGTGTACCATTATGTGCGACATGGAATGATATTATTGGATTTCTTGGATAGACGAGTTGATGACAAGCAGCCTGGACAATGTATTAATGAATAGTATAAGGTTTGCGCATTGTTTAGGCGCTGCAGCATTATATCATGCTTGGGGTATTATTAATCTATCAGCCATTCTTCAACCTCCACTCCTATGCTTCTTCCTATTCCACGTATCACTTCCCAGGCAACATTGATCCTCCATTTGCCTCCTCTATCCATCACATCCCCGGCGCCTCCCACCCGCGTGAGCAATCTCAAGCTAGCAAGCGTTGATATGGCCATAGCTACATCCGCATCGAGTCCTGCTGCACCAACGGTAGTGCCGTCTGCCCACTCCGATCGCACAGCGGCGAAGATGGCCATCATGCGTTCGAGAACAAAAGCATGTGCACCAAGCAGCTTGCGAGCAATCTTTCGGTGTTTTGAACGAGTAGGCCCTCGAGCAACGCCACCTCCCCGGCGACGTTTGCGGCCGTGATTATACGTTGAAAAGAGCGTCAGATCATGACGAGTTGCGTTATGGGAGGCGAGATAAGCTGATAGGAGAATAAGGCGAGCGGTCGTGGGAAGAAGATTTGTCAGATCGGTCGCGGAGGCTGTGGGTTTTGTCGATACGGTCTCGACAGGCTTGTTCTTGGGTCGAACAGAGACAATGCTCGGGTTGAGCAAAGACTCGTCTTGGAAATGTACTCTGCCTGCGATGAGCAGCTTCGAGAACTCTTTCGGTAAGTGTGTTCCGGCTAAAATAGGGGCTGTGAAGCGCGGCCAAAGTGCGTGGCAGCTATGTTGAAATGAAGGTAATGTTCGGGAGGCGGATTTCGTAAGGGAGTCGTATACAGCGGCACAGAAGCGAGTCCAGAGATCATCAGTTTCTTGCTGCGTGCATGTGGCAATAGGTTTTGGTGGCGCAAGGGATAGGATGCGGACGAATTCTTTCTTCTCGTACGGCGGGAACAAAAGGTGAGCTGAGGAGGGTGATCGTAGAAAACCGGCCGGTGGGGATGTGACGATGAAGACGCATGTGAGAGAGGGAATCTGAATGCATAGGTTAGCTTTGCGCCGAAGCGTTCAGTGCCGTGAACTTACAATTTCTGATAGTCTCGCCAGGGCGGGCAATAATGTAGGGGGCGCATCTCTCTGTCGATCAATCGCATCCAGTACCAACACGAAACGCCATCGAGGATCCCTTTTAGGATACTGGATCATCTTGACCAACTCGACCGTCAACTGCGCCAACGTTTCGCATCGTCGTGGAATTTCCTCCCACTGCAGCGCCTCAGCCACTTGTCCGACTATACTCTCGAACAGATGTCGTCCTGTGATACATTGTACAGAATTGACCACTGCGGTCTGTAGTCCACCGGAGGAGGCATCGTTGTTTATATTTGTGACAAGGTCGGAGACGAGTTGGGAAACGATGGCGGATTTTCCTGTGGCTGTCGCACCGTGGACCACTAGATTTCGGCAAGGAGCTGCATCTGGCTATAGGAGGGTCAGTAATGATATTTTTTGGGTTATATAAAGTGACAGTTAGTAAACATACATGTAATAGCGTTGCTAGGGTTCGAATCTGATGCTCTCTACAGGGATAGGATTGGATTGACGGTGCCAGAATGACTTCGTCTGGAAGACCAAAAAGAGGCGCCATCTCTATATTCTGTGGTCAAGCACTGCTGCTGTTTGGTTGAAATTGGTTAAATTTGAAGTTCATAAACTATTTCGAGCTACCTACTAACTCAGGAGACGCGTTTGGCGCGTTGCACGGTCCAAGGTACGTCACTCGGGAAATTATCGGCCGAGTAGCTCATAGCAACTAACTATGTGCAAATCGTTACATGCATTTAATACGAAAGTGTATGGAGGTCGAAGTCAGATGGAATACGTGAGAAGGGTTATATGCATGTGATTCTGAAGTGATGAATATAAGTATATAATCCCAATGTCGACTTTTCAGTTCTGTTTCCTCCCAAACGCCATATACAATGCTATACAAGCATGATTCAGAAACTCTTGTTTAGTCCCAACGCCGTTGCCATGCTCATCAAAACAAAACAGGTATATGCATCTTCATAGGTGTACATCTTTTGTCGAATGCCTTAATCCACCATCCATTCCATATCCTCAATTCATCATGTAGCTTGTTCACAAGCAATTCTGGCTCCCAAACGGGTGCAGGCGTTCCTTGGCTGGACTGTGTCTGTGTGAACCCAGGTCCTCTGCGGGGAGCCTGAATTGTGATAGTAGGCCCGGAAGTGACCCAAATTTTGCGTATGTCGTCGACAATATTATTCATAAAAGTTTTAACGTGATTTTCGATCTGAGGAGTCGCTGCCCCTGATCCTCGGAAACCCGCGAGGAGAATTTCGGCTCTCAAAGAACAGTCGCCAACATCAACCATATCGGCAACGTACTGTTCAGCTACATCAAGTCCGGTCCGGATGGACCTCAGAACCTGCACAACATCTGGCCAACTACCATGCGATATTCCGGATAGAGATGAGCCATAAAGAGACGGCCAGAGGATGTTTGACAGATATATGACTTGGGTGATCAGATGGACATGCACCGCCTGGAGGGGTCCATCAGTCTGGCCCAGTCGCTCCAAAACGTTGACGACAGCACGGAACAGAACGAGCAAATGCTGTAAATCGTTTTCTGTCCACTCTCGATGAGTCACACCATCAGCCATGAACAGCCGTAGAGCTTCTGCATAAACCTCGATCATCGCGAATGCGTAGCTCTCAACTCCAGCTGCACGAACGATAGCTGGTAGCATCTTACTGAGAATGAACGAGAGGATGCCCTGGTTATCCATCCCTCTGTGTAAAAGCTGGGCTTCGTCACGAAGTTTGTTCTCTTTCAACGATAGCTTGAAGTTGTTGCAAAGAAAATAAAAGACCTGATGGACAACCCCGTTGTCGCCTTCGCTCAACTTGATTCCATAAGATCTCATGGCAGCCACCTGTAACTGCGGATCTTGGATGGACGGCGAGTACTCTTTGCTGATCCGATAAAAGTATTCGTCGATCTTGCATATATCAGAACCATGGGTTCGGATGAGCGTAATGATATCCCGAACAAAAGCCACGTAGCCTGGGTGCTCAGAAGCATCCTGACACATCGTGTGCAAATCAGACTGCATCTGCTCCATCACCAGCCTCAATGTCTTCGAATGCTCGGGCATGAGGAGTTTTTTCTCTGCCGGTTCAGCATCTCGTACTGACTTTCGCATCCACGATATGGCGAACTCAAACAGATCACGATTTGAGTTGTAGTCTGGGTTGATAGAAAGCCCCATGACTGCTTCGGGGACGAACTCTTTCTGATGCGTCCACAACTGCTCTGCGAACTGATTCTCGTATGACAGATATGGTCGTGGTTTGACAATCGACAAAACCCAAGCTTCAGAGAGGGAGAACCCAGCCTCGTTGAATTCTTCAAAATTGTGTTTGAGGAGCGTTGTCAAAAACAGGGTTAAATGTCTCCGTTGATCGAGGTTGAGCTTGGCTGGAATATCTTCGAAAAGACCGTATTTACCACGTCTAAAAATGTCGGCAAGTCGCAGTAAGCCGCCATTAATAAACCTGACTGCAAGTCGAGCGGTTAATATGATGACCTGCTCGGTGCAATGAGACATGTCCGCGACTGTCGAATGGTCCTTCTTGTCTCCTTCCGAAGAGATGAGGCATCTCGCCATCGAGAAGTAAACCTTTGAAAGATCGTGATCAATGACCAGGAGGGCATCATCCGCCTGAGCGGAATCCAAAATTTGACTCTCACTTTCCTGACTTCCCTCGCCATCTTTGAATGCGTCAACATGTGAGAGAAAGACGTCCAGGGTGGATAAGGACGCTCGGAGGACAGGCCATTCGAATTCTGGAGGGTATGAAGTAAACCGGCGAAAGACCTGCTGTAGCTGTTGCGTATTCAAAGCAAACGTAGCAGCTTCCAGATTGGGTGCGTGCTTCATGACATCCAACGACATCGTCACGGACATATATAGCACGTCCATCACAGCTCGTCTGTTCATTGCTACCATAGCATCTACCAAGCCTGGGTCGACCGTGTTGCTGCCATCTTTGGACATCGCCAGCACTTGTTGCTGCATGTCGCTTTGGACCGAATCAAATTGATCCATCATGGATTGGAAGAAGTTGTTGCGCCATTGACCAAATGGTTTAAACGCGGTCGTGGCTTCTCCAGTTGAGACAACGAACCTAGCCAGCTGGCTCCAAGCTCGCAAATTGATTAAGCATGCCTCTTTATGGGAGCTTGCTGGGGCGACGAGTCTCTCAACCAGATGAGCACCTGGGCGAAGCTCTGCTGGTGATGCCCAAAACAAAGTGCAAAGAAGGTCATGGTGGTTTCGCAAAGCAGCCAAGTCACGTTCTTGGATCATCTGCTCTTTGAGAAGTTGGCGGTTGTGGTTTGGCATAGTGCGAGCAATCAAGTTTCGGATGTCTTTGGTGTCACTGAACTTCTTGATGCTCAAGGCAACAAGCTTGAGGAAGATGTGAAAGCAATTGTCGGCTTTGTCAACAGCCAATGACGGGCTGCCAGCAAGTTCGTCCAGAAATTTCGGGGAAGCGTATACTTCTTCGTTGCGGAAGTGGGCGAGATTCTGAGAGCCAAAGAAATCGAAAATAACACCTATCACTGCTACACACTTGCGCCACCCCCATTGCTGTACAAGATAGTGACAGCGGCCAACCAGTGCACGGCAGTAGTTACTGAAGCTTGGTGACTGTCGTGGATTTTCCTGATAAACCTGGAAAACCTTCTTGAGGAGCTTCTGCGGCAGTGCCCACCCATCAATAACTGTGTCGTCATGCCTTCTGCCCGCAATGACAATCCCTTTGTCGTCGAATTCAGTAAGCGGCAAGAGTGTAAACATGTTTCTCCACAGGCGTTCATGTATACTTGCATCGATACTTGTTGACGCTTCAGGTGTGGCTATGACTGCGTACAGAATATCCCAGAATGATGCGCGGGGGATGTGGGCATGTTCTAGAATTTTCATGTTGGTCACCCACGAATGGATGATGGGCATATCGTTCCTCAGACCAAGCTCCCTCATACGAGAGTTTTTGAGGTCATCGTATGTTTTTGTGATATGATCTAAGTCAGTCATCATAAGTGAGGTAATGGCAGTCTTAGACAACCCCTTGAGCAGCTCCTCTATTTGAAATTGTTCGTTCATCAAGGACGCTTCGCTCTGGCAAAGTCTCTGGACGAAAAGTGTAGCTAGAAGCAAATGATCATAGACGCTTGCAACAAGAGAGTAGCGGGGCTGCGTGGTGCCATCCTGTCGCCGCAGCAGAGCCCCTATGCGGCTGTTGAATCCTTGGAGTACCTCAAGCGCCCTGCATGCAAATGTCTTGGCCTGTGTCTGGTCTGCAAAACTCAGAGCATCAAGCATGAATTTCATGGTGAACCCGGCAGCACTCGTAGCGAATTTGGAGTCTGGAATTTCGCCATTTACTGGAATGTGTTCCAGCTGATCCGCGATAGAATCAAGGAGAACCCCCAGTTCGGATGATACTTGGGCATCCCATGGACCCCACCTGAGCATTTGGTCACCAAAGTTGAATGATATTCGTGGTCGAGCTTCAAGCAAATTTTGGCAGGTAACAGCACGAGTTGCTGATTCGAGGGCACCACTACCGATTAGGGTTGACTCGTGAAAGTAGACATGGGAATCCAAGGGAAACATCTCAAAATGATGGGTGTAATGGGTGCCATATGGTCCCAGACCCTGCATTTTTTCTCCACTTGCCTCGACAGGTTGAATATGCTCAGGGACTTTGATTAACACTGTGGGGATCGGGTCGTTGGCACGACTGAACTGCGGTGCCTCAACATCGATTCGTTGAGGCCTCGTGTTCTTCCGGAATCGTGACTTGTTGTGGTTCACAGAGGGTTCCTCAACAACCCGGAGAGGAACTGGGTTCTCTTCTGGGGGTGGACTCGCTGGGTAATATGTATCAGGGGTGTTGTCGAAGGTCATGATACTTGAAGCAGAAAGATCACCACGCTGTTTTCGGAACAGGCGATCCAGTCTTCTCTTGGTTGCATTGAAAGAGGAGCGGGTTGTTCGATCCGTCTCGTCCATTTCCAGTTGAGCTGGCCGTGCAATCCCTGATCCAGACCGAGTCAATGTATTCGAGCGAGGCTTTTGCATCGTCTGAGGTCTTACAGCACTGTTGTCCGTCTGATACCGTATGGAGCCGGTCTGGCTAACTTGTTTGACCAAGCGACGTGGTACACCACGGTGCATATCTGTATGTCTTGAGGCAGACGACCCATTCTCAGAGGTTTCATGGAGCGGAGGTTGCTCAGGCCCCCTGGGCTTTGGTCTGGATTTTTTGACTTTGAGGGCGGCGGTGACGGATTGGCGTTGGGGGATCGACCCAGATCTCCATTTGTTCAAGATAGATACAGCGTCAATATGATCGTCTCTAGTGGCGAGCTTGATGAACTTTCTACTAGAGCTGCTTCTGCCCATGTCCTGGCGTCGAGTGGCAGAGCGAGCTGCAATTTTCAAGAAGCGGGGCGCATCCGATTCAACAACATCAAGAATACTGAGACGAGGAGGGACATATTGTTTTCGAGCACTTTTTGATGACCGTTTTCTTCCGCTGGGTTTTCGTTTTGCTGTTGACTGGCGACTCTTCTTAACAGCTACTGATGCAGAGTTGCCACGAGATCCAGAAAGCATGCTCGTAATTCTAGGCTGATGAGGTCCCTTGGAAGATGAAGGCGTCCGTTGGATACTGGAAGTCTTGCTTCGTTTCGCTGTGCCTCGAAAAGACTCTGAGAGCTTCAGTTGACGCTTCCTTCCAGCAACCATATGATCAATGGCGTTGTCCTCCATCACAGATTCCTCATCGTCAGAAACATCCTCCGAGATGAATACTGGGGACTCATCTCTGATGACAAGACGAGTCTGGTTATGAAAGATCTCGTCAGTTGTTTCCTGTCTCGGGACAGGTGCAGGTGCAGAGTCGCCATCATCATCGGATTCCTCAGAAAATGTTTCCAGGGCTGCGGGAGCATCTGGTGCAGCAATGCGTCTTTGTGCAACGCCCCGCCTTGTATCTTGCTCGGGTAAAAACGCAGCAGGTTTTTTGTGGACGTCTTTTGAAGTTTTCTTGTGGCCAGCTTGCTGATCCAACCGCAGCCACGAGGCAGGAAGTACTCCTCTTATCCGACGCCCAACTGAGTTTACAATCTCAGATCCACTCTCAGAATCGGATTCGGAATCCGATTGAGCCGCAGTATATTGGTCATTAGGCTGCAAAGTAGTCGTTGGCCCAGCAAGTTCATCTTCAGAGTCGCTTAGACTCATTGCAGTTGGGCGTTGCGAGCGTTGCGTCAACCTGGAAAGTGGCTGAGTTTGTCCGGTAGGTGCTGGAGACGGACGTGCTACTCCTTGATGGGAGCCCTCTACATTCGGCAATGAACCATCTCTGTTCATTCTTGAGTTTCGTTGTGCGGTAGGCGAATCTGTGGTCACAGGTCCCAATCTCAATGCCCAGGCGGGCTCCAGCGGGTCGCTATCGACAACGTCATATCTCTTGCGTTTCCGTGCAGAAGACCGAGACGGGGAAGATTTTCGTTTAGCTGCTTGCTTCGTTGCAGTCGTCGGCGGTCGTTTTAACAAGTCTTTCAATGCTGGAAGGTCGTCGCCAGCGATACTTGTGTTCTCGGTGTCTCCTGTTGAGCTTGCCTGGCTACTTGGCCCTGCATGATCGACCCTCGGCGAAGTCTTGGGTGGAGAGGGTGACGGAACATCGAGTGTGTCCATGCCATCCAGGAAGTCTTCCAGGCCTCTCGCCTGGCTCTCGTCAGATACATCTGGTAGGTGCGATCCCTGACTGTCATCTTCGAAGTCCTTATCTTGCGAAGCCTCCTCAGCTTGTTGCCTGCGTCTCTTTTCTTCTTCGGTGACAACTTTGATAGGCCTGACACCATGATTTCTGAACATGTTGGAGTAGTGTGACATCTCTATGGCGTATGGACGTTCTTGGATCGGTTTACGGGGTCGGAATGATCTCTCATATCGGATGGCTGCTTGTTGAGCGGTCTGATGTTCATTGACACCCAACTTCTGGCTTCGCACAGGTAAACCATCAACTTCGGTAACAAGCACTGGGGGATGATGTGCAGCATCGCGGTTGCTTGTAAACTCTGGCGGAGGCGATGACCTCTCAACGTAGCTGTTCAATATTCCGCCACTGGCTTGATGTTCAGGCTGAGTTTGATCCAAATTACCGGATTCGGTGGAGGCAGTTGGTTGTCGAGGATGTAAGTTGCTGATTTCGGGTAGTTCTTCATCAGAATGTATCGAGGAGAGAGGCGAAGATGATGGGACGTCCCACACATCATGGATTGGGGCATTTGTCTCTTGTGGCTCAGTCGTTGCTTCGTCATTTCGAGTTGCTGTTATTGTTGCGAGGGCAGGTTGTACAAGCTCTTGCGACGAGTCGGGGACATCCCATATATCTTTATATTGCTGTTGTTCTTTTTCATTGTTGGTAACTGCCTCTGTTTGGCTGTCGTTTTGTTCGGTTTCGGTATTATCTGTTGGTGTGATCGCTGGCAAAGAGGGCAGTTCCTGGCTCTCGAAACCATCTTCTTCCTCAGAATCAGGGACTTCTCCCAACTCCTTCCAGTTGGTCATGGTCTATATATGGCATTATCTTGTTGTATGCATGGTCTCAGGTCGTGGGTCTGGCTTCGCTTTGGGTACAAAATGAATAAAATAGTGAAGGTTTCAAGTTAGAAATGACATGGCTGTAAAAGTCGTGATCACGCTTCGACAGGGTCGTTGCTAGGCTGTTAATTGATTTCCATCTGGCTAGGCGTGGCAGGGAACGCGGTCCAAGAAACGGCAAGACGCGTTAGGTAAAGCTTCCAGCGCGTTGAGTACAAATGTTTTAGTGGGGAAACCCTGAACCTTCAGAGCTTGCAGATGTCGTAAACCCGCTAATTTTGATGTGGGTCTACTAATGGAATGTATGGATCATCTCGAAATCAACCAGCGGGCTGCAACCGAACCTACCCTTTACTTCTACGTATAAGTCTCACTAGAAAGGAAAATATTATCAACACTGGCTCCACGATCCCTTTTACTAGGAATTCGTTAAAATGCATGTCTTTGAAAGAGCTTTGCCATTGGCTTTGACCGTTTTTTGCGGTGTCGTCGGAGGTTAGACAGCCATTATCTCTCACAGCATCAAAATTCGTACTCATCACCTTAGTTAGGAATCTACACCTTTCAGCCAATATTTGCACCTGATGCGCAAAAGAAAATCGATCCCTCAAAAAGGTACAAGACATTATCATTGCTTTGGGTCTATTCTAACATATCCCCAGCACTGAGAAGAAGACGGAATCTGTTAATGATATGAAATCAACAACGAAATAATTGTCTATCTGACATTCCAACATCTGGGTAGCAAGGCGTATGAATATCAAATAAATACACCAAAAACATGGGAAATGATCCATCAATTCAAATCCAATCCGTTTGAACCAGCTGCGTTGTTGTGCTTGCAATCTTACTACTTCTTGAAAGGCTTTAGACAAGCAATCCCTTCTAGCGGGTAGCAGAAGAATTCACCTTTAAGCTTTAGATGCCAGAAATAAATAGCCTAAGAAGTATAGTCTAAGTAGCATAAAGTGGCCTAGTAATTTTAGTCTCTTATGCTCCTGGCGGCCAACTCTTCTGGTACCCTGATGCCAATCTCGAGAATGATGGTTCAGTGCGACTCGATGCGTTTATCAATGGTCTCTGCTGGTCTTTGCCGACAAGAGGAGTTCGAAGGCCAGGATTTCCAAGTTGGTCATGGATTGGCTGGATAGGAAATGTCCGTGGTCCCAAGTTCTGGTTAAATTCTTCTTCTAGTAGTGAGTTTGAGCCACAGGTTTGCATTATCCCTCACGACAACCGGTCTCAGCCCATTTCTTGGGCTCAATTCGCGACCATAGACGCTATAGAGAGGGCGAGTTTACCCCAAAGCTATTATTTAAGAGTAACATCATTTACTTTCGATGTCAACCTTCACATAGAAAGCTCGTGCAAGAAATTGGTATAGTGTCATATACAACGGCAATTGCTGGATTAGGGAACTGGAATTAAGGTCGAAAGGCTGGTCAGGCAACACATATTTGCATATGCTCCGACAAGGACAGGCATGCGAACAAACTCAATCAAACAAATGACGCGACTCGGGTTCCGTTGTTGTAGTACAGTATTTACACCAAGAGGGCTTAAATTCTCTGGAGCGACCTCGAAACCCCTAGTCATGCCCGCGCACACCAGAGGCCGTTTTACACACCAATACGTCTCCGTAGAGTCACCCAAGCTTCTAGCACAAAAGAAACGACGTTGTGTATTGAATTTAGTTGCCCTTGGGAGGAGACTGGACCATACCCTTGCCAGCGTAACCAGCAGAGGTGATACCAGTGAAGGGATCGGATTTTTGGTTCTGGGAGTCTTTGTTAGCTGATTGATCGGAGACGTTGTGAGCGGGAGACAGCGTACCTTGAGGAACTCGTTGGTCTCCTCCTGGTACTCCTGAGTCATGGTGTAAGGAGCAGGCTTAGCGACAAGGCGGACCAGGCCGAAGAGACCGACACTGGCAGCAATACCAATGAAGACACCCCAGGCGACGCGGGCGTTGGTTCCAGGGGGGTCCTCAGCGCGGGGACCGTGAGGGCCGAAGGCAATCCAGTAAGCTATTGAGAGAATTTGAGTTAGTTTTCTGGTGGTGACGCAGGTGTATATGTATGAGAGGCAGGGTATAGGTCGATGATACAACAGGGAAGCTATTGCTCAGATGGCCCCATCCACCAATCAGAGAGCCGAATTGGTGGGTTAGGTCTACATGATGCAATTGAGGCTCATTAAGACCTCGATGCAAGGCTGAACAGGTTTAATTGAGGTGCCGCATGCAGAAATGCCATCTGAGAAGGCCTAAGCGTTGGGTTGTGGTGGTTGTGAACGCAGAATCTCGGCTACGCGGGCGGGATAGAGGTATTTTCGCAGTGGAGGAGAGCTTAGAACGCACCAGCTTTCTTCTCCTGGAGGGTCATCTCGGTCCAGTTGGACTGCATGCGGTCACGCAGAGCCATCCAGAGCTCGGCCTGCTCCTGGAGGGGCATACCCTCCCATCGCTTCTCGATGTTGGCGAGGGTAGGGTTGGAGATGGCGTGAGTCGAGGCAGCTCGCGAGGCCAGGGCGGGAGTGCTGCGCACAAGGCTCTTGCGCAGCAGGTTGGTGGCCGATGTGCGCAGCATGGCGGGCGTATATATTCTAATTTTGGTCGTCGGGAGGGCGAGGAGGGAGGGAGCTCAATTGGTGCGTCGTGAGCGCGGAGTGGTAGTTCGTAGAGGAAGACGGACGAGATGAGTTTATTCGGGGAATGTCAGAATTAGCAAGACGAGAGCAATCATACGATGGGTCTTTTGCTACCTCGGGCTTGGATTGGTGCAAAACAGGGTCACGTGATACATTCTCTTTCCATGTTGCCGGTTTTGCACGAACTGATGAAATCGCCCTGAACGTGATTGGCCAAAGCTCTTAGATGCTGAACCCGACCAAATGGATCACAGAACATCATCATCGACGATGAATATATAGCAGATGGGGGAAAGAGAGCACAACATATAAAATTAGGATGTACACAATAAATAGGCTGATAACAGGATAAAGATAGAATGAAAACCTGAATTATTCTATTCCTGGACGCCTAAAGTAAGTCATCTACAAGAAAGTCCATCTGCCATGTCCCGGTTGCTCTACGATGCACATCTATAATGCCTACCTAGAATTTACTATCCATAAATTGATCAGAACATAGGAGCCTCCAAGCCCCAGAGAAGATTTTCCCAATCCATCGAGTCCAAATTCATGTTCAATCCGATATCACTCAACTCATGAGAAGAAACTCCAACGTCACTGGGCGTTGTTTCCGTTGACATCATTGCCGTTGACGAATTAGGCGTAGGTGGAAGATTTCTACCCACTGGTCTAGGGAGATGCCGTTCCCTTGCTTTCAACATTGACAAAGGCACCTTGTGTTTCTTCATCACCTGCCTCAGAAGGTCCTGGATACGTGCCGTAGGCTTGGAGTGCTCTTTTGCCGCCTCCAGAATGTTCCATGCTTCAATCAAGTCCTGCCTTCTCTGCTCTTTTTCGTCGGCATCGACACCAAGACAGAAGTCCAAGAGCAAGACTATACTGGAGATGAAGACGCTGTGTAAGGCCAAACATAGCCGTAGCCTCGTCGCTTTGAACGTTGTCTCTTCCTCCTCCATTTGCGCTTCTGCTTGTATGACCATCCGTGCAGAATCGAGACAAGCTTTCCGCGATTGAGCATAGGCAGGCTCCACCGCCCCCCGAGCCAGGTATGGGAGGTGAAGCTTACATCTCTGTCCGTACATGAAGGTCTTCATAACGTGACGTTGAACGACTATGCCTGGTTGTCGCTGAACATCATCGAGAGGCAGTTGCTGAACTTCCATAGCGCTCAACTTCAAGAAAGGGGGAAGCTCATCTATGAACCGCTCCATAGCAGCGTCTATCTGCAGCACCATGCCGTAAGGATCGCCGGGTTGGTTTGGAGGAGAGAGAGGTACTCGCTCTGTGAATTCCCGAATCACCTCACCGATCTGCATCCTATACAAGAAATAGGACATGCTTGTTGGTTCAGTCAATGGTCTCCCGACTATTTCTTTCCCCTCCACCATGTCTTCGTCATTGGCGTTCAGAGGTTTCCTGACGTTCATATGCCGAGCATGAATTATGAAAGTGCCCTCATGGGGGCCGGGGAATCGCGCCATCATTCTAGGAATTCATTAGTCGGACGAAGTGATTAAGATGGCAGCACAGAGATCTTACGTATCTGTGATGACGAGATACCACCAGACTCGTCGAGCTATCTCGGCCTTTAGATTGTTGTATTGGGTGATTGGCGTTGAAGGCTGCTGATGTGGGTGATCGATACGATGGACGCCAAGCTCACGGCATATCGTAATAGCTTGAAACAGACAGTTTCGAGCCCGCGATGAGATGCCTTCCACGTTGAGCAAGACGAAACTCAAAATAATGAGCCCCTGTGCCATCTCCAAGCCCACTTCAGCCCTCCGTTGGGACGTATCAAATACATCAAAGGCCGCTTTGAGCCACCCGAATGATTGGTTATTCGCCTCTGCAAAGTCCGAGAACAAAGGCGTCATATCGTTGTCTGTTGGTGTCCAACCATATGTGACATTAGTACAAAGCGCAAGCATGAGGAAAACCTGGCAAAATTGAGGTTCTTCGTCCCTCTCTAGAGTATCGTAAACCTCATCTACTAGTTTGTATACGCTTGGGTTGTGAACGACATGATGCATGTACGTAACGACTGAGGTATACTTGTGAATCAGCATTTTGGTCTCGTGCCGTTGGGGAAGCCAGATGCATCTTGTCGGTTCCAGCGAGAGAAGCCCAGAAGGGGCACTTGAGTTTTGGAAAAGATAAGATGATGGTTGAGCGATTGAGCGGATAGGGCAGATGCGGAAAAGAATTTGATCTACGAGTACAGAGTCCTGGAGGCAGGTATGTGAGTAAGCTTCTCAAGGTATGATTGTAGAACTCACCGATGGCTTAGGGCCAAGACATGTTCTCTCGAGCCAAAGAGCGTCAGCCGTCAGATTCTGGACATTGGTAGGTAAAGCATGTGGTGGCTCTGATGGGCGCGTCTGCGTTCCAGTTCTTGGCACATCATCACTGCCACATGCACTCGAGGATGCTATCGATGCTGCGGGAGGATTGCTACCCTGGTTGGTCCGTTGTGCAAGGAGAGCCTCCAGCTTCTCCAGCCGGCTAAGGATCTCCGCTTCCCGCTCCGTAGGCGGGGGATCTCCGCGTTTAGCTATCGGCCGTGAGACCGGAGCTGTAGCTGTTGGTGTAAGCCGGGGTGGGTCTTGAGACTGACACTGAACTCCGCGGCTTGTGCAATTAGAGCATGGAAATTCGCGACTACAACGCAGCTTTCGTACACGACAGAAGTGGCACGACACAGGTCGTTGGCGAGGCTGACGGCCCATGTCTGATGCAATCTAGGCCGTACGGAGTATTGTGGCATAAATGGTCTTAGGATTTGTTGTCCTTGTCGCGATGAATGAATAAAGAGCTGCGTTAAAACGCATGGAGATTGCGCTTGTTCCATGGAAACTCCACGGACTATCCGAGATCCCGACTCCGACATCTCGTCCCGGGATCACTATAACAACTGAATCCTCTGCACTTTGACTTTGCTTACGGCTCCAATTCGTTTCATTTGGCTAATTCTATTGGTTCAGGAGATTAGAATTAGCCATCATGCAGTTGAATGACGAGGAGATTGAAGGATTACCAACCCCAAGGTATCACCCAAACTGGCCTGGATCACCCATACCCCCTTCTCAAGGACTCTACTAGCCGTAAGATCGGATTGTAAACCATTGCTGAGACACGGACTTAAGCAATTCACCGTTGATTCCCCCGGTCAAAAAGTCCCATTCGATGCATTAGTGTGAATGTGAATGCTTCCCTAGTCTAGACTCGTGGCATTTATAGTAGTAACGATCCCCCATGCTCCAAACCAGATGATAGGCACCTTCCCAAACCTTCGCCTCGAAAATTATCTTTGAACTCCAGTACCGGTACCAGAGCTTGAGTTGATACCCGGCCTCTGCAAGTCCCAAAAAGCACAATGGTGCAAATAAACGCAATCGAAGAGCTCACACGGACCGAGTCTCTAACCAAAGTAGCTGATGAGGATCTGAAGCGGGAAAGGGACCTGGAGGAGGGTTCAACTTCAGTCGAATTCGATGACAATGTTGACAATGATCCCAATATCGTCAACTGGGATGGTCCTGACGATCCAGAAAACCCCCAGAACTGGTCAATGAAGAAGAAGACTATTACAGTAATAATAGTTTCGTCTGTGACATTCGTCACGTAAGAAGTTTCCATCTCTAACTGACTTAATTTACTAACTATTCTAGTCCACTGGCTTCTTCCATCTTCGCGCCTAGTATCGAGCAAGTTATGACAGAGTTCCATTCTACGAATTCGCAAGTGGCATCTTTCATCGTCTCAGTGTACCTCCTTGGATATTGTTTCGGTCCGTTAGTCATCGCTCCTCTATCCGAAATGTACGGTCGTCTTCCACTCTACCACGCTTGCAATGTTCTCTTCGTCATCTTCAACGTAGCTTGTGCGTTGGCCCCGAACCTAGGTGGTCTCATCGCATTCCGCCTTCTTGCTGGACTTGCTGGCTCGTGTCCACTAACCATTGGAGCTGGGTCTTTGGCCGATATTATCTCAAGAGAAAAACGTGGCGCTGCCATGTCTTCGTGGGCTCTTGGGCCTCTTTTTGGACCGGTTATCGGACCAGTTGGTAAGTTCATATCTCATGACAATCATTTGTTCTAGTTTGAAGCTGACGAACTTAGCTGGCGGATACCTTTCACAAGCCAAGAGCTGGCGATGGTCTTTCTGGGTTGTCTCTATTCTGGTATGTGAAACTACCCTCAGGGTATCAGAAAAATTGACCTCTGGAAGCATAAGGGATAAAATTAGTAGGTCACTTTATGCTCCTTAGAGTATATTTCTTAGACTACTTATTTTTATACCCTAGAGCTTAGGGGGCCATTTTTTTCTGGTACCCAGTAGCTACGACGTTGGCCATGGAGCAAATCTGACTCGTCTAAAGGCCGGTGCAATTACAATCATGGCATTTGTGTTCATGAGAGAGACATATGCATATACTATTCTCGATAAGAAGGCCAAGAAGCTTCGTAAGGAAACAGGAAACCCTAAGCTACGCTCTGCTCTCGCCAAAGATATCACTACGAAAGAACTCTTCAGCATGGCCATGGTGCGGCCGACAAAGATGCTCTTGTTTGCGCCTATCGTGTCGCTCTTATCGCTTTATATGGCACTCGTTTACGGTTATCTCTATCTCCTCTTTACAGCCATTCCCACCTTGTTCGTCAAAGAATATCATTTCTCCAGCGGGTCGGTTGGTCTTTCTTACCTGGGAATTGGTGTAGGATCCTTGATAGGACTTGTTATTTCCGGGGCGATGTCAGACCCGTTGGTCAACTACTTGACCAAGAAGAACGGGGGAGAGCGTAAGCCAGAGTACCGACTACCACTTATGGCTGCAGCTTGCTTCATGGTCCCAGCCGGTCTATTTATGTTTGGGTGGTCTGCCGAGGCCAGAACTCACTGGATCGTCCCTATTATTGGCACCTCTTTCTTGGGGGTTGGTATGATCATCGTGTTTGTAAGTGTTCTGGGTGCGGCGGGATGACTGATACAGCTTAACTAACATGACTTAGATGTGCATCTCAGTCTACCTAGTTGACGCATACATCGAGTATGCTGCTTCTGCTATTGCTGCAAGTACCGTACTCCGATCACTAGTCGGAGCACTATTGCCCCTGGCTGGAGGAAGTATGTACAAGAGCCTCGGTTATGGTTGGGGAACTTCGGTGCTGGGCTTTGTTGCAGCAGCAGCAATTCCGTTGCCGCTGGTCTTCTACAAGTACGGAGAGAGAATTCGAAGCCGGAATCTATTCGATGTCAAGCTTTAAGTAAAAGTTGAGAAAGGCAAGTGATGAATGGTGCAAGTGCCTAAGGGTCAGGATATTCGTATGAATAATGTGGAATAAAGGTCAGCAGGGAATCATACGACGGCTTGTTATAAGTATTTCTATTGATAGACATAGAGAAAACGATTACCTCTTCGCCACTCACAAAAACTCTAGCCTCAATGTTATCAAGTATTTAGCAAGTAAAGTTGTTGTCAGTCTTTTCGTCCATGGATAATTGCTAGCCCATATGGCTTATACGCTACGAAACCTGGTCGATTCCTTCCAATTGGTAGTATCTGGCATTACCCCCTTGAGCAATAATAACCTAAACATGATACTATCTAGACTAGTGTGTAGCAGAAAGGTTGGCCTCCTAAGTCTTAGGGTGTAAAAATAAGTAGTATAAGAGTTATAGTCTAAGGAGCATAAACTGACCTGCTAATTTCGCTTACGCTTCCAGCGGTCAATTGTAACACCCTGAGGCCAAAACAACGTCACTGCTCACAGCTACCTAGCTGGGCTCTTGCTCGTGCAGCTCCGGGTTGTCATCCCGTTAGCCCGCATTCCTCAAGAAGGATCAATAAGTTTATGTTGTACTCGTTGAAATCCTAGTCATTACTGCATCCGCCACTAGACAGTGTGGGTGCTTGTTTGTTTCTAGCGAGAAATTTACCCGTCGGACTTTATATATACTAGGTTACGTCCAGAGCATATTGCTTACAATAGATATCAACTAGTATTTTCAAACCATACATGAACCTCCCCTCTTCTTATGAACTCAAAATCTACCGAACCAGAGCCAGACCAACAAAATGTTGAAAAGCTGAGAGAGAAACCAGCCGCTGTCGAGGCCGTAAAGCAACCCGATAATACCGACAATGGAGATTCTATTAATGAGCTTGAACGATGGAATAGTCCTCGAATCAATTCTTACCGCTTTTATGCGACCAATCTCTCATTTCTTATCATGGGAATGAATGATGCATCTCTAGGAGTAAGTTATATGTATCAGTTACAGATCTTGACTTGACTGACTAATCTACAGGCTTTGTTGCCATATGTATGCAAACCTTCTTGACAATAGCAGACAACTCGAAATATCTAATTATCCAACTAGATCGAAACGTATTATGGCATAAACTATACCACAGTCTCTACCATGTTCCTTGTTCCTGTTGCGGGCTACGTAGTTGCAGCGCTCACCAATAACTGGATTCACTACACCTTGGGCCAGCGGGGAGTTGCCATCCTCGGGCCTCTCTGCCGTCTTGTTGCTTACATACCAGTGGCACTTCACCCTCCATTCCCAGCACTACCTTGTGTCATGCTTTTCACTGGGTTCGGCAACGGGATACAGGATAGTAGCTACAATGCTTGGATCGGTAACATGCAACGCGCCAACGAGCTGCTGGGTTTCCTTCATGGCTCGTACGGTCTTGGTGGTACCATCGGTCCTCTGATAGCTTCTGCCATGGTAACAGAAGGCAATCTCTCTTGGTACACTTACTTCTACATCATGGCAGGCCTCGTAGTTGTTGAGTTTCTCGTTGGAACTGCTGCCTTCTGGAAGGCAACAGGCCAAGAGTACCGACGACGGGTTCGTTTCGAAGAAGGAAAAGACCGCGCCACAACACGCATGGCTGTCAAGAAACCAATTACTTGGATAGTTGCTGTGTTTCTTCTAGGATACGTGGCAGCTGAAGTCAGCCTGGGAGGCTGGATTGTCACTTTCATGCTTCGTGTCCGTCATGCCAAACCGTTTCTTGCAGGCTTGACAGTAACGTTGTTCTGGCTGGGATTAACGCTGGGCAGAGTTGTGCTGGGATTTATAACAGAGAGGACTGGTGAAAAGACAGCCATCATGGTATATCTCATGCTCTCGATTGGGCTGGAACTACTGTACTGGCTCGTACCTAACTTTATTGCCTCTGTCATCTTTGTTATGCTTCTTGGTTTCTTCCTCGGACCCCTGTTTCCTGCTTCAATGGTTGCAGCAACCAAACTTTTGCCTGCTGACTATCATGTGAGCGCCATTGGGTTTGCCGCTGTAGTTGGAGGAGGAGGCGCCGCTGTAGGACCGTTTGCTGTTGGAGCGATTGCTCAACACACTGGCGTCCAAGTTTTGCAGCCCATAATAGTTGGTCTTCTTGGAGCAATCACTATGGTTTGGCTGCTTCTGCCAGGAGGATTTAGGAAGGGTGGATTGGAGAGGGCCAGGGAATTAAACATGAAGCCAGGAGGAGACGTGAAAGAAGCTTGGTCTTGGGTCAAGCTTAAAGTAAGAAGTTCGAAATGAAAGATATATAAGTAAATCGTTTAAATAAACTGCTCAAGGACTAGGTAGTAACAATTGCAAGCGTCGACGTTATTTATATGTGTTTGGTTGTATCAAGTGGGTAAAAGAAAAGTTGACCTCCGAAATTTAAGCTATAAAATAAATAGTCTAAAAAGTCTAATCTAGATAGCATAAGTTTGTCTAGCAATTTCTATCATTTTTCATGCTCCTAATGGCTGCTAATCTTTCTGATATCCTGAGGTGCACTTATACCAATTCATGGAGTGGCTCCCTGTACGTCACCGAACCCGGCATGGAGGGGTTCTCGCTATCTTATCAACTCTCTCTGCGAACTTTTGGCTGAAGGAGGGGAAATAGATAAACCAAATCCGAACTGCCTACCCATTGTCGCATCACCACCTCGTCTGTAAAAAAAGCCTTGTTCCTATAATTTGAAGGCTTCTCTTTTCAGTACCTCTAAAAAAAATCACTACAAACCGCTCTATCGTGTCCAATCGACCTTACGGCCCTCTTCATCATGGCGCCGACTTCGGCCAGCATCACAGCTCTCGCGCCCTTCAAGCCCGATCTTCATGAGCGCGCCTGGGCCTCTGTTCCTCACCCGACACTCCCTTTGATCGCAACAGCTCATGCCAAAGCCGTCACCGTATACTCTCTCTCAACCGCTTCAGCGCACAGCGTCCTCACCGGCGGCCATACTCGTTCCGTTCGCTCCGTCGCATGGAAGCCCCATCTACGTCCCGGCAACTTATGCCTTGTTACCGGAAGTTTTGATTCTACAGCTGGAATATGGCGATGGGAGGGCCAAGAGCAGGAGGAAGGCGGACTAGAAGTCGAAGTAACGCAGCAAACTCTGCGAAGGAAGAACAACGACGATAGCGACGATGAAAACGATGCCGCTAATAAGGAATGGGAGTTTACACTTGTCCTTGAGGGTCACGACTCAGAAATCAAGTCTTGTTCTTTCAGTCCTTCAGGCTCTTACCTCGCTACGTGCTCGCGCGACAAGTCAGTCTGGATATGGGAAGACATTGGTGCCTCTGAAGAGGATGACGAGTGGGAGACTATTGCAGTGCTTAACGAGCATGAAGGAGACGTCAAGGCCGTCGCTTGGTGTCCCGACGTCCCTGGCCGCAATTCCATTCGCAGCTACTCTGCCGATGTGCTTGCTAGCGCGAGTTACGATAATACGGTGCGCATCTGGCGCGAAGATGGTGACGCCGAATGGGTTTGCGTTGCTGTCCTTGAGGGGCATGAGGGCACTGTCTGGGGATTGCAGTGGGAGGCGCGACCACGAGAGGGAGATCAGTTCCCACGATTACTGACCTTCTCCGCCGACAACACCATCCGTATATGGACGTTAAAGCAGGACGATGAGGGAGAGGAGAGCGCCACAGGAGGTGCAGCAGGCGCTCTAGGTGGCATCCCCAACACTATGCGAAGGTCTCTACGAGAGGAATGGGTATGCACAGCTGTTTTTCCAAAGATTCACACCCGCGATATTTACTCTGTGGCATGGAGTGCGAAGACGGGAATGGTAGCAAGCACTGGTAGTGATGGCGTTGTTGCGCTGTACGCCGAGGATGGCGAGCAAGATACAGATGGTCAAGACCAAACCATGAGCAACACAGAGGAAAGCAAGCAATCTTCATGGAGAGTTGTAACTACTCAACCTGGAGCTCACGGGCCGTATGAGGTTAACCACATTACGTGGTGTCGGAGATACGATGCCGGCTCGGAACGACGAGGAGAGGAGGAGATGCTTGTTACAACGGGCGACGACGGGATTGTGCGGCCGTGGCAAGTTGAGGTTCATGCGCCAAGGTAGCATTGCGTCTTGATCTAAATAGCAAGCAATAATCTACATCTCAGTTCCATGTTGCTCAAGCCTCAGGGTATTAAAAGAATTGACCGCTGGAAGCATAAGAGATGAAAATAGTACTACACTTTATGCTTCTTAGGGTATAGTTCTTAGACTACTTATTTTTATACCCTAAGACTTAGGAGGCTATTTTTTTCTGCTACCCAGTAGTCAAGCTATTAAGGTCTCATATCAGTATTAATCTATGCATTGAATTGTCTACAGTTCAAGGAAATGATGAGCAGTGTAAAACTTCGAACAATAAAAAAAATCATGCTATGTCGTTCCCAAGCCCATGCCAACGCAAGGCAAAATTCCTTTGTCTAGGAGGGGTATGATACAAAGTGGTTTACATGAAAAGCTTATTAATTGCTCCCCAAATCCCGTGGCTTCTTTTAGACTTCTTCCCTCCCAAACTCTTAGTGGTTGTGCACCCTGTTATGTCCCTTTAGTAAATCTCCTTCATTGACTATTCACCCGCTTACTCGCCCTTGAGCTTGTCCTGCTTAACAGTGAAAGCCATCTCGAGGAAGTCCTTCTCCTCCTTGGTGTGGACGTTCTTGAGACCGGTGGCAACAGAGGCACTGGGGTTTCGGCCAGCGTACATGACGTGCTTGCGGGTGTGGTGCTCAGTGTTGTTGAGCAAAGTCTCGATACGGGGCTGAGTGAAGCTCCAGGCACCGGCGTTGAGAGGCTCCTCCTGGCACCAGACGATGGTCTTGGCGTTGGGGTACATGTCGAGGTTCTCCTTGAGTTGTTGCCAAGGGAAGGGGTTCAGCTGCTCAATGCGGGTGAAAGCGACGTTGTCAATGTTGTTGTCAGATCGGTACTTGTGAAGGGCAGCCCAGACCTGACCAGTGCAGAGAACAACACGCTCAATCTGGTCAGGAGATTTGATAGCACCAGTCTCGTGCTCAGGGTCAGGAATGATCCACTGGAATCCGGCGTTCTCGCCAGTGAAAGCCTCAATGTCGCTGCGAGCAAGAGGGTGACGGAGGAGAGACTTGGAGAAGAAGATGATAAGGGCTGAGAGAAAGTTAGTATTAGCAAATCCAAGAACATATAAAAGATCACTTACGCTTGCGGTACTGGCGGTGCAACTGTCGGCGGAGAGCGTGGAACAGGTTGGCGGGAGAGGTGAAGTAGGCGATCTGCATGTTGCAGTCCTGGTGTTGACGGACGAGCTTCTCACCAGTGGGGAACTCTCGGGGGTCCTCGTTACTGAGCTGGAGGTATCGCTCAAGGCGTCCAGAGGAGTGCTCAGGACCCTGACCATCGTAACCGTGGGGCAGGGACATGACAAGACCTGTTCGCTGCATCCACTTGACTTCACCAGAGGCGATGAACTGATCAATGATACATTGGGCGTTGTTGGCAAAGTCACCGAACTGGGCCTCCCACATGACAAGAGCATGAGGAGATGACAGAGAGTAACCGTACTCGAAACCAAGGGCACCAAACTCGCTCAGAGAAGAGTTGGAGATCACAAACTTGCCCTGGTCTTGGCTAAGGTTCTGGAGAGGAGTGTGAGTATCCTCAGTCTCCTGGTCGTGGAAGACAGCGTGGCGCTGAGAGAAAGTACCACGCTCAACATCCTGACCGGAGACACGGACGTGGTAACCCTCAGTAACGAGAGTACCGAAAGCCAGAGCCTCGGCGGTGGGGAAGTCGATGTTCTTACCCTCAACAACAGACTTGGTTCGGTTGCTTAGGATACGCTTCAGGTTGCGGTGAACTTGGAAGCCCTCGGGAACACTTCCAATAGCATTACCGATATGCTCGAGAGTAGTGGGCTTGACGTTAGTCTCGCTGGTGGCAAGAACCTCGGTAGCCAGCTCCTTGGGGGACTTGAAGCCGTTCCAGGCAGAGGTGGTCCACTCCTTGGAGGTGGGTGTGTAGTCCTTGGACTTGGTGAAGCTCTCCTCGAGCATACCCCAGACCCACTGCTTGTGCTCCTCGACATCGGCCTTGGAGAAAGAACCCTCCTCGATAAGCTTATCGACGTAGATGTCAATTTGAGGCTCCTTGGCGTTGATGCGCTTGTACATGAGAGGCTGGGTGAAAGAAGGCTGATCGGTCTCATTGTGACCGTACTTTCGGTAACAGTTGAGATCAATGACAACATCGTGCTGGAACTCGGCACGCCAGTCAGCAGCGAGCTGGCAGACGAAGTTGACGGCCTCGACATCATCGGCGTTAACGTGGAAGACGGGGGCGTCGATGGCCTTGGCGATATCGGTACAGTAGGCGGTGGATCGGGCGAAACGAGGGTCGGTTGTGAAACCAATCTGGTTGTTGACAACCAGGTGGATGGTACCTCCAGTGGAGAAGGCAGGGAGAGAGTGGAAGCCGAGGCACTCGTAGACGATACCCTGAGCAGCAAAGGCAGCGTCACCGTGGAGGAGGACACTCATAGCAGTGCGGTGAGTCTTCTCATCGTTGTTGTAGTGCTGGATAGCACGGGTCTTACCCAGGACGACGGGGTCCTCAGCCTCAAGATGCGAAGGGTTGGCGACCAGAGAAAGCTGCACGCGCTTGCCAGAAGGCGTGGGGCGCTCGAAGTTCATACCGAGATGGTACTTGACGTCACCAGAGCCCTCATCCTCACCACCAGATGTACCAGCGAACTCGCTGAAGATTGACTCGTTGGGCTTTCGGACGACGTTGGAGAGGACGTTAAGACGACCACGATGGGGCATACCGATGACGATATCCTTGACACCATAGTCAACACTGCGGTCGATAAGAGCCTTCATACCGGGAACAAGGGTTTCGCAACCCTCGAGACCGAATCGCTTGTCGTTGGGGTACTTGGTAGACAAGAAAGACTCGAAGCTGGAACTCCAGATAAGACGGTCGAGAACACGACGCTTCTCATCGACGGAGTACTTGAAAGGGGTGGGAACCTCGAGACGCTCACGGAGCCAGTCGCACTTGTCACGATCAGGGATGTGGATGAACTCAACACCGAAAGAGCCGCAGTAGATTCTCTCACAAGCATCAACGATCTCGCGGAGAGTCATCTTCTCGCGGCCATCACGCTTGAAACGAGGCAAGATACCGGGACCGAGAGTGTACTCAGTGTCCATATCCTTCTCGGTGAATCCGTAGTGCTCAAGAGTCAGTTCCTTAGGCTTGATGTTGGCGAAACCCTTGGCGTCACTGGTGCCCCGGATACCGAGAGGGTCAATCTTGGCGGTGTGGTGGCCACGAGACTGGTAGGCGCGGACAAGAAGCTGGACCTTGAGATGGTTGGTGACATCGGAACCGTCTTCCATGGCCAAGTTACCAGAAAGACGAGGAACACCGCCAGTCATATTGGGAACCAGGTTAGGAGGAGGCTGGAAGGCCTGGGAGATGGGCATCTCGCCGCCCTCCATGTTCTTGAAGTAGACCTGCCAAGAGATGTGGACGCTCTCAGGATCTTGTCTCCACTGCATGTACATCTCATCGACGTAGCTGGCGGTGCTTCCAGAAAGGAAGTTATCGTTGGGGTCGGGGGGCGCTGAGGTCGCGCTGGTCGCATAGTTGCGGCGAGCAGAGACAGCCAGAGGGCGGCGGGAGGCAGCGAGCTTCCATGATGAGGTACGGGCTGAGACGGTCGAGATGGAGGCGGTAGAAGAGGCAGCAGAGCATCGAGCACTGCGAAGGAGCTGCGAGCTAGCTCTACAGAGCGAATTCCTCAACATGATGGGCGATTTGCCTATGTGGAGAAATTGGACAATACAAGTTTATAGGTGAAGAAACTAAAGGATATAGATGGGAAGCATCCCTCGGCGAGCCTGATCGCAACACGAAAGAAAGGCGGAGTAAGTCGATTTAAGAGGTAATTCCCAGTCAAAACTGAGGGGAGGAATTGGAATTGGGGATGAGAGGATGGGAGAGGAACACGAAGAAGAAATTGTCTTAGTAGGTACAACTGGGACTGGGACTGGGCTGGAGCTCAGAGTCGCTAGGGAACTGCTGGACTGGCTTTTGATGTCCTGCTGCAGGTTAAAAAATACTATGACGCCCCGGCAAACCCGGTTCTGGCCGCCAGGGATCGGTACTTTTATTGGTCAGGAGCACCCGTAGCGCTACGGTCAGGGACAAAACTCCGTGCGTGACACTGTGAGATTCAGGCCTCTGTTAGGTGCGCAAAGTTAGAATTTCAAGGTGAAAGGTGACCGGTTTTCATTGTCCGGAAGCCCACATGACACACTGTTTTGGAGGTCATCGTGGACATTTGTGCCAGCCATCATTGGGGCACGTCTCATTATTTTTGGGGCATTGGGGTTCTCGTTCGGAGACTCGAGGGCTCTTTACCGAGGATCACCATAATGCTTGATCGTGGAGGATGGAATTGATTCCCCGGAAACTACAACAGCATCCGCCACTGTCCTCATGACATCCATTGCGCCAGACTATCGCTTGCATTCCCCACGTTCTCGGTATGTTTAAACAGAGGCATATCATGATGGTGGGTGAGTAAAGGTTTGGTGGTGCATTTGTGGACTCGACACACAACACAGCAGAAAGGGGAAGGTCTACTTCGCACGGTCTGGCCTGGTCTGGTTTCGGTCTGGGTGTCAGTTATTCCTGGATCGTAGCCCATTCCCGCGGGGCAAACGGGAAAAGACTTGAAATTGCGGAGTAACCATCGTGAAGTTTTACGTGGTTGAAACAGGGATAGCCGACGCCACATGTACATTACCTATTACAGTCTGTAACTGCAACTGTAACTGCAACTCACACAACATGCAATTCAGGTTTTCGGGAACGTTTCAAGGCGGAACGGAGCTGTTTGAACCACAGACGAAAACAGTCACTTATCGATGAATCTGTATCCATTCAGATAAGCCACATGGGAGTTAGGGTAGGTACTGGCACGTCTGACGTATGTCAATTCATCTACTTGGGTAGGTACTCCTCAGGATATCAGAGAAATTGACCACTGGAAGCATAAGAGACGAAATTAGTAGGTCACTTTATGCTCCTTACATAGACTATATTTCTTAGACTACTTATTATTATACCCGAAGTCTTAGGAGGCTATTTTTTCTACTACCCAACAAGTACTATCCAAATATCCATCCAGCTTTCATGATGATACATATCATGTTCTAGTACATGTGATTCACTTCAAACTTGTGCCAACACCTTACTGGGTTTTTAATGATTTATATTCATAAAGCCGTTGAGTCTAATTATGCTGCCAGTGCTCTCTAGTAATCGGTCTGGGCCTTTTCCAGCGCATTAGTTGTTAGCCACCCTGTCTGCAGCTTGGCTTCGGCCTCGTTGCCAGCAGTTATATGTTCTGTGGATGGCTGGCCGCTGGCTACGCCTGAAACTGAGCATTGGGAGGTAACCACTCGCTGCGGACACCGAAATGGTAGAAGCAGCGTGCCTGTCTAATTATGCCTCTGTTGATACCTGAATCCCCTCAGCCGCCAGTGCTCTCGAGTAATCTGCCTGGGCCTTTTCCAACGCATTAATCGTTGGCTGCATCAAAGCAATAACCGCCGTTTTCCCACCTCCGACATTATCAGATCTCCACCGAATTTTCTTACCGGTACGCTCAAAGTGATCACGGATCTCCTTCTTACGATTGCGGATGATCTCCTCCCGTTCGTTGTCCGCTTCTTCCGCGACGGTGTTGATTCGTGTAAGAGAGCGACCAAGAGACTCGGCCAAGTACTGTAGTTCGCCAGCACGGTCTGGATCGCCCGAGAGGAATGCGTTCCAGAATTGGTGTAAGAACTCAATGGTGGTCGCATGAGTGAGGCTGCACTTGCGGGAAATCTCAACAGGTAGACCCATAGGCTCAGCAGTGTCCGTGTCATGGCCGTACTTCTGGACACGTTGCTGGCGTATTCCCTTCATGATGTCCTTATCAGCAGCCAGGAGGGCAGAGCGAGAACCAACATGTGGTCTTTTAGGGGTGTCGTCGTCGCTGTCGCTTTGTTCGTCGAATCCCATTGCTGCCTGGATGTTGATGCCGCCAGCTCCATCACTCTCGAGTGTATCTAGATCTGCCATAATATCGAAAAGCACATCGCTGGGTACTTGTTTTTCGAAGATGGCAGCTTGCTTCGAGGGGGCTGAGTCGTGTTTCGAGAAGAACTTGTTCTGTTCATTCACGTTGAGCATGATACGATGCTCTTGAGCATCGCCCTTGAGATCACGCAATGCCAGTTGAACGTAGGCATTGTATCCGCCATCAGGGTCGTCCGTGTTAACGTCAGACGGTGCCACATTGGCCATGATCTTCTCGCTGAGGCTATTCAGCGTCTTCACGATGGGCATGTTCGCTCTTGGGCGCATCTCGACGTCCTTTGCGTTGCCGCTTCTGAAACCACCTTGGTTTTCTTCGTTGGCCTCTATGTCGATGATGTGTGGCACCTGCTGGGCCATAATCTTGCTCTGAAACGCGACCGTATTCTCGCTTGGATCGTATTTGTCGAACAGAGGGTCAGTAGTGTCATTTTCTATGACTCGTTCACCGCGTAGTTTTTTGGAAAGTCTGCTGAGGAAGAAGCGTGACCAGAATTCTGCCTCGGATAATTTGGGGACGTTCTCGTTGTAAACACGCTTGATCAGAGGATGTTGAGCGAATATCATCTGTACCTGCTCCACGCTGATGTTCAATTTTAGCTCACCGTCAACTGTCTTAGGCTTGACCGTAGAGAGGACGTTATAGGCTCCTTTCTTCTGGTTAATCTCAATCGCGTGAGCGCGGAGAATGTTTATGCGCGTCGACCAAAACTGTGAATTAAACGCGGCTCCTGATAATGATTCGGGCTTGGTTTGCATCGCTTCGACGTAAGTCTGATGTAGGCTAGTTTCTTTTCTCATGAGGGACTGCTGTAGTTCTATGTCGTTCTTGAGTTGTGAGTCATCGAACCAGCGCGAGGATGAAGCATGCTGTGAATTGACAGCGCTGGCAAAGGCCATGGATGCTGAACCGCTACCAGTGCCCGCAGCGCTTGGGTTTGGTGTTGAAGAACCGCCATTTGAACCGGAAGGCTTGGGAACAGCCACATCACCACCGCGCGATGACGCTAATAATGTAGACAGGAGATCTTTGACGGCCTTCGCCTCATCCTTGGCTTCGGCGGTGTTGAAATGAAAGAGATATGTAGCAGGGTCCGCATCTCCAACTTTTTCGAAGATTTTTAGCATTACCTTTGGTGAGGAATCTGGAGTCTGCTGAAGATCTGATTTCCGTCAGTTTCTGAGGCGCGTTTCATAAAATTTGTTTGCTTCTCCTTACTTGTGATATTGTTGATATTAAGTGTCACGGTGGGAGGGCCCCCGGAATTAGGAGTCCAAGTGACAAGCTGGCGGTCACTCGTGAGAGTCAGGACACCCTCCTTCTTCTTAAAGAGGGTGCGTCCCACGGGAATAGCCATGGTGAGGTTTGAAAATAATTATGAATTGAAGAAACTGATCAAAGAAAGATTTATACGTCGGAGTTGAGATATGCTCCAGGCAGGGGACCCACATGTGGTCACTGATTCACTGCACTGATCGATTACCTAAGGCAACCAACTCAGGTAAAAGCAGTGAGTGTTCATAATGAATACAAGCTTTTGGGAAGGAATAGATTGGATGGTCTTTAGACTATTTCATTCTTTAGGTACCTATGTTAGATTTGTTATTACACTTTTTCTTGTGGATTTTGATACCTATCAATATGGGAACAAAAGCTTGTACGCAATCCCTAAGAATACATGGGTGTACCTTTGCAATCACCAAGAAGTCTAGTCTAATGGAATAGCATAAACTGACCTGTTAATTTTTAACTATAGGTAAGGGGAGTCATTGCTTTATACTGTTTTCGTTTTTTTTTTCTCGTCTTGTCCTGTAGGCGTTATAGCATTAACTAAGTTTCGTTTTTATTAGCTTGTATTCGACCTCTTGATTCAGCATCTCCTCATATTTGGGGTCTTCTTCGTCACTTAACTCGTCGTCCGACGAAATACACATCTCTGGATCTAAAGACTGTCGTGATGCTTCAGGTTCTGTCTGGTTCCCGCGTTACGCTAGTGTTGGTCCAATCACAGCTACAAAACGGTAACGTCCCCGTACAGTTGGAAAATAGCAGGTCAGTTTATACTATTTACACCAAACATGATCAGTTTTCAGGTGATAAACTTCAACCTGGTTAAGCAAATGATCCTTTTAGTGTTAGAGGGCTGAGTGAGTGGAACCATTTTGACACTGTACGTGAATGCTTATGCCGACTCCAACCTGTAGTTGTGGATCAAATGTGTCAATGAATTAATGATTTTCGACTTCGAGATGGGTCTATCCGAAAATTCGATGAAAAGTAAGTTCTTCTTTTAAGGACCATGGGTGACTAGTCCAAGATCAAATCTAGATGCAATCAATCACTCCAATCCAACGTCTATATATCTTTCAGGGTGCCAAATAACAGTCTTGCTATTCCATCCACCAAGTGCCTCTCAAATCTGGCAATGTCTATGTAAGTATATGTGTTATACAATAAAATACCCCCAGCGCCGTGAAGTACACATACATGAACCCAAATCCCAATAAACTCATGGACCGCGGCGTATGCGGACCTCATCAGCATCAGCGAGCTTCTTCTCCGCGCCTACACCAAACCCCATCATCTTCTTTGCGCCCTTCTTCTTCGCTCCGTATTCCTCGTCGAATTTGCGGATCTGCTTAAGTGACTGCATATCCTCACTGATGCTGGCCGGGATCTGGCGCAGCGCCTTGTCAAAGTGATCCTGGCGTAATATACGCTTCTTAGGGTACTCGTAAGGCTCAGGGCCGGTGTGTCGTGCGGCAGCCTCGTTTTCTTCCTCAACAGCGGCCATAGCAGCGGCGACACAAGCGTTCTTCAGGTCAGATCCTGAGTAGTAGGGAGTACGCTTGGCGAGGTCTTCGAGCGACACGGTAGGTTCGAGAGTTTCGCCCTTGAGAAGAATATTGAGAATGGCAGTGCGGTCAGGCTGCATAGGGAGATCGATGAGAAGACGGCGAGGCAGGCGGCGGAGAACAGCATCGTCAAGATCAAAGGGACGATTTGTTGCAACCATGATGAAAGCTTCTGTCTCTTCAAGACCATCCCACTCTTTGAGGAACTGGTTGATGTGGGAGCGGTGCGATGCGCGAGCACCAAGCATGCTTCGGTTGGCTAACAGAGAGTCGGCCTCGTCGATGAAGACAACGCAAGGAGAAATCTTCTTCGCAAGAGTGAAAACAGCACGAATAAGCTTTTCACTCTCGCCAACCCACTTGTCGTTGATAGTAGCACCACTGATCTCAAGCATGTTTGCACCACTCTCTTTAGCGACGGCCTTTGCAAGTAAAGTCTTACCTGTACCAGGGGGTCCGTACAGTAGACATCCAGGAATTTTGTCCTGGGCCAGTACACCATAGGAGAAAGCATCCGGTCTCACCAAAGCAAGGGTCGTAAGCAGCTTGAGCGCAGTTATGGTTTCCTTAGGCACATGAACATCTTCAAATGTCGTTCTCAAATTTTGGCGGTTGATGTGCCCGGAGGATATCCGCTTCTCGTACTCGTTTAACTTAAGAACAGCTCGGTTGCCTGATTGTGAATCTTCTGCCTTCTTCTGTGAATCCTCCCCATCTGACTTGCCGTCTTGCTCTGGCTCGTCGAGGTACCGCTGTCCAGGCTTTTGTCGTAAGGGTCCCATTAGGAGGCGCTCATATACTCCTCCCGGCGCAGCACCAGCTGTCTCTTCTTCGTGACGCTTGGCTGCGCTCGCGATATTGTAAACCTCTGGTAAAGGAAGTATTGACTTCTTGAGCATCTGGGCCCGAGTGTCGGTGGCGTGCATAAAGATTTTCATGTGCGCATCGGAAAAGTCAAGAAACTGATGGCTGCCCAATGCTTTCAACATTCGGTTGATGTTTTGAACATTCTCCACGAAGATATCTGTTTCTTGGAGGGGAAAGAGGTTATCTGAAGTCTGCGTCCCGCCAGATGGCTTGGGTTGGCTCAAAGTGCGCTGAGGATGTATATGTCGAGAGATGACGAAATCGCTAGTAGCTATATCTCGGAGCATACCCTGATACTCCTCGGAAGGTTGCTCGCTCGATGAGGTTGCGAGGATGGCTATTTTGGAACCTTGCCGCCATGCCACATCCACCAGGTTTCTCAACCGCGTAATCAACATCGAACCCTCGAGGGTCATGTTCAATTCCACAAAGTCATGGATATGAATGATAAGGGGCTTTTCACGGGGGGGGTCTTGCTTCACCTCAGCAGCCTCTAAAATCTGGGCCAGGACTTTATCGATCTTGAGGTTCTCCCATTTCCCAAAAGGATCGTAGCTACCCTGTTTGATCTTCGACAATTCTTCCTCGAGTCCACCTGATGCTGTACGAATATTAATCACGCCCGTATCAGGGTCATTATCCTCCTCTTCTGGTCGTGCCACAACGTCAGGGTCCTTGTAGAGCTTTCCGTTCATTTCTGCAGCACGGAATCCCATGTGGGACAATGATCCTCGCGAGTAGGCCCAGTCCTGTTCAAGATAATCCCCCACTACCACAGACAAATCTTGGGCATTGAGCTTAATCAAATCGGCATCGTTGAAGTATGCGACATGGTCCGCAACAGCAGTCGATATGGCTTGGCCGCTGTAACCCGACATAGACAAGACAGTTATCTGACGCTTGAGATTTTTGGACTCCGAGTCGGGAGGTGGTGGTGTCGTCAACTCGCGACGGAGAGCGGATCGGACGGAGGAGAACGTGAGGACAGGGAGATCAGCAATAGCTTGAGATAGAGAGTGGTCAAGTCTCCAGTCATAATCAAGGATGCTGTCGAGGCCGGTCTGAACTGACAAGAACTGGTCCCGGAACTCTTGGGTGTGTCGGTCAAAGTCCTTGTAGTAGTGCCACCACCAGAACGGCCGTGATGTATATGTGTATTCGGGATGGCGGGCAGGGTATAACGAATCGGTCAAGTGCCATGCTGAATCGAGTAACATATCGTAGGCACGGGTAAGGCTTGTCAGCTTGTGAACAAGCTCATCTGTTTTGCAGGAATTGGGCTCGATGGCCGTAATTTCGTTTGCGCGATCTGCAACTTTCTCAACCAAGGCACTGAATGTCGTATCGAAGTAGTCTTCGAGCGCCTTGTTTGATTCTGGGGCTCGGGTATTCTTGTCGGTAGCTTGAGGATCGATAAAGATTGAGGACGTCTTGGGTTGCTTGGCATCTTCAGCAAGAGCAATCGGGAGCTGCGGTCTTGTCCAGGCATGGTGAAGAGTAACGTTGTCGTCGAGAAACGATTGTGGCAGCTTGACGGGAGGTAGTGCGGGAGCAGCCTGTTTGCGAGCTATTCTGCTTTTTAGAGAACTTGATGCTCGAACTCGAGAGCGACCGGGCAGGTTGTCGGTCCCATTTTGTGGTTGTATTTCTTCATCTTCTACCGCTGTCGACTGGTTCGGAGGTTTATCGCCATTGTTTGCGCCTGCGCCTGCTGTATTTTTCCAAGTCGACGATGTTTTGAATGATCGACAAAGGATTCGGGATCGGGCTTGGGATCTGGCGGCGGCGACAGCAGGATGGAGCAGGGCACGAAGCCCTGTCAATTGCATCCGGGCGAGTGCTCGTCGGTCGGGACCGAGAGTATAGAGTTGAGAAGTTTAGCAACGTCTCAAGAGATTCGTCGTCGCAAGACTGTTTGTGAGCCGGCCTTGTCCAACAAACTTCCCCGAAATTTAGAGCCGTTGCGTCAAAAACGGAAACGGATTTACCAAAGTCGAATCGGCCGAATCCCGGTCAAATTCCGGCTCCGACAGTTTGACAGATCTATCAGTTTGCTATTATTTTCAAGACAAATGTAGGTTGACGAATAAATCGCCATGTCAGAATTAAGAGTCCCCTGTAATGTGTCATTTGAAGCGGTTTGCTCTTAATCAAACAGCAGGCATCTTTCAAGTCTAGGGTATTCTCAAATGGTCAAGAGTAGAAACCAAGTGTAAGTGAACCTCACTAGATAGCGGCAGTAACAACATAGAAATGGTAAAGAAACTCCGTCTGATAATGCTCTGTGTTCATTTGCAGCAATCAATATTCCCATGGAACATTTTTGGATCGAAGCTAGGGACCTCATTTCACAGGATTCAGACGCACTTATCCTATGTTCTGGATGAGAACCACGCTGCAGGTTGTCATAACCATGTTTTCATAAGTATGATACTTCTATTTCTACTCAGGTTGGACCAACAATTGACACTGATATTGACGTGAAAATTGGAATAATCATAACTCACATATAACTAATGCACGTTTGCGCACATTTCAACAAAATCCGTCTCGTATATGCCCCCCTGTCACGAAATATTACAATCAGTCTCCACAAACCGGGCTGAAACTGCCCGGGACAGGCTTCAGGGTATCAAAAGAATTGGCTGCAGGAACCATCAGAGACGAAATAAGTAGGTCAGCTTGCACTGTTTAGATGAGATTCTTTAGTTTATTTATTTATGTCCCATAAAGCTGAGAGGTCAACTTTTCGTTACCTACCTACCTGTAAACAAACAGGCTAGGGCGTCTGCTGGCTCTGGCTTTCACCCTCGTCGACCTTGCGTGTCAAGAGACTTGTTTCGAAATGTCAAGAAACTATTTCGAAACAATTTGAATTTCAAAAGCTCGGGACTCAGACTTGACCCAGCCAAGTACCTCTGCTTACCAGGGATGAGAACGTGTATATGAGTTATTCATTGGCAATGATAGCTCAGTAAACCCATGCCAACTGTATTCACAAAAAGAAATTTGAAAGCCTCCCGTTGCAACGTTATCTCTTATCTTTAATCTGCCAGGCTTGGCTCATTCGGCACTTGATCCAGAAGAGGTGTCTAGATGTACTGTCATCATAGACTTCAGCCGTCATCCACTCGCAGCTCTTGGTAGTAATTAGAATGCTGCTAAGCCTCGTTGGTGCTAAAACGCCTACGCGGGGTTTCCACTGTTAGGCGACGACGCCTGTCACTTGTCATCAACACTACAACTCCCATGTCTTGACTCTTTACCCTGGCTTGAATCGTTTTCTCACTTGTTATACGTACTCTGCTCAATCTGGGAAGACAGGACACCCCTTTGAGCGCTATGTTATAACACCGAATCACTTTACTCGTTACTCGCCAACCTACTTCAACAATGGACAACTCTCAAGTCATACCAGAACAGTCTCAATCAAGCAGCCCAGAAGAATCAGTTTCTAATTCCGACAAGCCTTATCACTCAAAACGACCTCACAAGAAGTCGCGTGCAGGATGTCGCAATTGTAAAACCCGTAAGGTCAAATGCGATGAGGCCCGTCCTGTGTGTAAATCTTGCAGACTACGCAAGGCTGATTGCGTATACAATACCACTACAACCTCAGGAAATGACAAAGTTATCAACAATTCACGTCGCTCTTCTGCAGAATCATCACCCGCTCAACAGAAATCACCTACACCTGATGCCGAGTCCATTAGCGAGGGGATCCTCGAGGAGGTTAACACCCTGACGGTACAGCCGCTCTTCCGTCCTCGTCCCATGGACAGGACGGACATGAAGCTACTTTGGTTCTACACCAGCACAACAGCCACGTCTTTCTCTGTTGACGAGGGACCGCTTAATCCCATAAACGATGTATTGAGGAACCGCCTAGTACAGGTCGCTTTCGAGAACCCGTTCCTCATGGATTCGTTGTTCGGTCTGGCAAGCCTTCACATGCAAAGCCTCGACTTGAAGCCTGATGCCGCCCGCGCATTGGCATATCGTGCCCGCTCATTCGAAGGATACCGTGTGGCCGTGGAACAAGCCCGCCCGGAGACATTTCCGGCTCTGCTCGCGAATTCCCTACTTCTCACTGCTCTCGCATCTCAAAATTTCCGGGATAAAGATGCCAAAAAGCTTTACATAATAGACTGGATGATCGTATGGCGAGGCATCGGCCTGGTCATCGACCTGATGGGTGTTGAAAGGCTTATTGATTCGGGGCTCTACCCTCTGTTCAACCGACCTGCTATTGATATTGAGCAAGCCGCAAATCACATCCCCGCTGTTCTTCTCTTGATGATCAACTCCATCGAGCCCAGTGACCCGGAGTTTCTCGATTACGAAACTTACTATGAGACGCTTCAATTCTTGGGCTCCTTGTACCAAAACTTACATGATGGCTTCGGACCTATTATGATGTTGCGAATCATTACATGGTTCACTTTCGTCCCGAAGAATTTCGTGCAATTCGTACGTGACTTACGCCCTCGCGCACTCATAATTTTGGCCTACTACGCCACCTTTCTCAAGCTCCCAATGGACGTCTGGTGGATGGAGAATATCGGAAACCGATCCCTACAAGACCTTTGCGAGTACATTGGTCCAGAATGGCAGCAATACCTTCTCGTCCCGCATATGGCACGTTTAGTTGAAAAGCCGGCTGAGGTAGCTAGGGTATTGTTCGAAGATCCCAACTGGCAGCCCAGGGCGCCAAACAATCTTCGATTGGATCCCACGGCGGCTGTCACACTGGTTGATGAGACAGGTAGACGTATCGAATGGATACCCGCTGAGAAAAGGCTTGTGCTTATGGATGAAAGAGAGCAGATCACATCCAAAACCAAGGCTGCAGAGAAATGGAGGAGAGAAATGAACTCCAATTTCCCATTTGAGCAATAGTCAAGTATGTTTTATTATGTATGCTAGATGTTGGAATTGAGACTATGTAGAAAATGGATCAGACTTGGCCGAGGGACATCGTTGGAGTTTAAAGGGTCGCTGGGTTAGATTCCCCTCAGGACATGAGGAAAGTTGGTACTGTCTTCCCAGGAGACAAATCATTTACTTATCTTATACCATCTTAGACCTGACCATTAGGTTTCTGATTCTTGCATTCTAAATCTGGAGGCCAACTTCTGTTGTCCACGGGGACCCTAAATGAGACCTCTGTCAGGCTTCATCCCACTGAACAGGCTCGTCTATCATTCATCTTGATCTCCGGAGCCCTCTCTCCCGTCATCCATTTTCAAGCTGTTCACTGTCATTTTTCTTGATACAGCTTCCTCAGGGCATATGGAACATTGGTCGTTGGAAGCATAAGGGACGAAAGTAGTAGGTCGGTTTATGCTCTTTAGACTAGACTTCTGAGGCTATTTATTTTTTGTGCCCTGAAGCTTAGAGGCCAACTTTCTACTTCAGACTGGGGGGTCTTTGCACGTTGACATGGTCATCTTCGGTTTCGAGTGCGTCAACTGATGATAATGTTAGCTTAACGGGCTCGCTTCTTATTTCGTTCCTATTCCGCCTGCATCTTCAATACAAATATAAAAATATCTGTTGGTGACCTGGATAGATAGAATCTGATTATGTCAATGCAAATGTCCAGTAGATACCTATTTAGAAAAATGTTGAACATAAAGCAAATAGATGCTCAATGGACGTCTAATAGACGTTTAGCAATTGTGCAGCAGAAGTGTAATATACGCGCTCTATATCCTACATTATGGTGATAGGCAAGCCGTAGTCATGCCCACCCTAGTGACACACTTGCGGGGGATGAAGTTGGTGCCATATATAACGAGAAACTGACTGATTTCAATAAGACTGACAGACAGAAGGCACATCACAGGACCGTAGGGATAGGGGAGGCGATGAACCGAATCCTGCAAGCCGGCAGAAGTAGCAAAAAAGCTAGCCTCAAGCTTTAAGATAAAGAATAAAGAACCTAAGAAGTTTAGTCTAAAGAGCAAGTAACCTAATAATTCTATCTCTTATGCTTCTAGGAAGTCGAAAGTATATGTAAAAGAATGCATGTCACCAAGTCACAGCAGAATGGGAAAGATCACTTAGTAAAAAAGAAAAGCTTGATATGGCTACAAGAGGAATTTTGTTGATTTCTTGGTACACAGCTCACAAATGAGACTTGATGGAGCTTATGAGAAACCTCCCCGGACCTTGTTTCCTCTGCTCTATACAAAGGTCCTTATTTCTCTCCTCCCGTCTCCCGCGGCATTAACTTCAATACTTAAACCCCTTACTGACCCTCAAGCTCAGCAAGAATCTTCTCACCCTTGGCCTTGGCGGAGGCGAAGTCACCAACCATGTAGAAGGCACCCTCGGGAAGGCTGTCACCCTCACCGCTCAGGATAGCCTTGAAGGAGTTGATGGTCTCCTTAAGGTCGACGAGCTTACCCTCAATACCAGTGAAAACCTGGGCAACAGTGAAAGGCTGGCTCAGGAAACGCTGGATCTTACGGGCACGCTCGACAGTAAGCTTGTCGGCCTCGGACAACTCATCCATACCCAGAATAGCAATGATATCCTGAAGAGACTTGTACTCCTGGAGGATCTGCTGAACACGGGTGGCGGTGTCGTAGTGGTCCTGACCAACAACTCGGGGGTCCAACATACGGGACTTGGAGTCGAGAGGGTCGACAGCGGGGTAGATACCCAACTCGGAGATACCACGAGACAAGACAGTGGTGGCGTCCAAATGGGCGAAAGTAGTGGCAGGGGCAGGATCAGTCAAATCGTCAGCAGGGACGTAGACAGCCTGGACGGAGGTAATGGAACCCTTCTGGGTGGTGGTAATACGCTCCTGCATACCACCCATATCGACGGCGAGAGTGGGCTGGTAACCGACAGCAGAGGGGATACGACCCAAAAGGGCAGACACCTCGGAACCGGCTTGAGTGAATCGGAAAATGTTGTCGATGAAGAGCAGAACGTCCTGGCCTTCAGCATCACGGAAGTATTCGGCAACAGTCAACTTTGCGAATTTAAGTCAGTAATGCATCTAATAATCATCTCAAGGTTGTTTGAAGTCATAAGGGTGGACTAAAGTCCTTAGGATAGCTTAGGACTCATCTTAGGGTAGATGGTCTAAGAATCCTAAATTGTGGAGACTCATGATCATAGGGAATTAGGGAAGGAACACTTACTCCAGTAAGAGCAACACGGGCACGGGCTCCAGGGGGCTCGTTCATCTGACCGAAAACCAGGGCGACCTTGGACTCGCCATCAAGCTGAATGACGGAGGTCTCCTGCATTTCGTGGTACAAATCGTTACCCTCACGGGTACGCTCACCGACACCGGTGAAGACGGAGTAACCACCGTGGGCCTTGGCGATGTTGTTGATAAGCTCCTGAATGAACACAGTCTTGCCGACACCGGCACCACCGAAGAGACCAATCTTTCCACCACGGGCGTAGGGAGCGAGAAGATCGACGACCTTGATACCAGTGACGAGGACCTCAGCAGAGGTGGACTGCTCAACGAACTCGGGGGCTTCGGTGTGAATAGGAAGGCGCTTCTCAGTCTTGATGGGGCCACGCTCGTCAATGGGGTCACCAGTGACGTTCATGATACGGCCAAGAGTCTCGGGGCCGACGGGAATGGTGATGGGAGCACCAGTGTCGTGGGCGGGAGCACCTCGGACGAGACCCTCAGTACCTGTGAAATTCTGTTAGAGTGTGCCCTCTGTGAAAATTCGAAACGATGATGACATACCGTCCATGGCAATACAACGGACGACGTTCTCACCCAGATGTTGCTGTTGATTGTTAGAATTGGTTGGTCAGATGAGGTAATTGTGTCTGTACGTACGGAAACCTCGAGGACAAGCTTCTGGCCATTGTTCTGGGTCTCAAGAGAGTTGAGAATGGCAGGGAGCTTAGCACCATCGAACTTGACTGCAACGTCGTCAGTAATCCACTCGCTGTATTGTTGCAGACTCGTTGAAGTCTGTTGATGATGGTTTACTAACCGTCAACGACGGCACCGATGACCTGCAAACAGTCGGGTTAGCACGGAGTCTTGTGCGAGTCGGTTTCGCCCGGGCGACCGGAATTGAATCAGGAGCAGCTCGTTCTCACCTGGTGAATCTTGCCAGCGCCAACGCCAGTGCTGGCCCATCGGCTGTTGAGGGGAACTCGGAGAGCGGAAGATCGGAGGGCACGTCGAGGAAGGACGGCCGGGCGAGCCGCGCGGGCGAAGGAGGAAATGCCGCTGCCGAGGGAAAAACACAATGGTCAGCTCAATTGGTCTTCAATTGGGGCGGAAAGGGCGTCGAAAAAATATCGACAATCGCTTCCGCGAGCGATACTCACCTCTTGAACATCTTGCCAGATGACAAAGAGCGATCAGAGATAGGAGTGGAGAGAGGTTGGTTGAAGCTGAGGAGAACTTTTACGGGAGGTGAGCAGTTTTGCTCGGGAGGACGACTTGGTCGGTTAGAGCTTTCGCAGAAAGGTCACGTGAGACGCTAGCCCGAAATGACCACTGGCCCCACCGGGGAAGCTGCGATGCCGGCAATTTCCCGGGATGAACACAACGGAATTATTCGCACACCCACTCAATACCGCCAGGAAACCAACGGCGACAGCGGAGAGATGCCTGAGAATCGTCACTGAGTCCTGATTCCTTAGGCCTATAAGCCTGCAGATATTGAATGTTTCTGTGCCGCATTACGTTCGGTCGTGAGACCGATTTGCCAATTTATCTTGGAGGACCAGGCCTACGATGCAATTCGAGTAACTGAAATCGCTCAGGAACCTCTACATCTCTCTTGTTTTATTGTGAGCCTTTGTCTGAAGGCTTAGAAGTCAGGCGCCAGTGATCGTGCAGAAATCTTTAATTAGACGTTGCTTCATGACGGGAAGATGCAAAACAGAGCGGGGAAAGTAGCATTAACCTGGCCGGCCTGGTTGTTTGCTCTTGAATTGGAGGTAGAGTCTTAAGATGGATTGGCTGAAGTGAAGTTCTGAACCATGGCAGCACGTACATCACCTGGCCTCAAGCATACAAACTGGCCTACTATTCCGTTTCTTGCACTTCCAGTGGCCAACTTTCTGATATCCTGAGAGGTGCCCGCCTAAATTGTACTTGCGTGCAGGCACAATGCGAATGCGTGATATTTTCAGATCGAGGTGCAGCGAGATAATAATTTGTCTCAAAGTCCCTGTAACTACGCGTCTGCCATTTATGTTTCCTTGTAGCTATACTACAAATGATTGTTTATGATAGTTTCGTTTATCACTCGCTTCAATAAATGTCGCCATCAATTCAAGACACTTTCTTTCTGGGGCACCATGTAAAATGAGATCCCCATCTTGCCTTGCATCCCGCCGTCTTTCTATGGTGATTAACCCCCATTGGCTAATCTGTCAGCCATGCCGAGATTGCCCCTCTCGTGGCCAATTGCTAGAGGCAATTGGCTATTTCAAGCCTACTGGGTAGCAGAAAAATGGCCGCCTAAGTCTTAGGGTATAAAAATAAGTAGCCTAAGAACTATGGCCTAAAGGGCATAGAGTGACCTACTAATTTCGTCTCTTATGCTTCCAGCGGTCAATTTTTCTGATACCCTGAGGCAAGCTCAACTGACCCGGTCAATTTTTGGCTCTGCCATTTGCCAATTGTCAACTTTTTCATCCCTGCACTTCTTCCCCATGCTTTTTTTTTGTTCGCCCCTCCATCACCTCATTCTCATTACTCGACGTCAGCATTCGTTTTCGTAGCCGCCGCAGGCTTAAATTGACATGGAACATTCAACATCGCACGCAATTGACTGACTTTCATGAATAGATCAAAATACAGCAAGAAATACCCAATTTTCTAGAACGTTTCCTTGAAGCTCTTCTGTCCTATATCACAGAAGTAAAAATGCAGCTTCATAACTTTGCTGAGTCCATAACCGAATGCCCGAGCCGAAGATCCGAGCATCACCAGCACCCCACTCAATTACGATGAGGCTATGGAAACGTCTTTTCTAGTTCTCAGCCTTATTTTCAATCATCAAGAACCAGTATCATCAATCACACAACAAAATTCATACTAACATCGTTAACTTTTATTACTCAAAATTTTATGAATCGTGCAAAGTAGCACAATATGATAGTTTAATACCCCGCTAGTAATGACGTAGCCTGCATTTATCCCTGGTCACTGAAGGCCTTGTTCGTGCTTGATGTTCCCAGCCTCATCGCTTCCCGTTATTCCATCGCTTGTCATCCTCGCCGCTTAGGAGTTCTGGGAAATCGTGGACTCAAGAGCCAGAACAATGGCAGTTCGAGCAGGAATATAGATGTGGGTCCAGTTCTTTCTGTTGTTCCATTCCATAGGTGTGGTGAAGAATCGAGTGTTCTCGTCAATGCGATTGTGGCCTCCGACATCTCCGTTGTCAGTGTTAAGAACCACACGGTATGTTCCTGGAACTTCAATTCCAATACGGTAGTCGCTGAAGCTGTTGGTAGGGTGGAAGTTGAAGACGAAAACCAAACCAGCTCGCTCGAACACGATAACCTTGTCACCCTCATGCTTCAGTGAGATGTACGCCTGAGGTGCAGCCAACCAGCCGTACTTGGCCTCGGTTTGGTTCATCAAGCGGTCAAAGTGGTCAAGGAACTTGTATCGGAGCAGAGGATCATCTGTGAGGTTAAGCTGTCGTCGAGCGTACCAGAAAGAGTTATTGTTGCCCTCTCGAGGGAAGTCGAGCCATTCAGGGTGACCGAACTCGTTACCCTCAAAGTTAAGATATCCCTCTCCTCCAAGTCCGTGTGTCACCAGACGGATCATCTTGTGGAGGGCCATACCGCGATCAACAACAGGAGTCAAGGGCGAGAGAGTCGACATGTTGGTGTACATCTCAGCATCACAGAGATGCATCATGAGCGTTTTATCTCCCACAAGGCTGTACTAATGTTAGTGACTTATTTCTTGCTAGTTGGTTTCAAACAAACTTACGCCTGGTCATGACTCTCAGCATAAGCGATGGTCTTCTCGCCATGGCGGCGGTTGGTCAGAGTATGGCAAATGCTGGCAATGTCCCATTCATCATCCTTGACCTCCTTCAGGATCTTGATCCACATGTCAGGAATTGCCATGGCAAGGCGGTAGTCAAAGCCAATACCTCCAAGCGACAGTGGCAAGCAAAGAGCCGGCATTCCTGATACATCTTCGGCAATTGTGATAATTTCAGGGTAAAGCTGATGCAGCATCTCGTTTGCCAGCATCATGTAAACGACAGCCTCCTCGTCAACATCGGGACCAAAGTACTCATGGTAGCCACCCGAGAAGCCTGTGCCCATGCCGTGGTGGACATAAAGCATACTGGTAACACCATCGAATCGGAATCCGTCGAACTGGTATTCGTCCATCCAGAATCGCAGATTGCTTAGCAGAAACCTCATCACCTCGTGATGTCCGTAGTTGAACAGTCGGCTGTCCCACTGGTCATGTCGGCCCTTACCGCCACCATGGAAGTACTGGTGATCGGTACCGTCGAACTCGTTGAGACCATCGAGGACGTTCTTGGAAGCGTGACTGTGGACAACATCGAGTAGCATGGTGATTCCCATGCCATGAGCGGTATCGATGAGCTCCTTGAGATCCTCAGGAGTTCCATATCGACTGCTAGCTGCGAAGAAGTTGTTGATTTGATATCCGAAGCTGGCATAGTACGCATGTTCCATAACAGCCATCAATTGAATCACATTGTAGCCAAGGCCCTTGATGCGAGGGAGCATGTTCTTGGTAAACTCCTTGTAAGTAGCGACCCGCTGGTCGGGGCTGGAAATGCCAACGTGTGCTTCGTATACACGAGCACTGGCAGGCTTCTTTGGTCGAGAGTTCTTGAACTTGTAGGTCTCGGAAGCTGGAGGATTCCAGAAACGGGCATCGTATGCGGGAGATACGGACAAGTCCTGTGTCACGTACTTGATCCAAGCAGGAAGTCGATCTACATGCTCACCACCGGGCAAGTCAAGAGAAATCTGGTATATAGTTAGGCATGGTAGATTGGCATTGAGAATAATCCACGACGAACCTTGAGCTTGGAGTTGTGAGGAATAGCAGTTTGACCATTTTGGGCAGGGATCGTAATCTCAAAGACACCAAAATCATTCTTCTTCATGGGGTGAGCGCCACGGTTCCAGCCATCTGGTAGTAGTGTTAGCACATGCAGAGGCAATTGAGTTTGGAAACTTACTAAAGTCGCCGATCAGGTACGCCGCAGTAGCATTGGGTGCCCATTCGCGGTACACAATGTTGTTGTTGGCATCGACGTTGAATCCGAACTTTTCAGCACCCTATAGACATATGCATGAGTATTGCGACTAGATGGGTGTTGAGATTTTGAACTTACCCTGCTGAATTTCTCAAGGCTACCTTCGGTGTCATTGATAGTCTTGATCCAATCTTGGGTTTTCGAGTATCGTCTCTTCAGAGCTCCGCTAAAGGGCTCCAGCCAAGGATCGAGCTTGACAACACCTGGAGTTCATTGTGAGCAGAGCGTTCTTGGCTATCAGATCATCACATGTCAGGCCACTTACCTGTGCCATCATTGGGAATATCGCCAGCAGCACCATTTGTCTGGTTTGGATCCAAGGAATTGGACGAATTCTCAACGATTGCAGCCATTTTTTTTTCTTTAGCCAACAATAAATAGAACGCGTATGTAGAAGGGAGATGTCGAGGGTGAAGGTGGGCGGGGTAGGTAGGTTTATACTGGGTAGTAGGTGTTGTTGTTTCAGAGCTCCATACAATTGTTGAGCTTATAGTGAGACACAGTTGAGAAAGGCATGCATTCGATAAAACAGTGCAAGAGAAGAGGTATTAAAGAGTTTTTCAAGGTGAAATGAGGACTTTAAAATGAGATGAAGAATTAGAAAATTGTGGCAACCACAGTAGAATTACGATATCTGAGACCTTGTAACCTCCTATCTAGCTCACTCGCTAACCTGCATCTTTCGGATTGCCCGCGCAGAGCTTTATCGATAAGTTGGGATGACGTCGCAGATGAGTGGATTTACGTCCCAACGGCTGGGGTATGTGTCTGCACGCTGTCCTCGAAGTGGAAGTCATCACCCTTTCGAATGCCTGTAAATGTCGGCATATGGTTGAGGTGAGTGTAGGAGCGGGCCCAACATAAGAAAAAGTACACTCAGCATATTGCCACTTCCTATAAAAGACCTCAATGAGGTCGCGCGAGAATCATTGTGCAGCTTTGACCTTGACGGGTCCCGCCCACACAGCAAATGGTTCGTGCTGAGGGGAGGCCGGGGCCCCATGCCAGCTTCTTTAGCGGGCCGGAAGGGAGCCTAGGCCTTTCAGTGGCTGCCTACCCTGTCAAGCTTGTCGCTATATGGGTAGGTAGCCTACTGCCCGGGTAGCAGAAAAAATGGCCGCCGAAGTCTTAGGGTATAAAAATAAGTAGCCTAAGAACTATACCCTAAAAAGCATAAAGTGTCTTACTATTTTCGTCTCTTATGCTTCCAGCGGTTAATATTTCTGATATCCCAAGGGTAGTATCGCATCAGCTGGTGCTAAGGCGAGAGATCCTCAACTTTTAAGTGTCCGCGCCGATAGCGGACCAGGGAGTTACCTATCGCAGCGACGGAAGGGTCCCGGGATGTATTAAGTACGTGTATCACAACCTCCAATCTGCACACGCGCTTGCTGTTTGCGATCCTATCAATTAAGCTACTTTCGCGATCGGCTTCCTCATTGTCTTGTCTATGCTCGCCTCTGTGCCATCCACACGATAGGCTCAGAGGCTCTTCCCATAACGCGACCGCATTGAGCTGCGTTAACCGACTCCCCCGCATCCTGTCATCGTTGGCCCAGGCGCAGGCCACCGCGGTCGATCATCGTCTGACGCTTCCCAATCTTCTTATTATGAACATTGAATATACATCGTGATGGCGCCCTTTTCTAGGGTATTTCCTATGGCTCGCTGTAACCTTTGCCACGTTTCGCGCTCCATCGTTCGGCCAGTACCTCCCTTGATTCCACGGGTATCTTTCCATTATACGTCGTTACGACGACAACATCGATATATATCCACGTCCCTACCACCTTTGAGAAGAAACAACGACTTTAATTCTGGCTTTAGTAGTAGCTATGATCCATCAGGCGACTCGGGGCGTGGTCCTATGTTTAGCAAGACCAACTTCGGCGTACCACAATTCTATCCACGCGACCTCAAGAAACGAGTAGACGATTACGTTGTTGGCCAAGACAAGGCTAAGAAGACAATATGCGCGGCAATATTCAATCACTATCAAAACCTGCGCCGAAGACATCAACATGACCATGAAGACCGAAATAGGCGTGATAAGATGATGCGCCAGAGGTTTGCGAGGGACAGGGAGCTGCATCAGAAACGCCGTGAGATGCACCCAGTTGAAGGTCAGCGTGCACATGGTTCTGTTCCTGAGCGCTACGCTGCTGATACCATTGAAGATGAATTCCCAGGACACAATGAGTCGGTCCGCGGGCTCCATGATAGTCACGAATTCGATGATGACCCTATGGATCATCTTTATGTCACTGAGGATATAACAGTCCCCGAGCACGTCAAAATCGACAAAAGCAATCTCCTTCTGATCGGACCGACCGGTGTCGGCAAGACCTATATCCTGGAGTATGTACCCATTCCTCAGGGTATCAGAAAAATTGACCTCTGGAAGCATAAGAGACGAAATTAGTAGATCACTTTATGCCCCTTAGGCTAAAGTTCTTAGACTACTTATTTTTGGACCCTAAGATTTATGAGGCTATCTTTTCTGCTACCTAGTAGCGACAAATCATTGACAGTTTCCTAGGACACTAAGCAAGAAGATAAACGTGCCTTTCTCTATTTGCGACTGCAACTCCTTTACACAGGCCGGATACATAGGCCAAGACGTCGAGACATGCATTGAACGACTCCTCATTGAGGCAAATTATGATATTAAAGCAACAGAGTATGGCATCGTTGTACTAGACGAATTTGACAAGATCGCGAGGCGCGAGACGACAACCGGCCGGGATGTTGGGGGCGAAGGTGTCCAGCAGGCTTTACTGAAGCTCGTCGAGGGAACAAAGGTCACAATCAATGTCAAGGACAACCGCTCGTCACGATCCACGCCGCCTATCACAACAAACTACAATGCGTCTGGTTCTTCATCGACGCCCCAGGCAACTCCCCCGGGCGGCAAGGTTGACCAGTATACTATTGATACCAAGAACATCCTCTTTGTGTTTTGTGGTGCCTTTGTCGGCCTGGATAAGGCTGTGCTCAGGAGAATTGCTAAACCAACTATGGGCTTTGGTGGAGAGCTCCGGGGCCGCTCATCCATGTCTGGAAACAAGCAGACCTTACCGGCGGAAACATATACACATCTACCTCACCACAATCCTCAATCAGCTTCCTCATTCACGCCTTTGGATCTTACCACGCCGGCTGATCTGCAGAGTTTCGGTTTCATTCCAGAGCTAATTGGGCGGCTGCACAACATCTGTGCTCTTAGTCCATTATCCAAGGAAGATCTTTTCCGCATCTTGACCGAACCTCGAAACAGCCTTGTTGCCCAATACACAGCACTTTTCGAAACATACCCGTCGCGGCTATTCTTTACAGAGAAAGCATTGTATGCCATTGCTGAGCGAGCTGCAGCTTCAGAGACAGGAGCAAGAGGCCTGAAGATGGAGATGGAACGAGTCTTAGCAGAGCCTATGTTCGACGCCCCTATGCCCTACGTGCTTATCACAGAAGCATGCGTCAAAGGCACTGACAAGGCAGGTTACTGGGGCAAGGACGGTCGATTTGAGGTAGACAGGAGAATGCAGGCGGAAGAGATGCATCCTGCAAAGGCAAATCCGGATAGTGCTTTTGAGAGGTACCGAGAGGCTGGACAGAGTGGTGGCTAAATGTTTATTTTTACTAGGTATATTACATTACACTGCACTGGAAACAAAGACCTCAGGGTATCAGAAAAATTGACGGCAGGAAGCATAAAAGATGAAATTAGTAGGTCACTTTATGCTCCTTAGACTACTTATTTTTATACCCTAAGACTCAGGACGCTATTTTTTCTGTTACGTACTAGAGAGGCTCGGTGGAGCTATGCAAAGACTCGGCAAGAGATAAAGACTCTACTAAGGCAACTATTAGGCGCGAAACGCTTTACAGCCATTGTTATAGGAAGTCAGGGGGATGGTATCCTGCTTCTACTTATTATTGAAAGGGTTGAGGAGTACTGGGAGAGAATTGGCTTTATTGAGACTGGCATTATCTATAGAAAAATAACAAAAGACGAAGGATATACTAGGAAAACGTTAATTCTTCGTGTTTGTTATTCCTTCTAATTTTCTTTTACCGTTCTTTTTATGTAGATCGAGTTTGGCGGGAAGCAGTACTATATAGTTCCTTTTCAACGATTAGCACAACAAGGTTAATGACGGTTGAGTTAAGGTAAGGATTCCCTGACAGTTGAAAGACGGGTTAAAGTTAAACTTGATTTACCTACTCCGTACAAGAGAAATGATTGGCTTTTGAGTCTGGGGTTGATAACTGTCCCCAGATTGTCGCCAAGATTTCAATACCTAGATTGGCAGATTAATTGTTTTAGCCAAGCACAATAACTAAGGGTCTTTACTAAGAATTAATCTTAGAGGGTTCTTAACTTTCTTTTCTCACAAGGCAGGTTTACGGAGTTACCGTTACAGTTACTCTGAACACTATACGACGAGGCTATGCAACCGCAATCGCTTCGCCACATTCACGCGCGGGGTCTGAGTTTACAAGCACAACGTCATCGGGCGTTTCCGTTGTCAAGTAGTGAAGGCGGCTTAAAAGAATACCGTACGACGTGACAAACGCCCGGTGATGCGCCTCAGGCTTTTAGTTAGGTGACCCAACAGGATCTCGTTTGTGAACCTCGTGGTCTGTTTTACTATGTGGCATGAAAGAGCTGTCGTCATCCGACTATACATACAGTAGGCAGATATCACTATTAACTTGATATTTCAACGCTTCTAGACTCGTTTGTCTCAATATCTCGCCAAGAAAGAACCCTCCGCTGCGCCACTATAACACTTCAGCCTTTAGTATACATATAATCCATCTTGGCACTATCCATAAGGCTGACTGATCTTCACTCTTCTATCTTCTTTTTACCCAACCACGGACAGCTTCTATTTCCCCTCTTTACCAGCCAACACCGAGTCAAACCCTCACTTTCAAATCAGTCCCATACACACCGTGGTTACAAAAATGTCAAAAGACTACTACGAATACGAAGAGTCCATCCGTCGCCGGCGTGATTTTTCTCCAGACAATTACTCTGGCGGTACCCCGAACCCCCAACAGCAAGGTCCTCCTCCTGGCATTCCTCCCTACGCTTCAACATCTCGTCTCGATGATCCGTACTATGGAGGCGCGCCTCCTCCAAGAGAGCGCATGACTCTTGAGCCTCCCGAGCAGCAGAACCGCCCACGCTCTGTCCCGCCCAACACCGCCATGGTCCGGCGCAACCGATCTCGCTCTCGTCCTCCTTCCGATGATGACGATTATGATGATAGACGCAGCTCGCAAAACCGTTCACCAAGTCCTATTACTCGCGCTCGCAATGTGGTTGATGATAACTTCTCACACTCTGCATCTGGTATAGGCGCCGGCCTTTTGGGCGCTGTTGTTGGCGGCCTCGTAGCTCGTGAAGCAACCGAGGCTGCGACTCGCCGCAAGCACAAATCCCGTGGCTACGATGATGATAATGAGGATCGCACTCGCCTCGTTTCTACCATTCTCGGCGCCGTGGCTGGCGGTCTTGGTGCCAATGCTCTTGCCAATCGTGTAGAGGATTCCAGAGAGCGTGATCGACGTCGCCAACAGGAGTGGGAGCGTGAGCGTAGCTATGTAAGAGAGGAAGAGATGCCTCGGTATGAGCGACGGAGATCCGGCGACCGGGGCCGGGATCAAGACCGAGAACGGGACCGGGACAGAGACGATGGCCGCGGGGGCCGTGAGCGCTACGACCGCAGCAGAGCGCTTGCGCAGAATGATGATGAAGACTATGACTTTGTTTATGATGATCCGCGATATGAAGACAAAGAACCCCGACAACGCAGGAGCGAAGATGGCTATCGATATCGCCAATGATTGCCTTCTCTTCACGATTTGCTGCTACTTTGTGTTGGCATGCTTCGAGAACAAGATACTTCAGAAGGGCTCTGCGTTATGCATTGGAATGAAATATTATCTCTGCTTGAAAGATATGTAATGAGGAATGAATAGGCGTCTTTTTTAGGTATATACTGTAAGGTACTTCTAATGTCAGACAATGCGTTACACATTTACACATACCTCGTCACACAGTGAACTGGAAGAATTGCAAAACAATTACAGTATTGTACAAGCTACCTTATTACGATTACAATTATCTTCCCTTTGGCCCGGGCATTCGGAACCCGTTCTTAAATCCTCGCATGAAACCAACATTATACCTTCAGAGCAATAATAGGTAAACAAAGAATTTGAAAGTAGAAGCACATTACTTCGCTCATTACCTCTCTCCTTGAACCGTCCATTGTCGCTCCTCACGAGACTGCTTGCCGTGGCCACCATTGCCTTCACGCTTATCCAGTTCCCGCTCAACAATCACTTTGAAGAACTGAGCAATCTCGGCAAGAGCAACCTGCTGTTCATCAGGAACACCGAGCATCTTGAAAATCGACTGAGCATCAACCAGCTGCTTCGCAATTACAGAGTCGGGCTGACAGAGAGTGCGGACGCCTATGGCTCTAGCGTTGACTTTCATGGCGTGCAAAAGTCCACCAATCTCGGTAGGATCAGCCTGGCGACGGCCATGGAAACGGAAATCGTCAATGTGTAGGTTAACCAGCTCGAGCTGTGTCTCGAGATCGTACCGGAAGCCAACGACCTTGGGACGACCCTTGCTATGCCACGCATCTGCCACTTTCTTGAGCTTGTCTGGCACAAGTCGGCCCTTGTCCAACTGCACCGCGATGTAATCGTTCAAAGCCGTGCTCAAGTTGAATTCAAGTTCGCAGTAGAGCAAGCTCTGCTCTCTTGCGTTCAACGAAATGGTGATATGAGATGGTGCACGAGGTCGAAGTACCGGCTGAGTTCGGCGAGAAGTATGAATTTCCGCCTAAGGACATGTTAGCTAGGGCAGTGAACTTGATACCGATCGACTTACCACATCCCTGGCCATCTTCTTGATACTATCCAGTATCCTCGTTTTCTTCTGAGGCGTCTTGTTCACATGTTCAACGACACCCCGATCAGTACGCTCCAGCCAACCATTGTCCCCGATCATCTCCTTTTCTCCCTTCTTCGCACTGGGATAGTCAGTTCCTCTGAAATAGAACTGCAGTGGGGAAAACAGAGGAGTGTTCTGAGAAACTTGATTGCCGTGGTTGTTCGCATGGACGGTTACGACCTGAGCAGTCGGCGAGTGCAACTCCATGGCTTGAGCCTTTCTCAACCCATCGGCCGAACTCTTGGAACGTCGGGGTCTGTTGACCAGGGTCGTCATACGGGTTTCTGATTCTCTGACCATAGACGGATCGTGACTCATGAGCCACTCCTTGTATGAATCATTTCCATTTCCATCTACTTTGGGTTGTGACCGAACGTGACTGAGATGGAGTGGAGAGGGACGAGCTGTAGGTTGAGTAGAATAGACCGAAGGAGAATCATCAAAGATTGGATCACGCTCAAAACGCCCCTCGCCAAGTGGAGAGACTTCACCTGGGATGTCCTCAATCTTGAATGATCGAGACAAAGCCCCGCTGCGGTGGGTAGTCTCGAGTTGCAATGGAGAAGGCGCATTTCGTTGTCGACGCTCTGCTATACTCGCCGAGAACATGTCTCTGGAAGAGTCTGAACGGTGACCAGGCATGATATCAGAAAATGTTGGAGAGTCTGCCACAAAACTGCCATCTCTTGCGAGCCACTTGTGTGAATCACGAGTTTGTGGGCTTCTCTGCTTCTTCTTTCGTGGTGTAGACCTTGGCGTCGCCATCACAGGCTTCTTCCTCGACTTTGTTGATTTGTTCGGACTGTTGTACACGTTCTGGCTAAACCTGCAGAAAACTTCAGATCAAAAGGACATTGAAGTTCATCAATGGTATACATACGCGTCTGTGATCTTGTCGACTTGACTTTCAGTCAGATTCATACGAATATGGAGCGGTTGTTTGACAAGGCGCTTGCTTGGGGATAGCGAACTTGCTCTTGACTCAAACCCGGGCGCGGTTCCAAGAAAGCCTGGCCTCAGAGGCGTCAATCTAGATGTTAGAGGATCAGAGTAGTGACCTCTAGTAGATTCGTCCTGTTGCATTGGATCCGAGTGGTCGATGACGGCAACCACTTGATGATGGTTGTCGAATGATATTAGACAAAGTAAACAACGAACGAGGAAATAAATAAACTACCGTTAGTTGCCCAGGGTGAGTCGAAAGTCGCTGTGGTGTAAGCCAGATGGAATAAAATATTTAGGAGTCGTCGTTGCCAGCTGGTGACAGGTGCCAGCTATGCAGCACTGCAAGTGCACAAGATAGCACCAGCCGTGTACTAAGACTTCTTCTTTACAATAATGACCCTAAGGAACATCATTTAATCACTAAGTCCTATGAGCTACTCAGTTATACGTAGTTCTGGAAAATTCAGTACATAACTCTATGTTCAGTTCTAACATTTCGACAGATCGACTGGTGAGCAGGCTGATACTACGGAACAGCGTGCTGAAAGACATCCTGAACAGTAATGTGGGATGATAAATTAAATTCTATAGAGGCGCAAACTCATATTAACCGGAGGGGGGGGAAGAAACCCTTGGGCAATCCAGTCTTCCTATTTTCCGTCATCGTCAATAATATCCTCCCATTCTTTATCATCATCATAGACGATGGGCTTGTTATCGGCGTCATTTCCCTCAAGCGTATCGTCACTGTCCATGGGATCATTGCACAAGGACAACCAGGAACGGAGCATCTGGTACCCCTTATTTGTATTGCGATATCAACTGGATATATAATTCAAGTGCTTCATTAATTCATATCACCTCCTCGAGTTTAACATACACATGTCCCAGCATAGCCAACATCATGAAGATTCAACATGAACTATACTTCCATCGGTAATCAATGCCACTATCGAACCAAAGCTGAGGCGTCAAGGGACCTTGAACCCTTCTTGCGTACACCAATTCCTTCGGCTGGTGGCATGTGGCCATTTCCATTGCAATGTCTTCCGCAACTGGGAGTTCTCTTATAAAAGGCGGCAACGGTTTGTTATCTGTGAACAAGCCGAATTTCCGTGCAAAGTTCGCGTTTGGTATTTCGCAATCTCTGACGGGTGTGTCCAGTCGCTGTTCCAACGTGTCATGAACCAATAAGGTTGGATAGTTATCTTGTTCCAATGCAGCTCGAGATATGCCGTTCGTTCCGTCGCCCTTTTCTGTCAGACGAAATCTGTGTATTATTTCAGTTATCTTCTCATATCCCATGAGCCTCAAACTTGACGAACGGCGATGATGCGTGGCATGCCCATTCTGCCCGGATAAGCTTTCTGCAGTTCCTCTTTTCGGTAGCTCCACTAGATCGATTGACTTTTCGCCTACAAGTCTCCCTTTATGTCCTATGTTCTCATTCCATTGCATTTCGTGAAACTCTCTGGCTTTGAGTTGTCTAAACGCCCGTGTACCTCCAAGGCGTGATGAGACGTACATGGTGTGTTCTATCATCCAAGTTTTCCGTATTCCAATACCACTTGGATACAAAGACGACCTCATTTTTGCGGGCGAATGATCGGAAAGCCGTGTGCGGTATCTTTGGGGGTGACCCTCTCTCCACTGCATCAATGTAGTGGTCGGAACGATGCTGGATGTAACGGTGTTCAGGTGCGGAATGTGAGGGAGCTCGAGGTCTGCCTGTATCTTGTGTTACAGGTAGCTCAAGTGTATCCAATGCAATCTGACTTACATGTCTGTTCAGATGATCGTGCCTCCAGCGCTGAAATGCTGCGCCTGGATCGTCTGAATAGTGACAATCAACTTCGATCATCTCGTAGAGCACACCTCCTGCAAGTCCAAGGAATTCGTCTCCAAGATGATCTCGCAACACCAGAAATACCTGGGTTTTGTCAGATAACAGTTTCCCTTAATTTGAGGCGGTCTAACAAGTCGGATACCGTCACGGTACTGGTAGTTGCGAGGGATGTGGGCACAGTATCGCGTGAGAACGTTACGGCATTCTGCCTAGTCGTTAGTCAGTGTTCCTGGTTTCATACTTTCTTGCACTCACTGTCTTCGTCAAAACTCTTTCTGATGCCGGTAGGGTGGTCTCTGGCGAGATAGGTAGAGCAAAACGACGAATAGTCCATTCTTGTACAACCAGGATCTGAGTCGTTGTTTTTTCGGAGTACAAAGAACAAAATTTGAACGAGCCCGGTGTCACGCGCGAGAACCGAATTCATGCCATGCCGCGTGCTTTTTATGTAAAAGATGAAGCTCCCAAAATCCTGCTTGGTGACTCGAATGTGATGAGGGTGGTTGCCTCATGATGCCCAGATATGAGCAGGTAGCAAACAACAATCGCGTTGTTTGGCAAGAGGTACTCGAATTGCGTTTGTTGGGAGAAGGTAGGTCCTGCATTGCGTGATGCAACTTCCATTTTCGAAGATGCGTCCTCAGTCTTTCCCGGCAGTGATTCAGGGTAGGCAGTCCTCAGGGTATTAGAAAGTTGACTGCTGGGCATAAAAGACAACATTAAGGTCACTTTATGTTCCTTAGAGTATAATTCTTAGACTACTTATTTCTATACCGTAAGACTTAGGATGCCATTTTTTCTACTATCCATTAGACAGCCTTGCATGCTTGATGTGAAGGCAGGTCGACCCAGACTTTCTGTGTAATGGAACATTTGAAGAAAACAATGTCCGGGAACAGACTTGCCTACTGGATACGGTTACGAAGCGTTCTTCTCACCGTATAATTATTTTCAACCGAACCCGTCAATTGATTGTCACACTCATTGAATCGCAGACCTTATAGCAAAACTCCGTATGAAATTAGATCTTCGGTATGCTGCCCGGCATTCGTGGGGCCCACCGTGTATCCACCCCGTGGTTGGTAATGCGACGCATGTTATTCATGCAGTTAAGATATGTTATGATCTGTTAGTGAGATACTAGGCGACACTATCTGGCACTATCTTATCACAGTGCCCCTGCAGCCGAGACAGAAGCCGGACCGGGTCACAGCTTCCCGAAATCAACTCCCGACTTCCCAAAAAGGCAGTCTAGACCTCCTGCCTCCTCTTCGCCCCAGAACCCCACATTCAGGAAATCTGAACCCCATGACGATTAGCGGTTGTTTACTCCATATCTCACTAAAAGAATGCGAAGCGGATCTCCTGGGCACTAGCCCAGACCATTTCCTATCTTTGCACCTTGAAGCACCATGACAAAGAGCCAAGACGCTCTCCACCACCACCCGTACCGAACCTGATGCCGTCAATTTTCCTCGGATTGTCGGGTCGCTAACTATCCTAAGCTGAGCCGCACGCTGACTGAATGCCCCGGCCGAACCCCCCGGCATATCTAGTCATCATGTCGTTTTACATATAAGATGCCACCCCCCATCGGCTTGATTTGAATTCCGCAGATCGACTTTACTTGGTTGTCCACATCATAATATACCCAAGTCATCTCTTTTACCATCCACCATGTCTCAATCACAATCTGATCGCTCACCTTACTATGACATAGGTAAGTTCACTCATATTTATCAAAATTGGATCGATGTCTAACCTTTACCTCAATAGTCATTGTCGGTGCTGGACCAGTTGGTCTTATGCTGTCAACATGTCTCGCTCGTTGGGGTTATAAGATCAAGCACATTGATAACAGAGCAGAGCCAACTCCGACTGGTCGAGCTGATGGAATTCAGCCGCGTTCTCTGGACCTCCTTCGCAACATGGGCCTCAAGTCCGCCATCATGGCGCATAAGCCAGCTCGTGTTTACGAGGTCGCCTTTTGGGACCCGGCTTCGTCAGGCGATGGTATCGCACGAACTGGCACATGGGCTAGCTGTCCAGACTTTATTGATGCTCGCTATCCTTTCACAACCTTGTTGCACCAGGGTCTGATTGAGCGTGTCTTTATCTCGGATTTGGAAAAGAACGGTGCGCAGGTCCAGCGGCCATGGACCATCAAGAGCTTCACATCTGATGAGAAATCCAACCCCGACTATCCTGTTACCGTCGAGCTGGAGCACGTTGACGGCACAGCCCAGGAGACCCTGCACGCTAAGTACCTGTTTGGTGGCGAGGGCGCAAGGTCATTCATCCGCAACGAGCTTGGTATCGCCGTCCATCACAAGGATCCCATCGCACATGTCTGGGGCGTTATGGACGGTGTAGTGAAAACTGACTTTCCTGATATCAAGGTTAGTTTCTGACTGAACAGCCATCATGACCTTTCCTGCTTGCTGACTCCTATTAGATGAAATGTACCATCCACAGTGAGCATGGTTCTATTATGGTCATTCCACGAGAGGACAACATGGTTCGCCTGTATATCCAGATCGCATCCTCGACTGATTCAGACTGGAACCCCAGGCGAACAGCTACCGAGGAGCAAGTACAGGAGTCCGCCAAGAAGATTCTGCAGCCGTATTCTATTGAATGGGAGCGCGTCGAGTGGTACTCCGTCTATCCCATCGGACAAGGTATTTCTGAGAAATATACTTTGGATCAGCGAGTCTTCCTCGGCGGCGACGCCTGCCATACTCACAGCGTAAGTCTTTCTAACCAGTGCATATAATCTATGCTAACATGGCTGCAGCCCAAAGCTGGACAGGGAATGAACACAGCGTTTCTTGATGCCCAGAACCTTGCCTGGAAGATACACGCTGTCGAGTCTGGATTCGCCAAGAGGGAGATCCTCCAGACATATGAGACAGAACGCAAGCACGTCGCTGAATCTCTTCTCGATTTCGACAACCGATATGCCAAGCTATTCTCTCAAAGACCGCCCGCGGCAGCTGAGGTACAGGCAGCGTCGGCAGGCCATAGCAAGAACGGCGATGTTCAAGAAAACGAGTTTATCAACACTTTCAAAGAGTCGTGCGAATTCACCAGTGGATATGGAGTTTACTACAAGCCGAACGTTTTCAACTGGTCACCCGAACATATCGCACAGTCGCCTCTAATTCATCCTCAAGGAACTAAGTTACGAACAGGTCGCATTTTCATCAACTCAAATGTGACAAGAGTCGTTGATGCCAACGTTGTGCATCTTGAACAGGAGGTTCCTCTGAACGGCGCCTTCCGATTATTCGTCTTCGCTGGTGTCCCGTCAAAAACGCGCCAGGCCCTAAAGGATCTTGCCAGTCATCTTGGTAGCCAACGGTCTTTCTACGCCGCATATCAGAGAGACGATCTGGACAAGGTCTCTTATCATGAAAAGCACCTCCCTCACAGCCGCTTCTTCACCTTGTCCACAATCTTTGCTGCAAAGCGACCCGATATCGAGATTTCCCGCGATGTTCCAGGTGTCCTTGCGCGATACAGGGACCACGTCTATGCCGATGATCGTTCTGATGCCCGATTCGCGCAGGCAAAGGCTGTAGCTCATGCCAAAATGGGTCTCGATGAGGAGCTTGGTGGAGTGGTTGTCGTCCGGCCTGATGGGTACGTAGGTGTTGTGGTCAGCCTTGTCAAGGGTAGCGGAACAGTGGACGCGCTGAACGAGTATTTCTCAACCTTCTGTACCAAGAAGCTTGGAACTACTATGGCACAACTATAAGAATGGACCTACGGCTTTCTGAATGAGTAAGCCCAGGAGTTACGGGAGATATATTGGTTCAATTTCAATGAGTTAGCGAATATAAATGCAAGTTATTAGATTATCCCAAGACCAGTAGACCAACCTCGTTCCATGGAAAAGAACGCCAAATTGGCGTATAATATGCTCTAGCCCCGGGTGTTTTCCTATGATGGACCAATAGAAACTTAGAAAAGTAGCCGCCCCATCAGGCAGGTTCATGTTTGTTGTAAGAAGGCAGTCAGAGCAAAGAAATGCTGGGATGGGCAAGCATTGCTGTCGAGATCACGAGAAACGAAACGAATGAACAAGTCAGCCTACGGCTATTTGGATTAGGTCGTGGGTGATTTATTATTTTGTACCCTAAACATAATCGTCCTCGTCATCCAAAAATGAAGATGTGAACTCCTTGTAATGCAAGTATATGAAATGGAACTGCTTTCATGTGGTATCTCCTTTGCTTTCCCAATAATACAATTTAAACCATTTTCTAGTCGAGAGGTATGTGCATCGACTCTCCAAACGCCCCTGTACAAGATCATACGTTGGTGATGAACCCTTTAGCCAGTGTCATGTTGTCGAACTAATATACTCGCAGGTCAAAATCCCCAGTGAAACCGCCGTTAAGAAGCATGCAGGCAATGCGGATCCGCTGTGCCGGCATGTCAGTTGCAGTGTATGAGTCAATAGGACTAAGGCCTAGCGAAATACACATGGCGTTTGTGATGGTATGAACACCACAGTCGTGTCCGTTGTTCTGCAGAGGAGCCTCGTGAAGAGTGATTTTCCATTCGTCTTGGACGAACTTCTCCTCCAAAACATCCTTGATCCATGCCATGGCACGGTTGGTATAGGCCGAGTTACCACCGGCGTTGATCGAGTCCATATGCGCCAGTGTCCGTTTGGAAGGCCGAATGACAATCAGGGTCCAATGAGAACGCTCGCAGATCGGCAAGAGGATGGTATCAATATCGAGGAAATTCTTCTTCTCAACACCATAACGGCGGAGAGTTCGTTGGGTTGAGCGGACGCCTTGGTCCTGGAGTCGCTTGAAGAAAAAGGAGCCGAGACTAAAGCATTTGCGAGTGCTTTTCTTGACGTCCTTGATGCCAGCGGCTGAGTTGATAGCCCGATCAAGCCAGAGAAGTGATGCATTGACGATCTCATCGTTGAGCCACTCTGTCGCGGAGACTACCTTTGCAAAGTCATGCCTTCGTAAATCAACACCCTCGGCAGACTTCGCAAGGGACTCGGCAGGTGACGCACGGAGTGTCGATATAGCCTTTTGGTGCCATTGTGACGAAACAGGCGCAACAAGTTCCTGGCTGGGCATACGGAGTCCACCAGACCGAGCGAGACGTTCCTCAAGCTCGCGTCGAGCCTTCTCCTCAGCCTCCCGCTTTGCGGCCTCGGCAGCCAGACGGGCCTTTTCTGCAGCCTTTCGTTTGACTTCCTCAATTTGCAACTCTATTCCAACCCTCGAATCATCACTTATTGGGAGCTGTAGCGAAGGAGTATCCAATAGTTCTTTTATGCGAATATTAGGGTCATAGTGGTCCCTTTCCTCCACACGGCGACGGAAGCTATTGGTGAAATTGGATGGAGCAAGAATGCTATCTCTGGCTGAGTTTTCAACTGTGGCGGTCGGGGTATTGAACAATTTCTGCACCCAGCTGGGCCGCTGCTCTTGGGAGCCGTTGTGGTTGGTTCTTCTGGGTACTTCCAGGCCCATGTGAGTTCGCGGTCTTGGGCTGACGGTATCATCGGTGAAGCGCACAGCTTTGGGTCGGCGCGCCACACCAAGGCGCTTAGGGGTGAATGTAGAGGGATGTTTGCGACGAGTTCTGAGAATGGATCTGACAGAACTCAGCTGTTCCGTGGTAAGAGGCGTTGGGCGGATAAAGCTGTTTATGTAACGTTGCGTATTGTTTTGTTCGACGAGTTCTCCAAGCTCATTGAACTCAGGGAATGACCCTGGAATTGAAAGACGCACACTGGAATCAGTATGTTGTTGAGAGGGAAAAATATTCTGTAACTTTTGGCGATAGTTTTGGGATTCAACATAGCTGGGCGCTGGAAGATTGCGAAGTATTGCCTTGATATCAAGCGCAACCCGATCCACAAACGCCTGCGAGACCCCGCATTCATATTCTCGGTGCTTGTTCAATATATTGTTACAAACGAGAGGCAATGCAGGATCCGACATGAAGCATTTGATCGATTCCAAACCAGCAGCAAAATCCGGAGAAATTCCATAATCAAGAACAGAAGGGACAAATTCATTGCTGTCACGAATTCTGACAATTGTTCGAATCTCGTACACTCTGTCCAGGAACTGGAATACTCGTTTAAGTTGCGATGCAAAACGCTCCGTCACGTCGCGGTCATTGCTGTCCACCATACTGGCGCTCAAGGGGGCCAGGTCTTTGTTTGACTCTTCTCTGGTTTCGCGCTCAATACACTCCCAGACTTTTGACAGAGATTTTGAAAAATCCCTGTAGCTTTCCATTAAGACGACGAGTCCATCTCGGTCAAGCCATCGGAGCTCACTATCATGAGAAAGGCCAGCATCATCGCGGCTGAAGCTGACCTGATTTTCGCTCAAGTGTGAGTGGTCCTCAGAGTTTTGATGGGATTGAGGGCGTACTGGTAATGAATTAATGAATACCCTGGAAGTGAGGCCAACAAGAACATACTGATTTTGCTGAGCGCCTCGCCAAGGCCGGCGACGGCAGTGTAAATGCTGGTTATCATCCTGGTGATGGATTTGCCGCACATAGGCTTGTTGGCCAGCTACTTCGTCAAGAACTCTTGCTCCTTGACGAATAGAAACAACAGGGTATGTGGTATTAATGCTGCCTCTTTGCGACAACACCAAGTTCTATCGATCACCTTGGCGCGACTCTTCCCTGTTATCACGTGATATAGATCACGTGAAACGATGAAGTGTCAAAGACAGGTGCTAACAGGGTACGATAGCGGTGAATCACAGGCCAAGAAGTAGCGATTTACAACTGGAATGGCAGATGATAAAAGGCAGTCCTTGGAAGAATGAAACCCAATTGTGAATTGAGTTGATGAATTTGAATCGAGACTGTAGTTGCTGATGATGGAGACAATGGACCGGGTAACCTCAGTGTAGGTATGGACCTGAGACGCGGTAGGTAGGCGGTAGGTTAATGACAATCGCGCGTCGCTACAGTGAAAGCCCCATTCGTAATTGCTATACCAATTTCTTCAATGAGGCCATCGCGAACATGTAAGCCTGGGTATTTGGCGCTGAGGTCGCAGTACGAGTCGTTTGTCTATGTCCGGTGAGGTGAATAGAGATTGACAGTGAAAGAAGTCGAATTGCCTGCAACCATTCAAAACTGCAGGTGGCAGGTCACTACGCGTGCAACTAAACGATGAATGTGGGGCCGACATAGCGTGTGTTATTGGTCAACATAGCCCTTGCTTGGACTTCAAGCTCCAGGCTGTAAAAAAAAGAAGCGCCTAAGGCCTGCTAGAAAATGCCATAGACTGACTTGATTATTTCGTCTTACATTCTGATGTTACGAAGAACGAAGAACAATGGTCTATATGCCTCCAAGTCAACTCCTAAGCGAGTGGTGTAAGTGGTTCGGACTGCACCTTGACGTACATACTAGTCTCATACACATCCGAGATGCAGAAAAGGCAGGAACCGGCACCAAGGGCCTGGGTTTGCGTGATGCATTGGTGGTTGACTCTATTGAAGACAAAGGAAGCCACGCATCAAGTCATAACTTTGAAAGAAAACACGACCCAGCTACCAGTACCTCGGTTCCATCTGAGAGATTTCTTTATTGTCAAGAAGCCATCTGTCCAATTCGCACTAGTTCAGTTTGCGAAGCGAAAGCCTAGACAAAGCTTGGCAATTGTTGGTGGTGATGTTCGCGCCAGACTTTTGAAAGCTTCTTTGAGGGAGGGCTGAAGTGGAGGGCAGCCACCAGCACGTTGGCAAACAAGTTCCGGCAAAAGATTCGGGACCGAAGCCTGCAGCTGAAACTGTTGGCTTCCACGTTCTGACCAGGTTGAAAACTTTAACATAGTTGGGTGTTCAACATTGTCTGTGCCAGGGTCTGGTTAATGTTTGCCGAGCATATCCAACCGTACATAGTAGCTACGTTTAGACTTGGCCGGCACTAGATGTTTGTGATCCAGGGTCTTCTTCAGCCGCAGGCCACTATTCGATATAGGGAAGCTATTTTGCCACGGTGGGAAATTCATGAGCAAAAGCACAAATTTTGCACTTGCAAAAATCTTCTGTATGGACGACCCTGTCTAGTTGTCCTGCGCATATGTTCGGCTCGTGGTAGATGCCCAATACGTAGCTGTAAATAGTCGAAACGTTATCATATGTCGTGGGGGCGTGCGAAACAATGTGATCCTAGTCGACCTTACCGCTCCTTGGGCAATATGTATGCTAGCTAGTAGGTAACAGAAAAGTTAGTCTTCCAAGTCTTAGGGTATAAAAATAAGTAGTCTAGGAACTGTAGCCTAAGAGGCATAAACTGACCTAGTAATTTCTTCACTTATGCTTCCAGTGGTCAATTATTCCGATACCCTCAGGGCTAGGAAACAGTAAGCCTAGGGATCCCGACCATCATTCGAACCATAGGTCGCTAGCGACTATGTATATGAAAGAAACGGAGTTCGTCCGCACGATCATCGTCGATTGTGGAGATGCTTCCACCGATGAAGACCGATCGTGGGAGCAATCTATCGTGCCGGTGATATGTTGTATTAAATGTCGCAGATTCGGCGTTGTCCGTTCACAGGTAGCGTGCCATTTAACTACCTGGTCTCCATACCAGCAACAGATGAGATGACTGTTCACACAAGACGCCATTCAGACGGTGTCTTCTTCTGATGCCTGTCTGGGGCCCGACTCATGTTGCCTGCTGTATGCCAGGTGTATGTGTCAAGTCCCGGGCCGTTGCGGCGGCAGAAGCTTCCTGACGTGGATGGTGTTGCTGCAAAACTGGAGACGTTTTAGACACCGCCAGTATGGGTGTCCCGAGAAAACGAAAATCGATAGTTCCAATTAAAGAACAAAAAAAGCCCGCTCCCATGGCTTCGAAAAAAGTCTTCTGGAACACGTTGAGAAAGGAGGCCGCGGAAACTTGACAGGGCTAGATGGGGTCTGGATATCGATCAGTAATTGGTATTGGTACGGTAGGGTGATGGAGAGAATTGCCGGTGCGACAGCTGAAGTTGTGCCTTTGTGAGTACTGTTACTCTGTACTGTCGCAGGATTTTCCCTCCCTTGTCGGGGATAGCACTCACAATTGGTGGTGAGAGATGGAGACACGGCGAGGCCGGTTGGTGTTGAGTGGTGTCACCTCACTCATCCGGCGGACTAAGCAAGGGTGGTGTGGTTCTTTTCAACGTCGACGACCACTAAGACATGCTATTTCTCGATTTGGAAGGCTTCCAGAACAATCGCCGATGTTAGTAGCAGATTGCTTATTTCTAGAAAGATTCTATCAGAACACTTTGTTATGTCCTTCCGTTAGTTTTCTATCAGGCTTCCAAATCAAGCCACCAACAGACCTCAGAATAGCCAAGAGAAGCATCGGATAACTCTAGCGTCCTCGGCCCAGCTCTCAGATCCATCGCTTATTATTGTTGACGTGGCCTATGCCCCATTCTGTGGCTTTGAGTTGACTGAGCCTAGCTCCCTTTATTCATTCACAACTCGTCGAAATAAGTGTTGTAAGCGCTCCCTGTATCACCCGAAGCCTGACTTGGCTATGTAAGGTTGCACTATACGTCTCGATCTCGACAAGTTCGGATATTGGACACAATCGCTGTGCACTTCTCGGCCTACACCCACTGGTACATCTGTCGACAGAGGGTGGCTGCTTATCTAGCGGTAACGACCTTATTTTTCTGCAGGTAGCTGTGAGTAATTGTGGTAAGACATGCCTGATATCGTACATGACGGTTGCCATTATCTGGCCAGAGTAGCATAGACTTGCCCAACCTGTGTTAGAACGATGAACAAGCCAGATGTCTGAGCATGCACGCCGCAAGTTGCGCTACACTAAGGGAAATATAGAGTTCTTTGATTAGCCCATGCAGAAAGACTCTGTCAACAGAAGTTGTTTTACTCAGCCTAGAAGCAGCGTTGGGGCAAGTGTAATCGTTGGGCCGAGATGGGCCAGCTGCAGCGCGATGTAATGGCACCATGTTGATCATCCCTCACCGGCATCCGTCCCTGGTTGTCCGTTTGCGATTTAAGGGTCAGCTCTGTGCCATTTCCCAGTCCACATTGACAAAAATGGAGGATGGGGTTACCAAGGACCGTTTTGTTGTAGACGATAATGACGGCATCCTCATTCCAATAGCCGCAGGACTCCATTACCCCAAAACCCCTGCAAAACATCAGAGATTAATATCAACGAGAAAGGCATGTTGCGTAGTCACGGACACAGGCTTGTGGGCGTGTATCACTGCCATCATAATCAGCGACAGATCACAACAGCTTGAATCCTGAACTTGCCAGGGTATTGCATCCCAATGATCTCAACTTCTGCAACTGCCTAACTTGTGTGGAGTTTTGTTTGGTCATATCTGGCCCGTTATCCAAACATGAATTGAGAAGACTCGAGTAGCGGCAATTAAGCTCACTTGCGTACCTTTGTGGTGTGCGTTTAGAGCAATAGCAAGTATAAGCAAGCTTCTCTTTATCGCAACAATATGTGCCTGATTCCGGATAGTCTACAACGCCACAGTCGGTGGTCTGAGCATAAATTGTTTGCCGTATTGGCCTCTCACCAAATTATTGAAAAATTCCAAGATGTGAGCGAGACAAAAAACGGTAACGACAAAGGAAATAAGGGCCTCTGTAGAGTTGTGGACGAAAGGAGGGATTTGCGTGTAGTCTGACGGAGGCTCTTGGTGCTTATCCCCGGCACAAACGCGAAGCGAGTAAAGATTTGAGGGTTGTGCCATACTGCCTAGTGACATGTAATAAACTTTGAATCGTTTTTTCCAGGGACCGACAACTTACAGGGTCGATGGCGTTTACAGTCATCCCGTTGCTTTATGCAGTAGGATCGACACACTTAATGATGCTATCGGTAACTGCCACAGGGCCATCGAAGTATGATGTCCCTTGTGTCCGGATAGCAAGCGTCCTTGGCGCTTTGGGGAGACTTCGGATTGCCTATTGCGCGCTGCGTGCAGCAAAGTACCGTAAAATAACAACCAATGAGCATCGTTGAAAGTGCGCATCGCGATCGACCGAGCTATTGTTTTAGCGGCAAAGTCAAGCTGCATTTGAAGATTGAGGGTCCAGTCATAAGGCCTGGCCAACCACGCCGTCTTACCTTTTACAAGGGCAGTGAGAAGTGGAATGTCTATCAAGTGGGAGTTCAAGACGGCACTTGACTGCTAGAAAGAGAGCCCAAGCGCTGATAGTTGGAAAAAAGAAGTTATTCATGCTCAGGCCATGAATATCACAGGAATAAGTATCCTGCCTTAAGGTAGTCAATTCCCTACCGGTAACTGGAACGGTTGAGAAGGCGGCATGTCTTGTCTTAAGATGTAGGCACTAAATCATCACCACCTACCTGCAGAGAAGGTAAAGCATATGTCATTCATTCTGCATAATAGTAGGTCGTATTCCCGATACAGCACCGTTTGCTCTTGCACCGTTTATCGGATGTCACCAAGTGGACTGCACCTACACTTTAAAACGAAGTTGAGCATTCGTCAACTAATACAGCCCCTACTTGAATGATGTGCCGATGGGCAGGTGTGGTGCAGATAAGCTACCCGTAATAGGAAATCAGAGCCAAGCAAGTCTGTCTGTCGATGACGATCCAGCCTGCCCGCTTGTCCTCTGTTACGAAAATCAAGCTCTTGAACTACCTCTAATCTACCGAGGTTACTGTAGATCATAGGGATGTTAATCTTGGGGTGAACATCTCCCGTCGGCGTGTCAGGATAATTATACCGAACTCTGTTTTCAGATCACGAAATACCTTCAGTTTCAATCTCGGGGTCATGATGTAGTGTGTGGATTATACAAAGCTGCATCTCACCACTGCGAGCTGTTATGATGTCAGGTTTCCTCCATTGCAAGACGCAATTGGAGTGAGAGCCGTGCGGGGAACCAAGCCACGATTGGTTCGTCACTTTATCCCCCGCGCACCATTGCATTGCATATTGCATTGCATCGCACCTATTGACAAAGAATCGTCCAAACCGTGCATTTCCTAACGGTCTATTTGCTGTGAAAGATTTGGTTCAGTCATCAGAGAGACCAGGGCGATCGAGATGGCGTGGTCAAGAAAGACAGGTCAGGTCAGGTCAGGTCAGGGAGCAGAAGCAAAGGCCACACTAAAACTTGGCTTGAGACTCACTCCACCTTTTGCCCATAGCTGTCTGTGCCTACCTATTCTAGTGTGCTGCTTCAACTGGCTGACCGGGTAGCTCAGGATGGACACATCAGTTGGCAATGATGTCAAACAATGGCGTACTTCCGAATAACTCTGCGTTCTGGGAAGTTGTCGATTTCCATTTCCATTTCCATTCTTCAGTACCTAAAAGAGTACATCGTTGTCCAGCCTACCTTGATACTGGATTTCGCCCTGTTGAATTCTACCGTCCGGCTACTATCCGTCTCCTAACCTTTTCCAATATTGTACTTCGCGTATTGTGCCAGTCAGGTGCCACTGCGTCACGGTCTGCCGAAACCACCGCTTCCGTAGAGGTATCTAATTTGCCACACTAAGTTATTCCACGCAACAGTGCTCAAATCTCACTCCGTTTCTCTCCTTAATTGGTTAGATACTTTACATAATTCTGATCTCAGCTCAGGTAGCCTTCGGCGTTGTCCGTGCCTGAATTCAAAGAATCGTTTTTTTTTGTGCCTTGGTTTAAATAAAAATTTCTTTTCTTTGAACCGTGACCCTGAATCAG